GTCACTTTTAAGAAGCAATACAGTTTTTACATTACAATAACGTATTTACGAAATGATCAATTAACACCAAATTGCACCTAAAAAATACAATACTCAAAATTCGGACTGAATTGAAATTAATACCTCTGAGTTATTAAGGTTAGAATGTTACCCCCTGCCCCCACAAACAATAATATATCCTGACCATTTTGGGGCAGTAAAACTTGGTTTAAGGGCACTTTCTTGTTTAATCCAGGGAAGTGTTACAGCTCTTTCCCGAAGGACAATTTAGTCAGTTTTTATATATTTTGTAATGTACAGCCACAGCTCAGCTCAGTATTATCAACCTGAGATTGAAGAAATGTGGGTTCAATTCAAGTGAGAAAGATCATTATGTATGACATCACACCAGTGGTATATACAATGCCCCAATCACCCCAATCCATCGTTGGTCAGCGAGGAGACCGCTTTTTCATGAGGGCCCAATAGTTCGCAAGGGAGGGAAGGGAGGGGGAGGGTATCATGAATCGATTTAAAACTTAAAACACAAGCAAAGAAAGACATACATTTTCATCATTCACGTGCCCAAGGGTTATTCACAATGTCATTTAAGCAAGATGCCATTTATATGTATTGTAAATTGTAGGTTTATTAATTTTGCACTTTTTTGTTTGTTTAATATGTAATTGTTTATCATTGTATTTTGTTTGTTACTTTAGCGCTTAGAGACTTCGGTGGAAAGCGCTTTATAAGCACCGTTTTTTCCATTATTATTATTATGACATGTGTGAGAAAGTCATGAGCGAGAACATTTTCATTTGAATATTGACAATAATATGTTGGTGTTTTCCAAGTGTTCCAACAAAAATATAATAATTTGAGTTTTGCACTGTTTGAAAGTGTCATGGGATATGGAGACCGGACATTTTACTCTATTGCTACTTGCCTGTGGAACTCTCTCCCATCATTAATTCGCAAAATTGACAACCTGAACCACTTCAAAGCTTCACTCAAGACTCACATCTTCCTTCAGACATTTAAATGCTAACTTATAATGGGGGAGCTCGCGCCTTTGAATGTTTTTTTTTAAACATTCAAAGGCGCGAGATATACGGCGCCATACAAAATGTTGTGAATCATCATCATCATCATCATCATCATAATGTGGGATTTATTCATCGAGAGATCTATTTCTCCCACTCCTGTAATTTGCATAGCTTGACTTCACTATATACTTGCGTTGCTAAAAGGAGTTTCTCCATATTCTTCATCTTTACTGTTTGTCTAATTTTACTCTTTTAAAAAAAAAACCTAATTATTCCACTTCATTCAGCCATATTTCCTTTTAACTAATCGTTCATTCCTCTTAATTCGAAACTTACTCCCAATTAATTGCTGAATAATAAATACTTGGACTTTCGATTTAAAGCCATAATAATTATGTGAATGTATATATTATAGTGAAATATAGTTTTCTTTCCGGTTTATCATGTATACAAAAATGAAGTTCACAGGGAAACCCCGCCTGTCCAGCTCTGGTTGGTTTCGGGACACACCATGATATCCGCTCTCTATTTCTCTCTATGCCATCTCTCCACTCTCTCTCTCTCTCTCCGCCTCTGTCTCTCTCTCCCCCACTCCGCATTCCCTCTTTCATACCATTCCTTCCATATGAATTTAACAGGCTGGCAGTGCCATTATAGATACGATGTGAAGTGATGAAATTGTAAATAATAAACTCTTTATGTTGTATAGCTCCCTCTCAAGATTGACGTTACTTTAGATTCAAAACAATGTTTCTTGACTTGCAAGTTTTTGACCAAAATCGACAATTTTTTTATTCCCGTTTGGAAATTATATATCAGAACTGCATATTCCGAGATTTTCACGTTCGTAGCTACCATTGTACAGTGCGTCCCAGAAAAAAATGAAACCGAGAATTATCGATGTTTTATCATAACTTAATCACATTTATAATTAATAAATGACACATAATATTTGGAAAGCTTAGATCCTCCTCTTTCAATTGATGCAACTCATATGATGCATATTCCACGTGATTAAAATCAATTTGAAGAGAGGAAACCGAAAAGTCATTTGGCGGGCGGTATCTGAATTTCAAAGAGAAAATCATATTTCTAGAAAGTTGGGTTTCTGCCCTTTCATATGACACCTCAATCAGGAAAAATGAGCAAGGAATGACAAAGTTCTGTTTGTTTAAAGTAGCCCTTACATTTTCATAATTTTAGCAAACAAATTCGTTTTTACTGGCTGCCTGCCGTAGCAAAAAGTAGAATTGACAAAAGACTTAACTCCGTGTCGTCGACAATCAGCCATGCATGAAGTCTTTCGTCTACGGCTGATTGTCAACGAAACGGAGTTGAATAATTTCGTTTGTTGATACGGCAGACAGCCAGTGAAAACGAATTCGTTTAATGAAATTATGGAAATGCAAGCACTATTTTAAACAAACAGAACTTTGTTATTCCTAGCTCATTTTTCCTGATTGATGTGTCATAAGAAAGGGCAGAAACTCAACTTTCTAGAAATGTGATTTTCTCTTTGAAATTCAGATATCGTCCGCCAAATGAATTTTTGTTTTCCTCTTTTCAAATTGATTTTAATCACACATGCGTGAAATGAAAGAGGAGCATCTAAGCTTTACAAATGTGTGTCATTTATCAATTATAATTGTGATTAAGTTATGATAAAACATCGATAATTCTCGGTTTTGTTTTTTTCTGGGACGCACTGTATATGGCTGTAGGCGCTATTTGAAATTTATCGCGGGAGCACCGAAAATTTTTGATATTCAATTTCTCGAAAGCAGAAGTGCATTAGGGGCTAAATTTCCAGTGCTTATAATTCATCTACATGGGTGCTTATATTTCATGGCCGATGTATATAGCTTGAAAAATGGAGAAACAAGTGTTTAACAAAATTAGAAATATTTGTACATGTATTTATGGTACCAGTATCTGATTAAACATGAAAGGTTACTAGCATTATGTCGTTTGTCGATTCCACTTTGATTTTGAACATCGTTTATATCACAAGCATGGGACAGAGAGAGAAAGACACACACAGAAGAGAGAGAGAGAGAGAGAGAGAGAGAGAGAGAGTTAGGGATAAAGAAAGAGGGACAGAGAAGAAAGATGGGGAGAAAAAGAGAATGCATATAAAGGGGGGAAAGGGGGCGGGATTATAGGGAAAAGAATAGCTGGCATGCAAAGATAGAAAGAGAGACCGGGGGGGGGGGGCTGGATAGAGATAGATGGGTTATGATTATGATCTAGAGGGATGGTAACAGAGAAAATGAAGACAGAAAAGAGAGAGAGCCAGTGATAGAAAGGCAAAGAGAGAGAGAGAGAGAGAGAGAGAGAGAGAGAGAGAAAGAGGGTGAGTCGATTCCATACTTTTGCGATTTGGTATTCATAATCACAATTTCAAGAGGGGAAAGGGGATAATGGTGGTTGCAGAAGGGGCATAGATAGAAGTAGAAAAATAAACAATGACAAACGAACTATAAACCACAGGTGGCGCTCTTCCTATTGAACAGTTTTCAAGTAAGAGCCACATAGTGGGGCTGGAGAGGGAGACAGATGGTGGGTTATGATTATGATCAAGAGGGATGGCAACGAGAGAAAAAGGAAGGCAGAAAGACAGAGCCAGTGATAGATCAGGAAAGAGAGAGAGAGAGAAAAGGAGAGAGAGAGAGAGAGAAAGTGGAGGTGTCGATGATTTCACACTTTCAGGATTTTATATTCATAATCACAATTTCAAGAGGAGAAAGGGGATTATGGTGGTTGCAGAAGGGTCATAGACAGAAGTAAGAAATAAACAATGACAAACGAACTATAAACCACAGGTGGCGCTCTTCCTGGTGTACAGTTTTTAAGCAAGAGCAACATAGTGTCACATGGAATAAATGTTGGCCTACTCTCAAAAATGTACTTCTCCCTCTCTCTCTCTCTCTCTCTCCCTCTCTCCCTCTCTCTCTGTCTCACCCCCTTCCCCTCACAGACAATACAACAAAGGAATGTCAATGACACTGAAATCAGTGAAAATCAACAAATACATTGATGAAGCATCAAAATTAATTTATTATATAATTTATATATTTTCTTCATAATTACATATATACAAATTATCTATACAAGTCATTTCTCAAGGCACATTTATCGATTGTATTATACTTATGTACAATACAAAAAGTTTTTTTTAAATATCAAACATTTCAGCGAAAAAATATCACAAGTATACACATTATAGAAAATTAATTAAAGAAACATTGCTACAAAGAACACTTATTACAAAATCTCATGTAACAACAGAATTTTGTCAGAATTTTATATTTTCCACTGGTCTTTGGGCCCTGATTTAAAACATGACTTTAAAGGGAGATGGTCATATTACTTTCCATGTGCAGTAGGTCATGATTCGCTGACATCAGACTCAGTGGAAATACTATTGATGGGTGCACAAGTCTGCACATAGTAAACCTAAGGTGGTCCCATAAAAAAAATCTCCCCTCGTCTCTCAGATAGTTTCCGGTGAGGGAAATGTAAGATAATGACTTTTCCATATGGGGCGATAAAAGTGGAAAATGCGGGAGCATTACCTACGGTCTATTGGTCACAACACAGAAGGCTAATCCTGATGACTGATAATACCCGTTATTGGGTAAACCAAATTCCCTACGAGAGCCCCCTTCTACGCATCTTTAAAGATGAAGTTGGGTTCTGGTCATGCGATTGCATTGTGAAAGAAACGGTGTGGAATCGACCAGAAAACGTTGATCATCTAGCATATAAGAATTTGTGTGTATTGCAAGGTTCTGGAATTATCTAAATGATAAGAAATTTGGCCAAGTCTTGCTAAAGTTACAAACACTGTACACAGGAAGATTTATATGGGACTACATGAACATGTGGCGTAAAAATCTGTCCCGATGTTACATGACATATTTCGAATTTGAAGGCATTTGTACAGCCATGCTTTTCAGGGAACATGTTTTTAACATGTTCTTCCACACTTGCATTGTAACAATGATAACGCTCACAAATTATTGTTCACCTCTTCCCGGAACTCAACCTTCTCTTTAAGAAACCAAATATTTTGTGCAATATTGTCTCAATATTAAAACCATCTCAATATCAGGGCGGCCTTCAACTTTAAGTGGAGTTGCATGACGTATTCGAATCTAAACTCAGTTATAAATTTGGCTCTCTGATTAATAGCAAAGTTAAATGGAGATGTGTTCATATCTGAATCCTGTTTGTGAATCTTGGTTTGCAGATTTGCATGCTCAGCTTCACATCTGAACGTTGTTCTTGAATTCAGGGTTCTGGGTCAGCAGAGATGTTGGACGATTTGTAGATAGATGATTCATTCGGGGTAGATTGTCCTGAACGTCAGATTAATCCTTGCATCTCTGTCGTGGTACTCTCTTGGTATCTGATGCTGTCAAAAAGTTTTTTTTTTTACAGGGTGGGAAATAAAATCAGTAGAGTAATAATGATTTCAAGACAATCCAGCATGTATTTATTAGTAATATCCATACTAATAATAATAATATGTCTTGTTTAGCCAGGGTAGCCTCATCAGTACTAATACTGTTCTCCCTGAGGGCCCTGCAATCATATCATTACCCCGGCTTTAGCCTAAGCTACCATGAAAAGGCACTCAAGCATTCATGGAATGTCTTCCTACTGGGTCCCCATTTACCTCACTTGGGTGGATCCGAGTGGGTCCTCAGAGAGGACCTTAAGCCGTCGGTCTTCTGGTTGCTTACTCACAAGCATTTATTGCTTTCTTAGCTTTCAGGTAAAATAAACACCACTGTCAGATGTATTTCTTGCCAAAAGACATTAGTACCATAATATTCTGGATTTATATTGCAGTAGGCCCCATCTGATTCTAAACATGTGGCATTATACAAAAGTACAATCTGAGTAGGATGGAACATATAACAAAGAAAGAGAACAATTACTTATTTGAGCCAATTAAATCTTGGTAAGGGTATGAATAATTTAGTCATTAACTGTAATGACAATATAAATTTGCACATGTATTGCAACATTATGAGTGCAAAAATTATGGAAAATAAATTGAGATGTCACCACAAAAATATATTCAGCAGATGACAATTAAATGACGATAGCCGAGAGAGGCTTGATTTACGTTACTGCTGCATGCATCTCACTTACCTGCCAATCATCTTGTGAAGCGCCCTCCATCATCAGTAAACTGCCATGCGTGAGAGGAATTCTGAGTTTCTCTGTGTACATGTATGTGTAATCTCCATTCTCCTCCTGTTTGGTTTAAAACAATTAAAGGCTCATTCATATTAACACAGTAATCTAGTCTGTGTATTAAAAACAAGAAGGCCTAGAGAATCTTGCTTTGACAGGGAAAATTGTGGGAAGAAGGAGGATACTTTAGATGGACAGTCTGCAGAAATTGTTTGAAGAGAGAGGAGTGAAAGAACTGGGAGTGGTGCTAATAGAGAAGGCTAGGAACCGAGGGTTGTGGAACAGCATGAACGCCAAAGTCAATCGATATGACACTTAGAGAGAGAGAGAGAGAGAGAGAGACTCTATGTATGTGTATGTGAGCAATAGCATGTGTGATTTCAATGAATGTGATTTCCAGCAACCTTTTTAATGATTTTGCGTAACCAAACCAGGTACTGTAAAACTAGGAACTGTCGTGATTTGAAAGAGACATCGCATTCTACTTACGGGAGGAGGTTTTTTCCTCATCTCAAACGTCCTTGAGTCGCCGAGGGAGACGGAGGCTATCGTAGGTTTGCTGCCAAGAGAGGGCTCGTCATCGCTATGCCATGAGACGTGGTCTTTGCCATTGCGGTAGAAGTTTAGAAGGCAGCTGTTGAAGGTGTGGCCAGTCCTCTCTTCAATACGGCTTTTCACATACAGCAAGGTTTCATTCCACTGATGTGTACACAATTGAAGAAGGGCACAGCATGGCAGGAGTATGGTAGCAGGAAAGAAAAGAAGAGAAAAGAAAAACAAAAAACATAGCTATGTGAGATAGGTAGTTAACTCTACAGTTGTTTTGTTTGCCTCTCGGTGTAGTTCTCACCACACGTGCAGAGCAGTAGGCATCAAGACAGAAGCATTGCTTTGTGCATCACCATGGATTTCCAGACTTGATTAGCTCTACAACAACCTTATTAATACTGATATAAAGTGATATAGATTAAATAAATTAATATTGAAGCCTTTGGTATGTCCATCCCATGATAAATACAATGGGGCACAGTGTCATTCAATGGGGCACAGTGTCATTCCGTGTGTGGCTTATAAAAAGTTACCGGTAAATCTTCATTTGTTATGGATGGAATATTATGTATGTACATGACCAAAGTGGACTGTGGCGGTCCACTTGTTTGTGTCAAAAGTCAACTGAGCAGGTAAAGCGTTTATCGCTTCACTGAAAATGATTTCTCATTAAGTTTATCATTTCACGGACCCTCAAACCCGCATTGTCTGTATACAACAATTTTTCAATTCATGACAGTAGTTATCTCCAAGTTTACAGATCCGTCTAGTTTTTCAATACAATTGTCACTGGAACAATCGATAAAGGGTGATTTTAACTGGAATAACCGATAAAGGACAAAAATCACTGGTACAATAATAGAGTATGTGTATGGGAAATCCTTTTTATTTGCCTCTAGGCCCCTGGATAATCCTTTTTTTTCTTTTTCTCTTTTTTAATAAACATATAAATTATATATTACAAATCAGAATTTAAAATTTGAATGTTTGAACTTACATCTGTATTTTTCTCCCAACTCACTTTGGTGTAAGCGTAAGGGTATTCACCGAACCAGTACGTCAATCTTGGTTCATCAAATGTTTGCCCTAAAAGAATAGAAAACCAATAAATATATGTAACAAATGTAGAGCATATATCTAAAATATAAAAGCACTTAGGGTCATTCCATGTCAAATCACCCAATGGTTTTAACCCGAACATTTTTTATTTTGATGAAACTTAGTGTACTTGTTGAGTGTGATCTCACAGCACCAAATCCAAAATTTTAGGTCAATCGGATAAGGGGTTTGGGAGATACGGCCCACCAAATTTTGAGATTTTTTCAAAAATGGGGGTGGCGGGCCTACCTTTGAACCCTTGTATTTCGGGACCTAATGGGTCAATCTTCACAAAATTTGTATTGTTGGAAAGGGTATTCAATAAGGATTCCAAATCTGCCGCCATTTTGAAAATTTGTACATGTTGGGGTACTTTGACCTCTTGACCTAAGATTTGACCTTGAAATTGACCTTGTGGATCACGTGACCTTGACAACATTTTTCATGAAATGTAATCTCTGACATGTTCACTTAAACATATAAAAGTTTCAGAGATATAATATTTTTTGTTTAGGAGTATTAAGGATTGAAAGTATCCATACAGATATTCACAATAAACCCTATCATAATGTATACAATACATGCAATATGCACAGTATAACATACATCTTCCACATGCTTTTTTGTTCTAGTCATATCCATTCTAAATGTCAGCAGTACTTGAATAGAAAATAAAATGACAAGTTCATATAGGCCTAAAGGGTTAACAGGATGTATGGCTTTAGGCCTCTGAGTCGGTTCTAGGATAATTACCCCCCTGGAAAATTAACCCCCAGGAAAGGTCCCCCCCCCCTGAGGACAATTACCCCCCAGAAAATTACCTCCTAGGACAATCTGTCCCCCCCCCCCCCCCCTATTCATTAAAGGGGAAGTCCATCCTGATAATAAGTTGGTTTTAATCAAAGCAGATTTTTTTTTGGGGAGGTAATTATCCTTGTGGGGTAATTTTCCAGGGGGGGGGGGGTAATTGTCCAGGGGGTAATTGTCCTTGGGGGGGGGGAAGATTGTCCTAGGAGGTAATTTTCTGGGGTTAATTAACCTCTGGGTGTGATAGTCCTTGGGGTAATTGTGGGGTAATTGTCCTGGGGGGGGGGGGTGGGTGAACATTTCCTGGGGGTTATTTTTCCAGGGGGGTAATTATCCTAGAACCGACTCAGAGGCCTAAAGCCATAATGGAATCCTTATTGAATACCCTTTCCAGCACTACAAATTTTGTGAAGATTGACCCATTAGATCCCGAGATACAAGGGTTCAAAGGTAGGCCCGTCACCCCCATTTTTGAAAAAATCTCAAAATTTGGTTAGCCGTATCTCCCAAACCCCTCACCCAATTGACCTAAAATTTTGGATTTGGTGCTGTGAGATCACACTCAACAAGTACACTAAGTTTCATCAAAATCAAAAATGGTCGGGTTAAGATTTTCAGATTTTTTGGGTGATTTGACATGGAATGACCCCTTATCCTTTCTATGCATCAAGTGCAACCTTCCTCTTTAAAGGAGGAAGCAAATCCATAGCTAATTTGGGCATCATCTTAAAGTAAATAAATGTAGTACCATTCTAATAAATACAGTCAAACCTACTTTTTTTCTGGGGGGGGGGGGGCATATGGGTCCCAATATATACTCAACTCCAACCTGGACATATACTTGGACAGCACGTCCACGAAAAGCTTCGAAAAAATGACCAAAAAGAAGCCACTGAAAAGTTCCTCAGCACATTGCATGTAGATTTCATAAATCTGTATGACAAGGGCAAAAAACTCAATTCCTACACAGGAAGATGGTACCTGCCGTAACAACTTATTCAGATATGCGGTGGTTAACTGTGACGGTTCTGTTTTCTACAATGACATGGGTATAATATGCCTCACATTTCTGTACCTTGTAACAAGACCTTCTAGAATACGCGTAGGACCTTTGTTGGTGCAGTCATCTTTCATTTACACGTTATAAAAAAGTGTACCACTGCATCTAAACTTCATGGACAAGCTTTAACACTTTAGTTGCTTTGTTTGCCTCTCTGCACAGCCACTCATTTGCCACATGTGCAATATTGCACAAACAATAGGAATCAATTGACAGAAGGATTGCTTTGTGCAACCAGGTGGCTTTGCAAAATCACTCATCAACAGTCTTGATTAGCTCCATGACAACCTTCTGAAACAGGTATAGATAAGTCTTGCAGTGGAAACAGTTTATCTTGAAGCCTTTAGTATATCTATCTATTATATACCGTGTGAGTCAATAAAAAGTTTACACCTAGAAAATTGATAATCAGGTGGGCTGTATATCGTACAGACCACCTTATAATTTCGTAAGAATTGCCTTTATTTATTTATTTATTTATTATTCTTTATTTTTCTTATTTCGAACCACTTTTTTGTAAGCACGATTACTTGAAAATGGCTCAATAAAATGCCTTCAAATTTGGCATACATATGTATACCGTAAATCTCTGTGTATAAGGCGCACCTGTGTATAAGGCGCACCCCTATTTTGGTTGTTTTGTTGCCGAAAACCCACGCGGGGAAGGACCTTCATTTTACATCGAGGTGCAGTTGAAGACGCTGATTTGTGCTTGTGAACTTGTCACAAATAATAGTAACAATGTCGTTTTTAGAAGAATGTGTAAGATCATTAATGTAAATTAAAAACAAAAGAGTACATATGGTACCAATGGTGCACCTTGTGGTACACCATTTGTTATAGAAAAATATATTTGAGGAATTATTATTATAAACTACATATTGAAATCTATTAGAAAGAATACTTTTAAACCAAGATGACAGACAAATTTGAGTGTTGTTGTAGTTTCCGAGTGGTGAGTCAACACACTGATTACAGAGCTGGGAGACATTGCCAGGCATAGCGCCATAAATCGAAACTAAAAAAAAAAAAAAAAAAAAAAAACTTTTTTCGGCGGCAAAAAAGTGCGCCTTATACACGGAGATTTACGGTAGGCATATATACAAAGCACAATAATGTTTTCAACATTGACCTTCACTGATGACGTTATCTAGGCGCCATTTTGTAAAATTTTACGAAAATCAACACATGATCATATCTTCATAAACAAAGGTTATTTCTCATTCATATTTATCATGATCAAGGTCAATATCCGTCCGGTCAATTGCAGGTCAAATATCGCGCGCGTGCGCGTACGTCCGCGATTTAATGCGCGCGCAAAATTTTAAAATGCTCAAAATCGTCTCAAAATCATTTTGCATACGTTTTAGGCCATTCTAAGCATTTTATAAAAAATCGCTCACACGCGCATGCGCGCGCGTTTTCGCGCCTAAAACTATTACACAACATAGAATCGCCATTTGTTTTCTTTCATAATATTTCACATATTTTTACAAACAAATTGATGCCATGTTGGTCTCTTTGTGACCATTAATAACAAGATGAGCGTCAATTCAAGATAAATGTCCGCGCGCGCGAGCTCTTTTAATACATAGTATATATGAGAAAAAACATGCCTATACAAAATCCATTGTAGCTCTTTAGGCTGCAAGGTGACCCCAATTTCGTTTTCATATTTTGATAGAGAATAAATTGGAGATATGATTTCATGTTTCATTTGACCCTCAATTAAATCATGACGTCATCATAATGGCCTCCAAACTCAAAATTTAAATTTGCATATTATGATGTCAGCATATTTATGGAAAATTGATTGTAGCTCTTTAAATATTGATCGGTTTTCTTCCAAATTTTGATATGTTCTAGCTGAGACAATTTTCTACAAATGCAGTAGCTATTATTCTTCATTTTAACAAAGGCATCATGGCGTATTTTTGCGATTAAAGGAGGCATGTCAATTTTTCACATTTTGCGTGTATTCTCTACGGGACATGACTTTTTCTCAAAACTGGATTCTACATTCCCGTCTTTCGCGAGCAATATCTACGTCCTTTTAGCTTCGATTACGCTGAGCTTCGAGTATGTTGTAGCTGAGACAATGAGATATATCTTAAATGTGCCCTTTATTTTGTCTCGATTTTTTGTTGGATCAGCCCACCTATACTTGTTCCAAACAAGTATTACAAATCTAGTTATTTTTGAAATCATCTATGAACAGTAGATTATTATACATCTTATAAAAGAGTGTTTTATCCCAAATCATTTGGTACCATTTTGTGTGTATTGTGTTCACGCTTGGATGAACAGGTGGCATTGTTTGCGAGAGTGCAAAAATCGACTTGCGCCAAAGTGATGCCTTCAGTATGTATTATGTTGGGATTAGCGGGAGAGAGAATGAATTGAATGTATCAAATAAAATGCATTGCATATGTTTTTTTGCAAAGGGCAAAGTCACACACCCACATACACGCGCACAAATGTTTGTTGATATTTAATATTCGATATTTAAAATGTGTGGCATGATTAATTTTGTTAGGGGTGTTATTTGGATCTGCAAAGACCGAATTAATACCCAAATCCCAATTGTTTTATTCAAACATCACACAGGCAACTTTGGCGCAATTCGATTTTTGCACTCTCGCAAACAATGTCTCCTGTTCATCCAAGCATGAACACATACCACACAAAAATGGTACCAAATGATTTGGGATAAAACACTCTTTCATAAGACATACAACAGTTTAATTTTCATCAAAGATTTTTCAAATAATTGGCAATTTTCTAGGTGTAAACTTTTTTTTGACTCACACTGTATACAATGTGGCACGGGGGGTGATAAGCGTGGCATGTAAAGGGTTAATTGTCATTCAAAAATGTAGAATAGTTCCCTCTTCTCACTGACCTTGTATACAATTCTGTTTCTGAGCCCATGGGATCTCATCTCTGAGTGTAGCAAACACATAATCAGCTTCTTCAGACAGCAGAAAATCCCTTGTTAAAGTGATCCTAAAAATAGAACATAAAAGTATACCACACAAAAAACGTTATGTTGCATGTACCTGCAACCTGGCAACCCTAACTCTTTATTTTAGCTGAAAAAAAGCATGGAGATACAAGCTGAAACAGGAGCACATATTGTCATTTGTTTCTATTCCAGTTTTGAATAGTATTAAGTATTTGGCGTCACCTGTGCCTGAGAGGGGTAGAGCGGACCTAATTACTGTAACCCTTGGGTCTCTCCTCCAGGTAAAACTGATTGGGGGTGTGCAGCTCGACCATTACACCGGAGTTTCCCTCTACTCTTATACGAATTGTGCAGTGGGGTATTGATGCGCAAAGGTGATGACTCTCCTCTACACAGGGCCTCCACTTAATCCTATCCGAAGGAAGGAGTATTTTCCACTGTTACCTGACCTGCATCTATGAAACAGGTTAACACACAACGCAGTCATCCATCTGGCTTAGATTCGAACCGCCTGATCTTTGGTTCGGCAGGCAGACGCTTTACCGACTTACCAACTTGCCTCCTCTTAGGCAACTTCATTTAGTGAATGCGAGGGGGGGGGGGGGTGCATGTTCTCAAGTAAAACCCCACATGTTCTCCCATGCTCAATATTAAAGGCGCTACAAATCATCAAAACTCATTTCAAAGTCAAGTTATCTAAAAAAAACTACACTAGTAATAGCTTAGCAAAAATAGTGGCACAAAATGATGCATCCAGTACGCAATATTTGAATTGTAAAAATCAAATTTTGAGGAAGAAAGATAGAAGGCTAGAAGCACCTCATTACGACATGGAGCTTGTAAAATAACTTTGATATATTAAAAGTAATGACATTACAAAATATTAAATGACTATTAATTCACAGATATCACTAAAATTATGCCTTTTGCATTCTGGACTCCTCTCTTTTTGCCACATTTTTGCTAAGCTACTTTACCATAACCAGAGCGAGCCTGGTTTCATGAAACATGTTATCACTATCACATTAGCTGTTATAAGCTACTGAAACCTTGGCATTTGATTGGCTGAGAGCAAATTTGTCATAGAAATTTAGCATTTGTTATTGATAAAAAGTTTTCTGAAACAGAGCCCAGATTTGATCATTTTAGTTACCTTGCCTCTCCACCAGGCTCCATACTGATCACATATGACCCGTCTTTTCTGCAAAAGAAAAAAACAACAACAACAGAGTGAGTTTTTGTACTAATTCTACTAAACACAAGTATTTTAGAGGACAATAACCTTGTTGGATTTATAAAACTAGGTCTGAGATAACTTAGAATAAGACCCACTGATAATTAATGCAATTTAATGTACATGTACAAGTAGTACATGTAGCTAATTACCATAATTGAGTGCAATTTCTTATTTGTCAAACTCAAAGGTTATGGTTCGTTCAATGATTATTCATTTGTGAGATTCGTTTGCCTTGAGTTTTGTCCTAAGGGGCTGTGCGATGGCCAATAATTCAACCTGCATGACCAGTGGCGTATCCAGACCTTTGCTCCAGGGGGCGCAAACAAAAGTCAAATTACTGTGATCCATAAAGATAAGCATACGCTTTTAGGTGGCTAAGCGAAATGTAGTGGTACTAAAAGACGCACACAGAACGCAAAAGGCATTATAGTTACCGGGGGGGGGGGGGGGGGGGGGGGTCACGCCCAGAAAAAACGTTGAAATGGTGTCTTTTCAGCTATATGGCGACATCAACGCTTTCCCTAAAAAGGTTTTTTTTTAAGTACTGATTGCTCAAAAACCACAAAAAGGTACCTTTTCAGGTTCATAGGTTTAGAAAATTTGCGATACATACACCATTAGGGTCCATTTCAGAGGTTGATTGACACGGGTGGGCAGCACTTACATGTATGTATGAGAGTGATCCCCCCAGATATAGTTAGTGATGTTTGTTAATTAAAATGTATTTTTGACAAATCTCAAGGAATGGCAAGGTACATTTGTAGTTCTACCTCTTATGTGATAAAATTATAATTTATACCAATCAAGCATTTTGCGTTATTTACAGGTTTTGTGCCACTACAGCTACCTTCGTAAGGAGCGCCCTGGTTTGCTTTACACGGGAAGGGGGCATCACCTAAAATAACTTATTTTAGGAAGAAAAATTTAAGAATTTTGAGAATATGTCTACACTTGGAGCCTTTCTTGAAATACAGTGATTCCTAAGTTGATTACTTCTAGTGTGGCTGTACTTCTCGTTCGGGGTCAGATATCAGTCAGAAGGGGTGCATTGTCCCGCTTGCCCCTCCTTCAAATACGCCACTTTATATGACAGAGAGAGACTAAAACCATGTGATTAATCTCACAATCTGTGGGAATTTACAATCTATTTCACTATCCCTCACGAACGTCAGTGGATTAACTGGATTTAAAAGTGAATTTGAGTCCTTTGTGATGTACTGAATGGTCATACTGAAGAGTCAAGAGTTAGCACTCCTACACAAATTTGATCTGCTCATGTCATGTGTGAGTGCTTTAATAGCAAGAACGATATTTCACTCTAAGCTTTGATACTTACGCAATCTCCTTTGGTTCTGGGACCCTTCTTATCAGACCGGTCTCTGTAAATGTTAATGTCTGTTGCAGACAATCTGACTGGCCTGATGTCAACTGCGACGTTGTAGACTCTGGGGTCTTACGCGTCAAGGACACTGCATTGGGATTGGGTCCTGTTCTATGTGGAGGCTTGGACCCAGGTCCTGCACCTGATCCTCTGGTCTGTGCATGGCAAATTTAAAAGGAGAAACATGCACAGTTAACTAGAGACATCACAATTAATCTTACCAGTACCATTATGGAATTGTACATGAGGTGTTGTCAAAAGTTGGAGATGACTACTACCGCACTAAACTAATCCAACTTGTTTTCTCTTCATCCTCTTTATCATTATCATCATCATCATCACCACCACGCGCACCACCGTCATCATCACCACCACGCGCACCACCGTCATCATCATCACCTCCACCATCATCATCATCATCATCGCCATCATCATCACCATCATCATCACCACCACCATCATCATCATCATCACCATCATCACCACCACCACCATCATCATCATCATCACCATCACCACCACCACCACCATCATCATCATCATCATCATCACCACCACCACCACCATCATCATCACCATCATCATCACCATCACCATCATCACCACCATCATCATCATCATCATCACCATCACCACCATCACCATCACCATCATCATCACCACCATCACCATCACCATCATCACCACCATCATCATCATCACCATCATCACCACCCTCATCATCATCATCACCATCATCATCATCACCACCATCATCATCATCACCATCACCATCATCACCACCATCATCATCATCACCACCATCACCATCATCACCATCATCATCATCATCATCATCATCACCACCCTCACCATCACCATCATCACCACCATCATCATCATCACCATCACCATCATCACCACCATCATCATCATCATCACCATCACCACCATCACCATCATCATCACCATCACCATCATCACCATCATCATCATCATCACCATCACCACCATCACCATCATCATCATCATCACCACCATCACCATCACCATCATCACCACCATCATCATCATCACCATCACCATCATCACCACCATCATCATCACCATCATCATCATTATTATGATTATGACTACATACCTTTGATACGGATGGTTGGCCAGCCCATGAGCCTTGAATTCTTGCTCTCTGTCTTTTGTTATCTGCCATTATAAGCAGTCAGATAACATTTCTGGTTGGAGACTTGCGTTAAACCCTAATAGGAAAACAAAACAAGAGAGTTAGAGAGAGAGGGCGTGAGAAAAATTACCTAAACATGCTAGACCATAACCTCATAGATTTGAGTATGAGAGATGAAAAAAGGGGAAATGTATTTTTAGTTATCCAAATCAAATGGCATGTTTCTGCAGGATTGTCAATGGGATATAGAGGCGGAAGACTTTCCCATTAATTAGCACATATATGCACGTAACTTGCAAAGTAGGCCTACACAGGACAACGTGCTTCTAAACTGGTAGCTACCTCACACACAATCAAAAGTAGACTAATTCAAGTTGATCGACAGCGTCGAGATGTCGTTGACCTTGTATTTTGGGCGCTTGTTCAGAAAGGTATCCAAAATTTGACCCGTAACTCCGGCGTGGAGATACCCTACTAAAACATACCCAAAATGAAGTAAATATTCATTAAATGTCCAAATAAAGATCATGAGTTAAAAGTTGATATGTTTATTACCTGTTTCGTGTCAATTTTCTTGTTATTTTGGGAGTATTTTTTGGAAAAACAATATTAGTAGACTACACACTTTTTCTCAGGTTTCACGGCAAACCGCTGCACAATACAAGTGCATATCGATGGTGGGTTGCGGGCGGACGCGCGCCTGTGTGAAGTTTTCTACCGTAATGTCTCAGATCCTCATCATGCAGCGGTTTGCCGTGAAACCTGAGAAAAAGTGTATAGTCTACTAATATCATCGTTTTTCCGAAAAATACTCCAAAAATAACAAGAAAATTGACACGAAACAGGTAATAAACATAACAACTTTTAACTCATGATCTTTATTTGGACATTTAATGAATATTTACTTCATTTTGGGTATGTTTTAAAAGGTATCTTGATCTCCACGCCGGGGTTACGGGTCAAATTTTGGATACCTTTCTGAACAAGTGCCGTATTGGGCAAGTTAACTTTGGATGGTTTTGTGAAACGTCCCGCAGGCCGGTCTCCGGTAAAGAAATGTGCTGAAAGACACATAGGTCTAGATCCCCACACAGCCAGTCCGGCTCCCTGAAACTCATATATAGACCTAGTCAAACACATATTAGATAGAGATAGATAGAGATCTAGATATATATCATCTAGTCAAACACACAGCACATCTGGCATGCGAGGTTTTGAGGTGAATTCAAGTCAACACGCAATGCAATGTGAATGTGAATCATTGAAAGTTGACTTGAAACATTTAGATCTAAGTCTATGTTCACTTCATTTTCCGCCCGGTGTACAGTCCTATTAGGGTTTTTGATCTATACTATACTTTTATTCAAGTCTCAGTTATACTATATGAATCAATCTACTTCCAAAAAAAACCCCAGAATAATAGACAACAATTAAAATAAGAAAAATCACCTTACTTAAGTGACTGTGTTGTTGGCCAAGCTCCGATCGATCCGATCTCGAAATCGTAATCTATTTTCAGTCGAAAAAGGTCTTTTTTTATCTAGAAATGAATTAAAAAAATAGAAGATATCTTATAAATTCATCAGTAAACATAATATAAAAATAATATTATCAAACATATTTAAAGCTAGTTAGTATTTGCACTAATTTTTGTCTCAAGTGCAATTTGAATTAAAAATAATACAAAAAAACATCTTAAATTACGCTAGGCAAAACAGAAGCAAAATTATTAAAAAAAAAAAAAAAAAAAAAATTGAATGACACACGCCCTTAAGACTAAAACAACAACAACAAAACAGGCGCATGATAGGTAGGTAGGGTACTTTGGTAAATATTCACTTATGAAAGATAAACGCCTAGTGTGTGGCAAAAACAGTCAACTGTGACTAGACTAATTGCCAAACAAAATTAAAAAAAAGAAAACACTAATAATACAGGTACGTACTACATAAAGAAATGGCAGGAGGAGTGAAGGGGTGTGAAAGGGGGCGGGGGCAGGGGCGGGGGGGGGGGGGGGAGGATCAACGGGGGAGGCGCGGGCGCGGGGGGCGAACACTCCTTTTTTTTTTTTTTTAATCACATTTGTTACTTTTTTTGGCCAGTGGGGAGGGGGGGGCCGGGCATTTTCATTTTTTGTTTCGGAAAAAAAAAGGTAAAATGAACGGTACCATCTTTTTAAAACCTGTTTTGTGCCAGGGGCGCCGGGCCCGTCGCCTCCTCCCTGGTAATTGTATTAGGAAAGAGAAAGTGTAAAAGGAGTAGGAAAATGGGCATGAGGAGAGATGGTTGGGAAAGTGAGAAAAGAGGAATGAGGGACTAAAGTGATTAAAGTAGAGAGGGAGACGTGTTAAAGAAAAGAGGAGCAGCAGGAGAAGCAGGATCGAGGAAGGGAGATAAAGAGAGAGAGAGAGAGAGAGAGAGAGAGAGAGAGAGAGAGAGAAAGAGTCATACAGAGAGAGCATGATAGAAACAGAAGAGAGAGAAATGTGGTATAGATCGAAGTCTCAAAAAAAATTACTTGAATATTGGCAGCAGTTAAATAAATTAGATAATAGTAAAAGAGTTATTATATATTTGGAGTTATGTTTTCTTTTCTGTGAAGTTTAAATATTTTGCATGTGCAGCCAAGCCCCCTACCCGACCGCTTAAACATTCAAATTATAGTCCTCTTCTATCTCTCTCTTCGTCGACCTCTCCCCCACTCTCTATTTCTCTCTCCCTCTTCACCATCTCTCTCTCTCTCTCTCTCTTTCTCCACCATCTCTCTCTTTCTCCATCATCTCTCTCTCTCTATTTTGATAATTATCTCCCGCTCATAATATCGATCTCTATATTTCACCTCCATTTTCTCTAAATCTGTTTTCCTCTCCACCATGATCCTCCCCTCTCATTCCCTTTCTCTCCCAATCCATTTCTCTTTCTCTTGATATCATGTTTCTATCTCTTCTAATTTATGCTGATCAGGCGCGGATCCAGGATTTCTTAGGGGGGGGGGGCCCAAATTTGAAATTATGCGAGCCAAATATTGGTACGTTATGGTGACCAACAGTGACGTAATGCGGGGGGGGGGGCGAGTTTCCCCCTCCCAGGCTTTGACGTTTCATTATATAATTAGAGAAAGAAAACGATCCTTTGTACAGTTCTCGAAAATAATTCTCGTCTGAATTTAGTTTTTCTCCTCCCGCGCGAAGCGCGGAAAATTTTACGATTTATTAAATTATTAGAGAAAGAAGACGATTCGTTGTACAGTTCTCGACTCTTAATCCTTGTCTAAATTCAGTCCCCCCCCCCCCTCCCCCTCCTGCGCGAAGCGCGGAAGCTTTGACGTTTTATTAAACTATTAAAGAAAGAAGACGATTCGTTGTACCGTTCTCGAAAATAATCCTCGTCTGAATTCAGGTTCCCCCCTCCCGCGCAAAGCGCGGAAGCTTTTAATCTTCATTTAATCATTAGAGAAGAAGACGATTCAGTGTACCGTTCTCGAAAATAATCCTCATCGGAATTTAGTTCCCCCTCCATCCCGCGCGAAGCGCATAAGCTTTTACGTTTCATTAAATAATTAAAGATTCATATTACCGTTCTCGCCTCTGAATCCTCGTCTCAATTAAGTCCCCCCCCCCCCTCCTCCCCTCCTGCGCGAGGCTTTGACGTTTTATTATTAGAGAAAGAAAACGATGCGTTGTACCGTTCTCTATACTCTTAATCCTTGTCTGAATTTCAAAGATGTTCTTTGTCTGCTCCTTTTTCTTCCTACGTCCTCTTCCGATTGGGGGGGGGGGACCGCCCCCACCCCCTGGCTACGCGCCTGCGGTCAGATAAACACATCTTGATACCTTGTCCGACCCCGCAAGCTCAGGGGTTTAAGGCAATAAATTACGGTCAGATAGGCATTCAGGGGCCCGCCTTAGGGCCCCTGGTGGGGTCGAGGCGGCGGAGCCGGCCACGGAAGCTGAGGGGCTTTAGGCGTTTAATTAAGGTCAGATGAGCATATTTTTGTGTATACCTTATTATTTTGTGACACTGGCAAGTCACTATTTGGCGTGGGGTCCAGGGGGCGGAGCCCCAAAAAATCAGGGGTTTTAGGCATTAAATTACCGTCAGATGATCATCTAAGGGCCCGTCGTAGGGCCCTAGATGGAATCCAGGGGGCAAATCCCCCGGAAGCTTATGGGTTTTAGGCATTTAATCACGGTCAGATGAGCATATTTTGATGCCTCGAGGCTCTCGATCCCCGCCGTACATCGGGCCCTAACATGTAGGAATCTCAAGAATCATATTTTTTGCCCGGTTGTAAATTTAGGATTTTTTTATTTTCCAACAAACACATACAAACGTATAATTTACTCAAAAGTGAGGAAAAATTTCGGAAATTATGTCATTCAGCATTTTTTGTAAGACACCGTTGTGGAATCAGAAATAAACCACGTTTGAATTTGATTTCCCCCAAGCCCCCCTTCCCCCCCCCCCTCTATCAGTACGCCAGTATCTCCTCTTTTCCTTTTTTTTTCTTTCCCTTTCCTTCCTTCTCTCTTATTTTGTTTTGATTGGGGGGGGGGGTGGGGGGGGGGGGGGGTTAACAGCCTGGGAGGCAAGGCCCTTTCGGCCCCCCCCCCCGATCTCCTTCTTCCCCCTTTACTTTTCTTCTTCCTCTTCTTTCTTTCCCTTTTTCTCCTTTTTCCCTTTCTCCCTTCTTTTCCTTCTTCTCTCTTTTTTTTTTTTGCGGGGGGGGGGGGGGCCAAGGCCCGCTCGGCCCCCCCCCCCTGGATCCGCGCCTGATGCTGATAACATTCACGAAAGGATATCATAGCCGCCATGGCTCTATAAGAGACCTACAAAGAAGGGGGTGATGATGTTAATGCCTCCCCTTCCCCCATGGCATTTATGGTAATATTTCTGCGTAAAAATAATGTCCTAAATTTTTCCTATAGTAAAAGAGGAAAAATCCCTCTCACTCTATATCCTTGAATATCTTCTGTAAGTTCGTTTCGAAAAGGAACAGATTGCTCGTTTTCAAGTTCTCGTGTTTCTTTCCAATATTTTCAGGTTTCCTTCAAGTGCTCACATCAATAAATAAAAAAGGGAACCAGGGCATGTTTCATTAAACTTGTCATCAATAACAAGTTAAAATAACAGTACTGTTATGAGCTACTGAGTCGTGGCATTTGATTGGCTGAGAGCCAATTTGTCATAGAAATTTAGCATTATTTTGTTATTGACAACAAGTTTTACGAAACGGGGAATGATTTAGCGCTTAGGTCAGTTTATTCGAAAGTGACTACAACGCTGATTATGATTTTAAAAAATACTCAAATTGGACGGGGACACCCCCCCCCCCCCACTCGGGGTCAAAGAGACCGCATGCGTGTTCCCAAAATCTCCGGTAAAGGGGTACTTTTTCGCGTGACAAAGTCCGGCCCTCCATTGACTTTTTACGGAGAAGGGGGGGGGGGGGGGGGGGAGTAGTTTAAAAAAGAGGGAACGTGCATACGCGTACCCTAAATAACACTGAGTGGGGAGGGGGGAGGACACCCCATCCTCTTCCTTTCTCGCTCCGTCCATCTATAGTTGTGACCTTTTCGTCTAAACTGTGAGAAACGCAGGTACGTATTCATTTTGCTGTAATAGGCCTACGATTCCTTTGACACAGCGCCTTACACTGAAAAGGTGAACTATCATACAACAATGTGAAGGTTTGTGTGAATTATTATTTTTTATATTAAAAACAAGCAAATGTTGTTGTGACTGGCATAATTTACAGAAAAGTACAACAATATATACATTTATAAAGCACTAAGCTATTCTACACTCATATTTACAGATATCGGTATTCTTGAGGAAATCTCATTGACACCGAGAGATTTAAGATTCGATTTTGTAAAATAGCAAATGAGACAATGAGAAAAGCCCTTAATTTTACCTCGAATTATCAATATAACTCCTTGTGATTTGTTCTAAACCGTAGTCTACAGAAAATGTTAAAGAGGTTTAATGGACATGGTATTTTGATTACCTTGTAAAGATTCACTTCTCTTTCTTGAAGAAATGGCAATTATATTAGTTATGGAGATGTTTTTCTGATTTCGATTGTAAATAATAATAAGAATATACTAACAACAATCAATGTAGTGCTTTTGAACCGTGCACAATTAATTCCGAATCGGCTTTAAATCGGAGACAATCGTCTTAATTACTGGTATTAAGATTCTGAGCCGATTTATCCTTTCCTCCGTCAAGTAAGCTTGAAATCTCCTAGAAGTTAGATTTGATTCATTTATGACTAAACATAGCCTCAATCATAAAGATTTTACATGCAGGAATGTTTATATTAAATGCTGTTGTATAAATTTTTCCAAATTCGGATCGCAGTCAGATCGTTTTATGTGCGCTTAGCCTTAGAGTAATAGGAATCAGTCAAGGATGACCACCCCTAGGATAACCACCCTCTAGGGCAACTACCCCCTCGGACAACTACCCCCTAGGGTAACTATCCAAGGGGGTATTTGTCTGGGGATAGTAATTGTCCTAGGGGTAGCCATCATAGGAGGGTGGGTGCCCTAGGGGGTTGTTGTCCTAAGGGGAGGTTGTCCTAGAGGGTGGTTAGCCTAGGGATAGTTATGCGGGGTGGATGTCCAGGGGTAGGTGTCCGGATACGCAAGAAGACAATTATGATTATATTATAATATAGGTTTTCCCGTCCAATTTCACCAGAGTTGCATACGTATTAAAAAAATAGTCGTTTAAGTTCGAACGATTTTTGTGAAGGCTCTGCTCTCAAGGTTCATTTTCATTATTTGAGCACTCAATTTCGTGTTATATGATTTGATTTGATTTCTGCATTTTTCCAAATATAATAACTGAATAAGAAAGATCATATAAACGTAAGGTTTAATACAAAATATACAAACAATTATAAATTCATGTCAAAATGTGTTTTTACATATCTACATATAATCAAGAAACTTCATATTTCTATAACATATTATTATAAATTTAAAGTATTATCCAAACATCTGTTGAAAAAGTGCTATTATAGGTAAAGTAGAATGTGGGGAACCTATTAAAATGCAATGCTTGTATAATACAGGTTCCTGGAAAAATCAGTAATGTATAGATGAAACACAGTAGCAGTAGAGAAAGACGAAATTTAGAAGGGAGAATTTAAACAACAAAGGACATTTGTATACAAAATAATGCATTGGCACCATTACCCAGAGTCACCCGGTTAAAATGCGTAATCACCCGAGCAATTTATTTAGCATAGCACAAAGTAGTTTATTTATAAAGGTATAGGCCTATACATAATAAAACCAGAACAGGCATCATTAATTAACATTAAGATTAGCATTGAAGAAAAAGGACTGTGGGAAGGGCAATACAAATTAAAATTAGATGTAAGAACTTAAAAGAAAAACTCGAAGTTTGCGTTTAAAGCAATTTAACGATGGTGCTTCCTATAACCTCCAAATCCAAACCATTCCAAAAAGTGAGACCGGTATACATGATTGTTTTTTGGGCAAACACTGTCCGGATTGGGGGAGATGGAAATTGTCTCTTTGTCTTTCGGGATGGGAGTGAATAACGTTGTTCAAAGCGAACATGGAAGGGATTATATTGGGCAAGTCATCCTTACTTAGCTGATACATGACAATTCCGAGGAAATAATTGCATAACTTAGATGCTTTCAGAAAACGATTTGCAAGAAATAAAACGTTAGTGTGTGCCTGTAAATCTTCCAGATTTGTTATTCTTATTGCTCTTTTTTGGATCATGAAAATCGAATTGAATTTTGTTTTTGAACAATTTCCCCACGCTACCACCCCGTAATTTAGATAAGGTAGCGACCGAGTTAAATATAATATTAAGACATGAGATGGAAAAAAAGATTTCAACTTATTTATTACACGTACGTTCCTAGACAACAGTTCGCATAAATGATCAAAATGAGTATTCCATGTTAGTTTACAGTCAATAAGATTAGAAGACCAATAAATTTAGTGGAGTTTATCTGGGTTAAGGGTAAGCCATTAACCAGAACTTGTCCTGGTAGCTCAAATAATAGTGTATTGCTGAAAATTATGAAATTAGTTTTGTTAAAATTCAGGGACAATTTGTTTGCTTGTATCCATTCAACTACAAACAGCACCTTGAACGTTCGGATCCCGGGGTTCGGATTAAATTAACATAAACAAGTTCTGTAGCTCTATGTAATTCTTACCGCAATTTTTTTGCCATAGTCATGTGTAAATGAAAGTATGCGGATGAAAATGGAGTTATACGAGCTCTTTCTTTTATGACGGTTTGTCAGAGGAATGAGATATTCAATATAAGGCAAAGGTCCCATTTCAAGGTACATACGGTTTGCATAATTTATTAAAACAGATACAGATTGCAAAGAACATAAACAGAAAAAAAAAAAAAAAAAAAAAAAAGACTGCCAAAATGCTATTAATGCTTGCCTATTCGAGAATCGTGGCGGTGCGGGTTGCGAATTTGAAAGCATTTACGTGCATTTTTAAAATTTGAACGCGCTTTTTTACACGTTTATGTGAGGAAAAAAAAAATCATCAAATCGCATGGTAATGCAATTAAATTGAATGAACTAATTAGCTTTTTGAATGTTGATCTCGGTTATCATTCAAATTCGCTCGAAATAGAATGATCGCATCGTTAAATCGGATGCAACTCTGATGAAATTTGGGCGGGAAAACCTATAGTAACAATATAAGGTAGCGCGATTATACAGTGCGTCCCAGAAAAAACGAAACCGAGAAGTATCGATGTTCTATCATAACTTAATCACAACTATAATTAATGAATGATACATATTTGGAAAGCTTAGAGTCTCCTCTTTCGTGTGATGCTACTCAGATATTGCATATTTCACGCATGAGTGATTAAAAGCAATTTGAAGGAAGGAAACCAAAAAGACATTTGGCGGGCGGTATCTGAATTTCAAAGAAAAATTCACATTTCTAGAAAGTTGAGTTTCTGCCCTTTCGTATGACACCTCAATCAGGAAAATGAGCGAGGAATGACAAAGTTCTGTTTGTTTAAAGTGGTGCTTGCATTTCCATAATTTTATTAAACGAATTCGTTTTCACTGGCTGCCTGCTGTATCAATAAACGAAATTAACAAAAGACTTAACTCCGTTTCGTTAACAATCAGCCGTAGACGAGAGTTTTCATGCATGGCTGATTGTCAACGAAACAGAGTTAAGTCTTTTGTCAAATCTGCTTTTTGCTACGGCAGGCACACAGTGAAAACGAATTCGTTTGTTAAAATTATGAAAATGTAAGGGCTACTTTAAACAAACAGAACTTTGTTATTCCTGGCTCATTTTTCTTGATTGAGGTATCATATGAAAGAGCAGAAAATGAACTTTCTAGAAATATGAATATTTCTTTAAAATTCAGATATCGCCCGCCAAATTACTTTTAGTTTCCTTCTTTCAAATTGCTTTTAATCACTCATGCGTGAAATATGCATCACGTGAGTAGCACAAACTGAAAGAGGAGACTCTAAGCTTTCCAAATATGTATCATTCATTAATTATGGTTGTGATTAAGTTATGATAAAACATCGATACTTCTCGGTTTCGGTTTTTCTGGGACACACTGTATACTACCACACTACTACTACTACTACTACTACTATTAAAACTACCAATATACTACTACTACTTCTACTACTACTACTACTACTACTACTACTACTACTATTACTGCTGCTGCTGTTGCTGCTGCTGCCACTACTACTACTACTACTACTGCTACTACTACTGCTGCTTCTACTACTTCTACAACTTTTGAAACTGGTGCTACTACTACTACCACTACTTTCATTACTGATAACCATCACACGTATCTCTAGGTTCCTATATGACTGTTATGCTACTCGTTTGGGATCAAGTCATTCGTCCTTAGATTAATGGTCAGATTTTTGGTCAATTTATCCCAGAAATATTCCTGTCCTCTCACGTTCTCATTCCAGTGAATATAGGGTCTGCCATCATTTAGGTACAACCTCGCCAAGAATGGCATTTCATCATCTGGGATGTCTTCGAGAAAGACTACGACTACGAATTCAGTCAGAGTGTCACTCACGTGGTCCATGGCCGTCCGGAACTTGAGTATGAACCAGTGGTCTTGCACTGCAGCTCTACTAAGCACTATGATGGTCTTGTAACTGTGGCTCACCACGTAATCGACGGAATCTAAGTAATGCATACCCAACACAAGGTCTTGGTCACCATAGACGTTCCTCTGAAACTGTGGTAGCCGTTCTTTGAGAGCCGGTCGGAGCTGTTCGCGAATCCATTCTTCGTCATCTTCGTCATCGTCGTAGAAAATGATGTTCACGTCAAACTCGTAGTCGTTGTGGTCTCGAGCGTTTCGCATCTCTTTATAGCCCACTGCGGCCAGTTTCAAGAGGAATAGTTTGTACCTCAACTGCCATCGGTAGTGATACAACAGCACGCTGATTACAACCAAGCTAATGGAGGCGAGGGGAATCAGAGAGAATAGACCATAGTTTATTATACAGAGTTCATTTGGATCAAAATCAAGCAGGAGTTTCTCACGAAGAGGCTCTAGAGATGCTGGCGAACAGATAGTGTCTTGCTTGTTTTTCAGGCGTGTAGGTCCATTTAACCAATCAATGAGCCACTTTAGATCACAGTTACAACTAATTGGGTTCGTTGATAGATCGAGTGATAAAATGGAGGAAAAGATCGGCTTGAAAGTGCTTTGATTAAGGCCCGTTAATCTGTTGTTGGCCAAGGAAAGATTTGTGAGCTTCAAGTTATTTGAGAACATTTGTTCCTCCAAGAAGTCGATACGATTTTCTTTAAAACTAATACTCTTTATTTGACCCAACCCCGACAACACATCATCATGAATATGCTGGATGAAGTTTCCCTCCAAAGTCAACTTCTGAAGCGATTCCAATCCCGAGAAGACAAGAGGATGTAGATTTCTAATTCCGCAATAGTCTAGATTTAGCCATTGTAAAGCAGAGAGTTGCCGGAATATCCCTGGCGGTATATCGCGTATAAAACTCAGGTGAGGGTTAATACTCAAGTCCAAATGACTAAGATCAAATAATCCATCGAATAGAGACGCGTTTGTAGTTGCATTCCATAAAATCAGGACGTAAAGGTCAGAGTGTCTCATGGTTAAATTAACAAGAGATTGTAAATGTTGAAACGATTCTCCTGGTTGAAAAGGAAGGAAGTCTGTAGGAAGAGAGTTAAGGAAAAGTGACCTTAATAATGGGGCGTCCAATTCAAAAACAGTTAATCGACTTCCGGTCAAATCAATGGTTTGAATATTGTCAAGTCCCGAAAAGGCCGTCAGCTCAAAGACAGAGAGGAGATTGTTCGAGCTCATGTCTAATAAAGTTAAATTTCCTAAACCGCGAAATACAGATGCAGATATTTCTGTAATCAGATTACCGGATAAGTCGAACTCCGATAAGTCCACTGTCCAAATCTGATTGTGAGTATTTATTTGTCTTACTTTGTTGTCGTTGATTGCCAGTACTTTTAATGCATTCATGCCGTCGAAAAAGTCTGGTTGAATTTCGAATATGGGGAGTTTGTTATCACTGAAACTGAGTTCTCTCAGTTTTGTCAAATTTGAGAAGACTAAATGATGGAGGCTATTCAGGTCGTTGAATTTTAGGTCCAGAACAGAGAGAGAAGAATTGCGTAGAGGATCAAAGAAACCTTTAGGAAACGCACCAACAGAACCATACTCGATTGTTAGCTGTTCGATGTCAGATTTTGAGATTCCGAGGACGATGTTCGCTAGCACCTCGAAACTTAAATTGTAGCGACCTAGCACCAAAGAGCGAACATGTAGTGATGCGATCACATCAGGGTCTACTGATTTGATATGGTTTCCTCCAAGATCTAGAGTATCAGTGTGGCACACAAAGGTGAAATCTCTCGACGTAAGGTGTTGTATCCGATTGATCATCATGTTTACAGTGCCGACCATGCCACAAGAACTTAAATTGATGAAGGAGAGCGAGTTGTTCAACAGATATGCAGTATCTAGATGTGGACTCCACTTTAGAGTGTCATTGGGGAGCGACTTCAAGTTTGATGACGTTAAATCGAGAATGGAAAGCTGTGCAGACATCATAAAAACGCCTGTTGCTGGAAGCGCAAGACGCTGGTTGTAGGATAGGTCCAAGTGCATCAAACCCCTGAGGGGGTAAAAAGCGGCGGATTCTATCGCTCTTATATCGTTAAAAGAAATGTCCAAGGAGTTGATTAGAGGGTATACTTCAAACGAGGAGTTCAAGAGTTTGGTGATATTGTTATGAGACAAGTCAAGCACCTCGGCATCCCCAGAAAGATTCTGGGGAACCGTATTCAGGCCTTTATTGCTGCAAGAAGCTTTTTTCAGTTCAAGGTTCTGATCGCATCCATGAAAAGATTTGTCCATGTCCAGACTTAATGATGTCATCGCCGAATCTCCATCGTGTCGATGTAAAGATTGAAAGGACGAGCTGACGAGGAGACAAGCGACAAGCAATGGGTACAAGATTGAGCCTTTTGCCATGACGTCAATAAATCACCTCTAAAAAAAAAAGGAAAGATACACCTTCGTAAGATGATAATATATCGCTCTTGAATATAATGCTAACACAAGCTCATGGAAGCATAACAAAATTGCTATCCTTTGCTGCAAACAGTCAGCCTCATTTTTGAGCTGTGCAAAGGCGCTCAGATTTGTTTTCCTTAAGAAATTGTGGCTATGATGTTCTTAATTTGTAATTAAATATAGGTTCGGGAAACAATTATGAACGTTTTCAGACGAAACTAAAAGTAATATTGCATTTCCCTTAAAACAATTAAACATTTACAAGTAATAAAATCCCACGCAAAACCAAATGAGATATTATAACGGTTATGTGTTAAAGAATACAAAGGAAAATATTTGATATCAAATGGAAGTTAACACCGACATTAAATATAATTGGCCTACTAGTAGGCAATTAAAACCTGAAACTCTTTACACAGAAATAATACAGAAATATCAATATCATTACACGCTCTTTCTACTTTCAGATATGTTGAAGTGGTATAATGAAATACCACATTTCTTAACATCGCAAATATTAATTAACATAATTATATGATTAATGTGATAGAACGGACAAAGTTCCTGAAGTAGGTGTTCCCGTCTTACGCTCATATGACATACCTGATCACGCTCACGAAGGTGAAGAAATGGTAAAGTTGTGAGAAAGTTGTGAAATGGTGGGGAATTATCCAAACGTATTCTGGGATAACTATATTTATCCATCACCCTTCTCCAATTAAATAATGAACTGGTAATCACAACGCAAGAATTCCATTCATATTAATTTAAAAAGCTAGCCCATTTCGTACACGACAAGTATGAATATCGAAGACTGGTATAGTATATAGTATCGCCCACATATTGAAAAGCTGCTACGATACTGTAATTTTACAACTCTAAAAACTGTTACACGAGTTATCCTATTGATGCAAGTTATTGATATGTTCAAAATGAAGTTTAATTGAGTTATATTAATCACAGAAACTAATCATGAAAACAATTGATGAAAGACATCATAAGGACAGAGCTGAGACTCGATTATAAGGTTTCTGATGGCCAGGCTGAAATGAAGTCATCTTCAAAATTATAATTTTAACAGGATTACTCTGCCCAACAAGTGCGTGCTTGGTAGCTAACATCTGGGCTCTCAGCTTGTAGTAGTATACTCCGTGTGATCGTGAATCAAGCGTCTTCTCTAAAGCTGCAGACGGCGAGGGACGTGCTCTGATTACTCAAGCTCAGTGGCGTAATGAGCAAAACTTTTTTTTTGTGTGTGTGAGGGGGGGGGGGGGGCAGACAATTTTTTTCTCGCATCACCCCCACTCTTACATGCAGGCTCCGCTGAACGTTATTCAAAGTGGGGTCTAGGGGCAAAGCCCCGGCGGGGGTCAAGGGGCGGAGCCACCGAAGCTCAAGCAGGAGTGGGAATCAGTAACAGTTCCAGGAATTTCTTACGAGGGGGGGGGGGGGGCACAAAATGGTATGGGGTGAAATATATGTAAAGCGATGAGCGACAGAGCGAGGCTTTAGCGGCGAGGGAGCGGAGTGACCCAGCAGGAGTGGGTCTGGGAGGGGGTTGCTGACCCCCTCTCAGAGTAGGAAGTATTTGCAATTTTCAGGCATTTCCTGGAGTAATAAGACGTAAAATTGCTTTTTCCTTCCCCCTCCAAGAGAAGGGATCTTTTGCAAATTGAGAACCACATTTGTCGCATTAATGTCCACCGGCACTTCCCGGAAAAAACGAGGCCTTCTAATTGGTTAGAAGTTAAGAGAAAAGTGATCTGTCACGTCGTGAGACGTTGTATATGCTTCGTTGCCGTACAATGCTTATTGGTCCGGCTCTTCACCAGTAGTACTTGCAAGCATTATCTCGAGTGTATAAACTGTGTTGTTATCAGGGGCGTCGTTACACCTTATTCATTGGGGGAGGAGGGGGGGGGGGGGGCGGGGGGTGTAAAGGTCACCGATTACCGACAAAACTAGCCATCAATTACCGTAAAATATATTGATGCCAATGTTCCAATGTCTGTAAATTTAATTTTGAAGCTTCGACACTTCATTAAATTATTAGAGAAGGAAGACGATCTCCATTCTCTCTGAATCTGTTTTCCTCTCCACCATCTACCTCCCCTCTCATTCCCTCTCTCCCCCCAATCCATTTCTCTTTCTCTTGATATCATGTTTCTATCTCTTCACGTTTAAACTAGGGGCGGGGGGGGGGTGTTTAGAGAGAAAATATCTTTGCAAGGAGAAATTAGGATATCATAGCCGCCATGGCTCTATAAGAGGCCTAAAAAGAGAGGTGTGATGTTAAAGATACTATGTCCCTTTTGCAGCCAACATCAAATTCTGTAGAACTTTGCAGGAGTATATGAATATTTCATGTAGGCCTATGTCCTATCTGTGAAATCAGTGTCCTAATATTCAAATTATGCAAGGAAACCTGTTTACTTGCTAGACTTCACTATCAGACACTATTGAGTGACTGACAGGCCTTTTTCTTCTTTGGTAATAACATACATAACATGAGCTGTAAATGGTACATGGGCATTTGTCTATCAATAACCCACTTCTTGTAATGGCCAAAATCATACTGATTGAATCTGTGCGCAGCAGTAAACGTACGACCATTCCGTACAATTATTGGCTGAAAATCAGACTATTAATTATTGGCTCTATAGCTCTTAAGTCGATTCGACAGCTGTAAGTCGTTATTTTCCCACTTAAAGACATTAATGTTCATATTTCCGGGTAAAAATAATGTCCTAATTTTTCACTGGTTGTAAGAGGATAATCCCTCTCACTATATCTATGAATATCTTCTGTAAGTTTGTTTCGAAAAGGAAGCAGATTGCTGGGTTTGAAGTTCTCGTATTTCTTTCCCATATTTCCAGGTTCTCAAGTTTCCTTTAAGTGCTCACATTAATAGTTAAAGAAAGGGAACCAGGGGCCTGTTTCACTTGTAATCAATAACAAGCGCATAGCCAGGATTTCATTTTAGGCGGGGGGGGGGGCGGTAGTACAGTGAGCACTTACAGAGACGATTCGTTGTACCGTCCTCGACTCTTAATCCTTGTTTGAAACAAGTTCCCCTTCCTCCGCGCGTAGCGCAGAAGCTCTGCCGCTTCATTAAATTATTAATGAAAGAAGACGTTGTACCATTCTCAAACGACTCTTATTCTTAATCCTTGTCTGAATTCAGTTTCCCCCACTCCCGCGCGGAGGCTTTGACGGTTTATAAATTATTAGAGAAAGAAGACGATTCGTTATACCGTTCTCGACTCTTAATCCTTATCTGAATTCAGTCCCCCCCCCCCCCCCCCCCACCCGCGCGAAGCGCGGAAGCTTTGACGTTTCATTAAATTATTAGAGAAAGAAGACAATTCGTTGTACCGTTCTCGACTCTTAATCCTTTTTCTTCCTACGTCCTCTTTTTTTTTTGGGGGGGGGGCGACCGCCTCCACCGCCCCCCCCCCTGGCTACGCGCCTGATCAATAACAAGTTGAAATTGCTGTTATGAGCTACTGAAATCGTGGCATTTGATTGGCTGAGAGCCGATTTGTCATAATTTTGCATTGGTTATTGATAACAAGCTTTACGAAACGGAGAATGATTTAACACCCAGGTCAGTTCTTCGAAAGTGATGACAACACTGATTATAATGTTAAAAAATACTCAAATTAGATGGGGACACCCCGCTTCCTCCCACCACCCACTCGGATTAGGAGGGACCGCATGCGTGTTCCCAAAATCTCCGGTAAAGGGGTACTTTTTTTGCGCGACAAAGTCCGGCCCGCCATTAACGCGTCCCGAGATAGAGGGAGGGAGGGGGTTAGTTTCAAACAGAGGGAACATACATACGCGGCGTACCCTAAATAACACTGAGTGGGGGGGGGGGGGGGAACCAAATCCTCATTCTTTCTCGCTCTGTCCATCCATAGTTGTGATTTTTTCGTCTAAACTGTGAGAATCACATAGGCACACCTTAATTTTTCTGAAATACGATATAATAATAATAATAATAATATTTAATTTTTATTTAGCGCTTAATGCAAAATCTCTAAGCGCTTTACAAATATACTATTACGCCGGTCAGTGCTTTGACACAGCATCTTACACTGAAAAGGTGAACTATCATACAACAATGTGAAGGTTTGTGGGAAGTATTTTTTTTATTTTATTGCAAACAAGCAAATTTTGTTGTGACTGGCATAATTTATAGAGAGTACAACAAATGTATACATTTATAAAGCACTAAACTATTCCCCACTCGTATTTGCAGATATCGGAATTCTTGAAGATCCTCAATCAAGATTTTATATGTTGGAGTGTTCATATAAAATGCTGGTGTTAATTCTTCCAAAATCGGATCGCAGTCATATTGCGTACTGTGCGCTAATCCTTAGAGTATAATAGGAATCAGTAAGTAGAAGCCCTTAAATGCTAATTCTCTTATTCAGCAAATATGAAATAATCATGATACAGCTGCAGTCATGGTGATTGCAATCCTTATATTGAAAGAAGAAAGAAACTGCCGATACAAGTACTATAAAGATTTGTGTTCAACCATTTCATAAAGTCATCATACCACTATAATGTCCTAAATTGTCCTAGCCGTAAGAGGGAAATCTCCCTCACTCCATAACTAATTTCATAATCTCACTTTCTATCTCATATTTTCAGGTTCTCAAGTTTCTCCAAGTGCTAACGTTATTAGACAAAGAAGGGGAACCAGGGGCCTGTTTCATAAAACTTGTCATCAATTAATGATAAGTTACAATAACTGGTATGAGCTACTGGAATCGTGGCATTTGAATTGCTGAGAGCAAACTTGGCATAGAAATTTAGCATTTGTTATTGATAACAAGTTATATGAAACAGGGCCCAGGTCAGTTATTTCGAAAGTGCAATACAACCCTGATTATTATGATTAAAAATGTTCAAATTAGACGGGGACATCCCATCCTCTTCCTTTCTCGCTCCGTCCATCCATAGTGTTGTGACCCTTTTGTCTAAACTGTGAGAAACACAGACATACATTAATTTTGCTGTAATACGATATTATGTTCCTTTGGCACAGCGTCTTACACTGAAAAGGTGAATTACATGTATCATACAACAATGTGAAGATTTGTGTGAAGTATTTTTTTTATTTTATTGAAAACAAGCATTTTTTTCTTGTGACTGGCATAATTTACAGAAATTACAACTAATATATACATTTATAAAGCACTAAGCTATTCCACACTCATGTTCGACATGTTCGATGGCGAGAATTTCTATATTTTCAGATATCGGTATATTCTTGAGGAAATCTCATTGACACCGAGATATTTAAGATTCAATTTTGAAAAATAGCAAATGAGACAATGAGAAAAGCCCTTAATTTTACCTCGAATTATCAATATAACTCCTTGTGATTTGTTCCAAATCGTAGTCTACAGAAAAAAATCACCATTAAAGAGGTTTAATAGACATGGTATTTTGATTACCTTGAAAAGATTCACTCCTCCATAAACACTTACACTTACAATGTACGTTTGCCGGCGCACACAACATGATCCGACTGCGAACCCATTTTTGAAGGACTGATTTCATTTATATTATTTATTGAAATGTAAACAAAGAACGTTTGGCTGATTTCGATTGTAAATGATAATAAGAATACTAACAACAATAACTGTAGTGCTTTTAAGCCTTCTAGACACAATTAATTCCGAATCGGCTTCAAATCGTAGACAATCGTATTACTGGTATGACGTCACTGAGATTCTGAGCCGATTTAGCTCTTTCTACGTCATCATCATCTAGTGCCGTCCCTTTAGAAGGGGTTGGCGGCTATGCACCTCCAAAAAGTCCCCTAAAAGTTAGATTTTATCAACTACATGAATAAAAAGATCCTCAATCATTAAGATTTTACATTTCGGAATGTTCATATAAAATGCTGTTAATTGTTAATGCTTCTAAAATCGGATCGCAGTCAGATTGTGTAGTGTGTGTTTATCCTTAGAGTAATAGGAATCAGTAAGTTGAAGCCTTTACATGCTAATTTTCTTATTCAGCAAATATGAAATAATGATGATACAGCTGCAGTCATGGTGATTGACATCCTTATATTGGAAGAAGATAGAAACTGCCGATACAAGTACTACAATATACATACATACATACATACATATTGGTATTTATTCAGCCCCTTTACATGAACATGCTCAAGGCGCTTTACATTTTAAAATACAAACATAGTAGTTATATACTCTCCAAGTGCATTACACTCTAAAAAATGACAATTACAAAGAAAACAAATGAGTTTTTAAATGTTTCTTAATATATACAGATTTTTCTTCAAGCATGCCATAAAGTCATCATATCACGAGGATAAACGCTACGTCTATGATTGCCAATTATCTTACCGATTTTCTAACCGGAACAGATTTTATTTTCAATGTATACCTAATAGCAGAAAGAAGAACAACAACATCAACAACAACAATGGTGATGATGATGATAACAACAATAATAATAATAATAATAATAATAATAATAATAATAATAATAATAATAATAATAATAATAACAATGATAATAATCATTAATGATCGTGCATATAAGAATATTAAGATGACAATTATTATTGTAACAATATTATTAGGGCGATTGTACTACTACTACTACTACTACTACTACTTCTACTATTACTACTTCTTCTACTACTACTAATACTACTAATACTACTACTACTACTACTACTTCTACCACTTTTATTACCGATTACCATCACACGTATCTCTATATTCCTGCATCATGCTGCTACTCGTTTGGGATCAAGTCATTCGTTTTTAAATTAATGGTTAGATTTTTGGTTAATGCATCCCAGAAATATTCTTGTCCTCTCACGTTCTCAGTCCAGTGGATATAGGGTCTGCCATCACTGAGGTACAACCTCGCCAAGAATGGCATTTCATTATCAGGGATGTCTTCGAGGAAGACCACGACTACGAATTCAGTCAGAGTGTCACTCACGTGGTCCATGGCCGTACGGAACTTGAGTATGAACCAGTGGTCGTGCACAGCAGCTCTGCTAAGTACTATGATGGTCTTGTAACTATGGCTCACCACGTAATCGACGGAATCTAAGTAATGCATACCCAACACAAGGTCTTGGTCACCAAAGACGTTCCTATGAAACTGTGGAAGCCGTTCTTCGAGAGCCGGTCGGAGCTTTTCGCGAATCCATTCCTCGTCATCTTGGTCATCGTCGTAGAAAATGATGTTCACGTCAAACTCGTAATCATTGTGGTCGCGAGCGTCTCGCATCTCTTTAAAGCCTAGTACCGCTAGTTTTAAGAGAAAGAGTTTGTTCCTCAACTGCCATCGGTAGTGATACAACATCACACTGATTACAACCAAGCCAATGGAGGCAAGGGGAATCAGAAGGAATAGACCATAGTTTATTGTACAGAGTTCATTCGGATCAAAATGAAGCAGGGGTTTCTCACGAAGAGGCTCCAGAGATGCTGACGAACAGATAGTTTTGTCCTTGTGTTTCAAGCGTATTGGTTCATTTAACCAATCAATAAGCCACTTTAGATCACAGTTACAAACAATTAGGTTCATTGATAGATCAAGTGATAACATGGAGGAAAAGATCGGCTTGAAAGTCCTTTGATTAAGGTGCGTTAATTTGTTGTTGGCCAAGGAAAGTTGTGTGAGCTTACAGTTATTTAAGAACATTACTTCCTCCAAGTACGCAATACGGTTTCCTCTTAAATTGATACTTGTTATTTGACCCAACCCTGACAATACATCCTCATGAATATGCTGGATGTAGTTTCCTTTCAAACTCAACTTCTGAAGCGATTCCAACCCCGAGAAGACAAGAGGATGTAGAGTTTCAATGTGGCAGTAGTCAAGATTTAGCTCTTGTAAAGCAGAGAGTTGCTGGAATATCCCTGGCGGTAGGCCTGAATATATTTCCCAAATGTTACCTATCCAACGATTACTACTCAAATCCAAATGATTGAGATCCAATAATCCATCGAAAAGAGACGCGTTTGAAGTTGGATTCCATATGTCCTCCCAGTCAAGGAAAGATTCTATCATGCTTAAATTAACAAGGGATTGTAAATATTGAAACGATTTTCCTGGTCGCAAAATAAGAAACCATGAATCAAGAGAGTTAAGGAAAAGTGATGTTAATAAAGGCGTGTTCAGTTCGAGATGAGCTATACTACTTCCGGTCAGATCAATGGTTTGAATATTGTCAAGTCCCGAAAAAGCCGTCAACTGAAAGACAGAAAGGTGTTTGTTCGAGCTCATGTCTAAGAAAGTTAAATTTCTTAAACCGCGAAATACAGATGCAGATATTTCTGTAAGCAGATTGCCAGATAAGTAAAACTCCGATAAGTCCACTGTCCAAGTGTGATCGTAAGGATTTAATAGTCTTATTTGGTTGTTGTTGATTATCAGTACCTTTAATAGATTCATGCCGTCGAAATACTCTGGGTGAATTTCGACTATGGGGAGTTTGTTATCACTGAAATTAAGTTCTCTGAGTTTTGTCAAATTTGAGAAGACTAAAGGATGAAGGCTAGTCAGATTGTTGCCTTTGAAGTTCAGAACAGAGAGAGAAGAATCGCGAAGGGGATCAAAGAAACCTTTAGGAAATGCACTAATAGAACCTTCTACGATTGTAAGCTGTTCTATGTCTGATTTTGAGATTCCGAGGATGATATTCGCCAACACCTCGTAACTCAAACGGTAGTAACCAAGTATCAAAGAGCGAACATGTAATGATGCAATCACATCAGGGTCTACTGATTGGATAGGGTTATCTTTAAGATCTAGAGTATCAGTTTGGCACACAAAGATGAAGTCTCTCGCCGTAAGGTGTTTTAGTCGATTTTCAGTCATGTCTACAGTGTCGGCCATGTCACAAGAACTTAAATTGATGAAGGAGAGCATGCTGTGGGACAGATCTGCAGTATGTAGATGTGGAATCCAGTGTAGAGTGTCATTTGGGAGCGACTTCAAGTTTGTATACGTTAAATCGAGAGTGGAAAGCTGTGAAGACATCCTAAAGACACCTGTTGCTGGAAGCACAAGACGCTGGTTACCGGATAAAGACAGGTACATTAAGCCTTTGAGGGGGTAAAAAGCGGCGGATTCTATCGCTCTTACATGGTTAAAAGAAATGTCCAAGGTGTTAGATTAGAGGGTATACTTCAAACGAGGAGTTGAAGAGTTTGGGTATCTTGTTCACAGACAGGTAAAGCACCTCGGTATCCTCAGAAAGATTCTGGGGAACCGTGTCCAGGTCTTTATCGCTGCAAGAAGCTTTTTTCAGTTCAAGGTTCTGATCGCATCCATGGAAAGATTTGTCCATGTCCAGTATTAATGATGTCATCGCCGAATCTCCATCGTGTCGATGTAAAGATTGAAAAGACGAGCTCACGAGGAAGCAAGCGACGAGCAATGGGTACAAGATTGAGCCTTTTGCCATGACGTCAATATATCACCTCTGATAAAGGAAAGGTACACCTTCGTAAGATGATAATATAACGCTCTTGAATATAATGCTAACACAAGCTCAAGGAAGCATAACAAAATTGCTATCCTTTGCTGCAGACGGTCATCCTCATTTTGAGCTGTGCAAAGGCGCTCAGATTTGTTTTCCTTAAAAATTGTGGCTATGATGTTCTTAATTTGTAATTAAATATAGGTTCGGGAAAAAATTATGAACGTTTTCAGACGAAACTAAAAGTCATATTGCATTTCCCTTAAAACAATTAAACATTTACAAGTAATAAAATCCCACGCAAAACCAAATGAGATATTATAAAGGTTATGTGTTAAAGAATACAAAGGAAAATATTTGATATCAAATAGAAGTTAACACCGACATTAAATATAATTGGCCTACTAGTAGGCAATTAAAACCTGAAACTCTTTACACAGAAATAATACAGAAATATCAATATCATTACACGCTCTTTCTACTTTCAGATATGTTGAAGTGGTATAATGAAATACCACATTTCTTAACATCGCAAATATTAATTAACATAATTATATGATTAATGTGATAGAACGGACAAAGTTCCTGAAGTAGGTGTTCCCGTCTTACGCTCATATGACATACCTGATCACGCTCACGAAGGTGAAGAAATGATAAAGTTGTGAGAAAGTTGTGAAATGGTGGGGAATTATCCAAACGTATTCTGGGATAACTATATTTATCCATCACCCCTCTCCAATTAAATAATGAACTGGTAATCACAACGCAAGAATTCCATTCATATTAATTTAAAAAGCTAGCCCATTTCGTACACGACAAGTATGAATATCGAAGACTAGTATAGTATATAGTATCGCCCACATATTGAAAAGCTGCTACGATACTGTAATTTTACAACTCTAAAAACTGTTACACGAGTTATCCTATTGATGCAAGTTATTGATATGTTCAAAATGAAGTTTAATTGAGTTATATCAATCACAGAAACTAATCATGAAAACAATTGATGAAAGACATCATAAGGACAGAGCTGAGACTCGATTATAAGGTTTCTGATGGCCAGGCCGAAATGACGTCATCTTGAAAATTAGAATTTTAACAGGATTACTCTGCCCAACAAGTGCGTGCTTGGTAGCTAACATCTGCGTTCTCAGCTTGTAGTAGTATACTCCGTGTGATCGTGAATCAAGCGTCTTCTCTAAAGCTGCAGACGGCGAGGGACGTGCTCTGATTGCTCAAGCTCAGTGGCGTAATGAGCAAAACTTTTTTTTGTGTGTGTGAGGGGGGGGGGGCAGACAATTTTTTTCTCGCATCACCCCCACTCTTACATGCAGGCTCCGCTGAACTTTTTTCAAAGTGGGGTCTAGGGGCAAAGCCCCGGCGGGGTCAAGGGGCGGAGCCACCGAAGCTCAAGGGGTATAGGCATCAGTAACAGTTCCAGGAATTTCTTACGAGGGGGGGGGGGGGGGGCACAAAATGGTATGGGGTGAAATATATGTAAAGCGATGAGCGACAGAGCGAGGCTTTAGCGGCGAGGGAGCGGAGTGACCCAGCGGGAGTGGGTCTGGGAGGGGGTTGCTGACCCCCTCTCAGAGTAGGAAGTATTTGCAATTTTGAGGCATTTCCTGGAGTAATATGACGGAAAATTGCCTTTTCCTTCCCCCTCCAAGAGACGGGATCTTTTGCAAATTGAGAACCACATTTGGCGCATTAATGTCCACCGGCACTTCCCGGAAAAAAAACGAGGCCTTCTAATTGGTTAGAAGTTAGAGAAAAGTGATCTGTCACGTCGTGAGATGTTGTATATGCTCCGTTGCCGTACAATGCACAAAGACTCTTTAACCCTATAAACCCGGGGAAAGGAACTACGTTTTTTTTTCCTCACTTTTCCCCCGGAAGCTTTTGACACTTCATTAAATTATTAGATAAAGAAGACGATCCGTTGTACCGTTTTCGACTCTTAATTCTTGTTTCGCCCCTCCCGCGCGAAGCGCGGAAGCTTTCTCGTTATTAGAGAAAGAATTACGATTCGTTGTATTGTGTCATTGTCTGAATTCAGTTCCCCCCTCCTGAGTGAAGCGCAGAATTAAGCTTTGTCTGAAATCATTTTCGCCCATCCCGCGCGTAGGGCGGAAGCTTTCACGTTTCATTAAAATATTAGTAGTCAGATGAAGGTATGGTATGACCCCAAAAAATTGCAACAAAAGGTGTTTCGACGGTTTCTGGTAGTATGTGACCTCGGAAAAAACATACTAAAAGTATACGGAAATCGAAGGTTCAGAAAGCTGTTATTTTCGAAATGGCGTCCAAGATGGCCGCCGACACTTTAAAATGGCCATAAATCACTTATTATCCATCCTAGAGACATAATTTTGGTGTGTATCCCATGGTTTCGGGGGTCAGAGAATCCATTAGGATAAGTTAGATGTTAAGCAGTGGTTCAGGAAACCACAAAATCCAATATGGCGTCCTAAGGACCACAAAACCACTAAGATTTCTCAATAGAGGGCACTTTTAATAAACAGGAAATGAACTTATAATGTTTCTCTCTCACCCTTATGGTGTCACCGACCCCCCCCCCCCCCAGGAAAAGGGACAATTCAACTAATGAAAGGTCATTGTCAGCACTGAGGTAGTGGCCGAGCGGGGGGGGGGGGGTGACAAAGACAAAGTAACAACTTAAAAATAATATCTAGACACACATTCCGTCCTTGTTTTCACGAAGTGACGGTAGTGAGGAAAATCGTCACGCAAAGTGAATGCAATTTTTTTTCACTACCGTCACTTCGTGAAAACAGCGACGATTCATAATACCTACCATACAATTACAAATGCCTAAAACTTTGTGATGTTCATGTCATCTTATAGCGAATACAAATGCAGATCTTCATGTTCCTTCATTTTGATGAAGAATGTACTTTAGTAAGGAAAAATCATCTTCTGCTTCACTATCAAGTGACTCGTTATATGGATTGTGGCATACATCAAATTGGCAAGGTCCACGCACACATGGTTTAAATACATGATAGTCTGTAACATCTGCAGGTACAGCAAGGTGTGCTACAAGCAGTACAGCAGTTGCAATGAATAAACTTAAGATTATAACTTATAATTCACTCTCCATCCATGCCATGACTTGGTAGTATGTTCTGAGGGAGAGGAATTTGGTGGAGGCTGGCGTAGGAGGGAGTCGCATTGGCAATTTTTTTGACAAACAAGTTGTATCGTAATGATGCAACTGAGTCATTACAGCAGCAACCAAACATGAAAGACATTGCTTTGATACCAAGTTCCTCTATTAGTTCGTGTGGCTGACTTGGAAGAAGGAAAGTACTAGCACTGGATTTTTAAGTGGGGCTGTATTTCACAAGCTTCTGGAAGACTGCTCTCTTTCCGATTCCGAATATCCTGGAAGTCGAATCGCAACCAGTGTAGGCATGTCGGAAAAGTAGTTGTGAGCATAGATCTTTACCCAGGTCCACTTTCAACTGCTTAATGTTCTACACCTTCAGAGCCTTGGCTGCATAGTAAGAGTGGAAGTATAGTTCCCTGCAATCTGCATCCGCGTAATGCAAGAGTAACACCAATAGGTCAGTGCCTCCTCAAATCAGACTAGTAGTCTGACGGCGAGAAGAATTCAGAGGGTGTATAACATTAAGCAGTTGAAAGTGGACCTGGGTAAAGATCTATGCTCACAACTACTTTTTCGACATGCCTATACACTGGTTGCGATTCGACTTCCCGGATATTCGGAATAGGAAAAAAAAAGCAGTCTTCCAGAAGCTTGTGAAATGCAACCTCACTTTGGAATCCTGTGTTAGTACTTTCCTTCTACCAAGTCAGCCAAAGTAACTAACTTAGAGGAACTTGGTATCAAAGCAATTACCGTCATGTTTGGTGGCCGCTGTAATGAATCAGTTGCATCATTACGATACAACTTTTTCGTCAAGAAAATTGCCAATGCAACTCCCTCCTACGTCAGCCTCCACCAAATGCACTCCCTCAAAACATACTACCAAGCTCGGGTTGGGGGGGGGGTTCGATTAGAAACCCCTACCTATTTTTAGGGGTAATTTTTCTCTATGTAAAGCCCACTTTTCACAATTTTCACAATGCAAACATCCGAAAATTTCGGAAATTTTGAAACCCATGTTTAGGGATTCTTGGTGACTCATTAGAGCGGCACACGCCTATATGTCTTAATATGTGAGTACCCCCCCCCCCCTCCCGGGCTACCAAGTCATGGGATGGGTGAAGAGCGAGAAGACACGAACGTCACAGACTGGGGCTGGAAATTAGACGACAATCATCTGGTTCCACTAATGTCAAATACGGAGGCTGCACCTAGTAATCTTCTTAATTTGATTCATTGCGACTTCTGTACTGCTTGTAGCACACCTCGCTATATCTTCAGGTGTTACGGACTACCATGTAATAGTGTGTGTGTGGACCTTGCTAATTTGATATATGCCACAATCCATATAACGAGTAACTTGATAATGAAGCAGAAGATGATTTTTTCCTTACTAAAGTACATTCCTCATCAAAATGAAGGAACATGAAGATCTGCCTGTGTATTCGCTATAAGATGACATGAACAACACGAGGTTTTAAAGATTATTTTTAAGCACTGCAACTGCTCCGCTCTTACGAATCGCCTTTATACATGTATGTGGCGTGTTATTGGATTAAAAAAAATGTATTTGCTGCACGATAAAAGGGCCGATACAAGAATATTATAATAATAATGTTATTTAATTGTTGTGTTCATGAATGAACATGGGAAGAAAAAAATCAGATGTAATTACAATGTTTTTTGTTTGTACGTGTTCATACGTGGCAATTAAATTCATGATATATAATAATAATAGCTACTCATAATACGAGAAGAGGGCTCGAACCTATTCAAAATATAAGTAGAGGTTCTCCAAATTTTTGAATTACTTAACACACAAATGATCCAGGACATTAACAAAGCACATGCTGTACAAGTTACAAAGAAATACAAGAATTATATCCTAAAACAACACAAAAATATGACAAAACTAAGAACACATAATGGAAGGCGGTCACGCAGGGCGTTCACTCACTCTATGAGTAATGTATTATTTTTGTTTTAATTAGGGGAAAGGGAAACTTTTTATTTCTTAAAAGGGTGCCGTGAACATGAAAACCCAGGTCGAAAAACCAGTAGGCTACTAGTCAACTGGTACCGGTTAAAATCAGTACATTCAACTGGTCTTTCATATGGAATTTAAAACAACGCTCTCTGGGACCAGTGAAAAAACCAGTTGACATCTGAAGATTCTGAGACCAGTTGAAAACCAATTGAGTATCAGATGAGACCATAACCAACTGATAATATATAATCAATACTGGCATCTGGCCACCAACTAGCCATATATACAGTGCGTCCCAGAAAAAACGAAACCGAGAATTATCGAGGTTTTATCATAATTTAATCACATTTATAATTAATAAATGACACATATTTGTAAATATCCTCCTCTTTCATTTAATGCAACTCCTATGATGCATATTTCACGCATGAGTGATCGAAATTAACTTGAAGAGAGGTAACCGAAAAGTCATTTGGCAGGCGGTACCTGAATTTCAAAGAGAAAATCACATTTCTAGAAAGTTGGGTTTCTGCCCTTTTATATGACACCTCAATCAGGAAAAAAGTGCAAGGAATGAAAAAGTTCTGTTCGTTTAAAGTAGCCCTTACATTTTCATAATTTTAGCAAACAAATTCGTTTTCACTGGCTGCCTGCCGTAGCAAAAAGCAGAATTGACAAAAGACTTAACTCCGTTTCGTTGACAATCAGCCATGCATGAAATTTTTCGTCTACGGCTGATTGTCAACGAAACGGATTTAAGTCTTTTGTTAATTTCGTTTGTTGATACGTCAGGCAGCCAGTGAAAACGAATTCGTTTAATCAAATTATCGAAATGCAAGCACTACTTTAAACAAACAAAACTTTGTTAAACCTGGCTCATTTTTCCTGATTGAGGTGTCATATGAAAGGGCAGAAACAGAAACACTTTCCGGAAATGTGATTTTCTCTTTGAAATTCAGATATCGTCCGCCAAACAATTTTTTGTTTTCCTCTCTTCAAATTGATTTTAATCACTCAGGCGTAAAATATGCATTATATGAGTTGCATCAAATGAAAGAGGAGGATCTAAGCTTTACAAATATGTGTCATTTATCAATTATAATTGTGATTAAGTTATGATAAAACATCAATAATTCTCGGTTTCGTTTTTTCTGGGACGCACCGTATAAACTCTTGCAATTACCCCATCACAAAGATCATATGAAGTGGATTAAAAATGAGTATCTTATTAAGTAAGCAGTTTAAAGCTCGTACATATAAAGCTCGAACATGTTTCCTGATTAGTAATTACATATATCAATATATATATGTTTACGTCTTAAATTAGATGTAAAATATGATCAGACATAATATATTTGTCAACGATTGACTAAGAAAATATAAACCAGAAAATTGATGTACATTGTCACATTTGCTTGACTTATCATGATAATTATATTTTCTGTGAAAACATGCAAATTAATCATGAATATGCATAAGATACAATGAACTGGTTTTTCAACTGGTGTATCAACTGGTATTCTACTGGTTTTCAACTGGTAAATCAGCTGGTAATCATCTACTGGTTTTCAACTGGTAAACCAACTGGTAATCATCTACTGGTTTTCAACTGGTAACTCAACTGGTAATCATCTGTGGTTTTCAACTGGTAAATCAACTGGCCTCATTATGTCAACTGGTAAATCGACTGGTCATCATATACTCGTTTTCAACTGGTAATCATTTACTGGTTTTCAACTGATAAATAAACTGGTAAACATTTACTGGTTTTCAACTGGTAAATCAACTGGTAATAATCTACTGGTTTTCAACTGGTAAATCAACTGGTAATCATCCGAACTGGTACCAGTTAGATACTGGTTTAAACTGGTACTGGTTTTATTTTCTACTGGTTTCCAACTGGTACCAGTTGATACAAGTAGTCTACTGGGCCAAGTATCAACTGGTATTCTATTTGTCCGACATTCAAATTGGTATTTCTACTGGTTTCCAAATTGTATCAATGGGTCTCAACTGGTACCAGTTGAGACCAGTCCAAACCAGTAGATACCAGTTGGAAATCTTTACTGGTTTCAACTGGTATCAACTGGAATTTCGACCTGGGAAATTTAAAAACGCTAGTTATCATGGAATCGTTTCAATTACTTTTTTTTGTTGAAAAAAACTTTCCACGAAGACTGCGCTATGGCTCAGTGGGAGAGCAGTGCAGGGATTGAAACCAAGTTGATTTTTAGTGCCCTTTGATAAAGCATTTAATCCTCATTAATACCAAGTCCCTCGGAGAGCACTCAATGCCGTTGATCCCCTGGCTGCTTATTACAAGCAGTGGCATTGAAGTAAAACAAACCATTAAACCCCAAGCGGTCACCATGCGTACTAACCACGGAGTTACAAAGTTTTATCTTGCAATGCTTCTTTGGATTATGATCTAAGATGATGAATCTTCCCATGGAGTAGGCTAAGCAAAAGAACTACGACGCTGAATATATCTACGCATCCGAGGAAAAGAAAGGAAGTGTCCATGGAACCAGTTAGGTCAAATATTCGTCCTGTAGAATCGAATAAAAGAAAATGAATTGTGAGAGACTCGATCCCGCGTTTTTAAAAATTATGAATTAAAGCATTTTTTCTTTCATTCTTTCATTAGATTAGACTTGTGCTATACACATGAACATATCTACTATTATATCCTGCATCAAACATTTGTTGGCTTTTGATTGGTTGAGAGCTCGTCACATGACCAGAAATATTTGACCTATTTTTAGAAAGTACTATATGAGAATACTATTTTGGTTTACTATTTGGGAGTTGAATAAAAAAATGTGAATTTTTATTTAAATTGAATCAATTTTTTTTCTTCAAATCGTAATTTAATGAAAACAAAATATTTTAAATCTTTTTAGATAAAAAAATTGAAATTTTTTTTTGTTCTAAATTTTTTCTCTCCCAAAAATGTTTTTTTAACTTGTTTATAATAAATGTTTGATGCAGGATATAAAACAAATAGACCATGCCTTCTATTCGATGTACTGGTTAAAATATGGGCCTCGGTGACTCCAAAAGTACCATTTGCTTCAGGGCTGGGCCCCTCAGAAAATAGTACTATTGGAGTCACCTCTTGCGCATAGTTTTAACCAGAACCTCTCAAGGCAGTGTATATTTGTATACTATAAATAAAACAACAACAACTACTAGTACTTCTATTTGTATTACTATACTACAGTTACTACTACTATTACTACCACTATACAGTGCGTCCTAGAAAAAATGAACCCGATAATTATTGATGTTTTATCATAACTTAGTCACAATAAATTATAATTAATAAATGACACATAATTGTAAAGCTTAGATCCACTTCTTTCATCTGATGCAACTCATATGATGCATGTTTCACTCATAAGTAATTCAAAACAATTTGAAGAGAGGGTACCGCCCTTTCATATGACACCTCAATCAGGAAAAATAAGCCAGGAATAACAAAGTTCTGTTTGTTTAAAATAATGCTTGCATTTCCATAATTGTATTAAACGGATTCGTTTTTAATGGCAACACACAGAGTTGACAAAAGACTCAACTCCGTTTCATTGACGACCAGCCATGCACAAAAATGACGAACAACCTGACGATAAAATATCGATAATTCTCGATTCGTTTTTTCTGGGACGCACTATATTACTACCTTATGATCTAAGATGATGAATCTTCCCATGGAGTAGGCTAAGCAAAAGAACTACGACGCTGAATATATCTACGCATCCGAGGAAAAGAAAGGAAGTGTCCATGGAACCAGTTAGGTCAAATATTCGTCCTGTAGAATCGAATAAAAGAAAATGAATTGTGAGAGACTTGATCCCGCGTTTTTTAAATTATGAATTAAAGCATTTTTTCTTTCATTCTGTCATTAGATTAGACTTGTGCTATACACATGAACATATCTACTAGTATATCCTGCATCAAACATTTGTTGGCTTTTGATTGGTTGAGAGCTCGTCACATGACCAGAAATATTAGATCTATTTTTAGAAAGTACTATATGAGAGTACTATTTTGGTTTACTATTTGGGAGTTGAAACAAAAATGTGAATTTTTATTTGAATTGAATCAATTTTTTTTCTTCAAATCTTAATTTAATGAAAACAAAATGTTTTAAATCTTTTTAGATAAAAATTGACATTTTTTTTTGTTCTAAATTTTTTCCCCCAAAAAAGTTTTTTAATTTGTTTATAATAAATGTTTGATGCAGGATATAAAACGAATATACCATGCCTTCTATTCGAGGTACTGGTTAAAATATGGGCCTCGGTGACTCCAAAAGTACCATTTGCTTCAGGGCTGGGCCCCTCAGAAAATAGTACTATTGGAGTCACCTCTTGCGCATAGTTTTAACCAGAACCTCTCAAGGCAGTGTATATTTGTATACTATAAATAAAACAACAACAACTACTAGTACTTCTATTTGTATTACTATACTACAGTTACTACTACTATTACTACCACTATACAGTGCGTCCTAGAAAAAATGAACCCGATAATTATTGATGTTTTATCATAACTTGGTCACAATAAATTATAATTAATAAATGACACATAATTGTAAAGCTTAGATCCACTTCTTTCATCTGATGCAACTCATATGATGCATGTTTCACTCATAAGTAATTAAAAACAATTTGAAGAGAGGGTACCGCCCTTTCATATGACACCTCAATCAGGAAAAATAAGCCAGGAATAACAAAGTTCTGTTTGTTTAAAATAATGCTTGCATTTCCATAATTGTATTAAACAGATTCGTTTTCAATGGCTGCCTGCCGTAGCAACACACAGAGTTGACAAAAGACTCAACTCCGTTTCATTGACGACCAGCCATGCACAAAATGACGAACAACCTGACGATAAAATATCGATAATTCTCGATTCGTTTTTTCTGGGACGCACTATATTACTACCACTACTACCATACTACTACTACTACTACTACTACTACTACAAGTTTACTACTCTTACTACTTCTATACTACTAGTATTACCACTTCTATAGTACTGCTATTACTACTACGTGTACTACTAGTATTACAGCTACTTTTACTACTACTACTACTACTATTACTACTACTATACTATTACTACTCCTACTACTACTAGTATTACCACCACTACTACTACTACTACTAATACATGTACTAATATTACTGCTGCTACTACTACTACTACTGCTGCTGCTACTACTACTACTATTACTACTACTATACTATTACTACTCCTACTACTACTAGTATTACCACCACTACTACTACTACTACTACTAATACATGTACTAATATTACTGCTGCTACTACTACTACTACTGCTGCTGCTACTACTACTACTATTACTACTACTATACTATTACTACTCCTACTACTACTAGTATTACCACCACTACTACTACTACTACTACTACTAATACATGTACTAATATTACTGCTGCTACTACTACTACTACTGCTGCTGCTACTACTACTACTATTACTACTACTATACTATTACTACTCCTACTACTACTACTAGTATTACCACCACTACTACTACTACATGTACTAATATTACTGCTGCTGCTACTACTACTACTACTACTACTGCTGCTGCTACTACTATACTACTACTACTACGACTACTACTACTACCACTACTACTACTACTGGTATTACTACTACTACTACTACTACTACTACTACTACTATACTACTACTACTACTACTACTACTACTACTACTACTACTACTACTAGTACTTATACCGCTGCAACTATTACTACTATACTACTACTCTTCCTCCTCCTATACTACAGTATGACTATTCTTCTACTACTACTGCTACTGCTACTGATAATATTGCTACACTATCCTTGGTTTAAGCATTATTGTTTACCCTTATAGATTATTTGACTATTGCCAACCATCTTGAATTTATTTTGTCCAAACTTATTCATAAGTTATTCCATGTCAAAGCACAATATTTAGTGAGTGCAATCAGAGAGATAGAGAGAGAGAGAGAGGGAGAAAGAAATACATTTCCTTTTCCACTATTGTTCCGAGGGTGTTTGTTTGTAATAGAATAGGCCAGTTCGTAGTTAAAACATGGTATAAATATGGGATAATAACTGATCTTTTCCACATGAGGTAGTATTCCCACTTTGTGCATTTTAGAATGTTCTCTGTCAAAGACATAGATGTGCTTCATGAATGCATTATATTTGCCCTCTAGAGAAGAATGATTCCATCCGTGTATCACAGAATGTACCATTGCGATGGTGCATGAATGAATATTGATTACATAACTTTCATGAGCAGGGTATCCAGTATTCGTCTCGGTGGGTTATACAATTTTGGTAAAAATGACTTTTATCTGCCCATGCGCAGATTGTATTTAGGTACGTGCTTATTCGAATGATTATTTTGTCATTGGAAAAAAAAAAAGTATTTCATCTTGTTTATCCGCACACATTGACCCATGCCCATATCATTGATCTAATTGCTCTGTTCTTCCTAGTCGCTGTCTTCTTCTCTCAATTCATATAATAACCTGAGAAAATCAAAGGAGAGAAATATTTTGGGACGCTTTTCAATCGTTCCTCTTCACTTCCTTCCTTTTGTTTGTGAAAATAACTGCAAAGTTTGCTGCAAAGGCTCTGTACACGTAGTGTATTAACCACTAGACAACGTAGACGGATTGAGTGGTATTCGGCTACTGCAGATACAATCACAGATAGATAGCCTCTCCAACCTCTTAGCAATTAATTTTATTTTGAGTACCAGGGGAGTATTAATCAAAGTCAAGCCCCATACCTAGTTAGATCTATGGTCGATTCATGAATCAAAATTCGATTTCTCGGCTAAACATTGTTTTTAACCTTTGCACAATTTTTCGAAAAGGTTGGTTAGCAATGGGGAAATTTTTATTTAAGTTACGCAGCCATTCTCACGAGGGACTTTTAGATTTACACGACGAGAGCGTGGACTGCTGTGTGTGACATTGTGTTAAAGTAGATATTCATTGAATTTAATAACTAATTTTATGTTCATTATTGCAAAGTTGAAACTTTGATTCGACAAGGTTATCAAAATTCAATGCTTGGAAACATTCGAAGTAATGATTATTATAAATTACAAAACGCTTAAATACAGCCTCGGCATAGTTCATGAAGAGCTCTTCGAACGCTGCTGAGATGTGTGAGATCACAGTATGGACATGATTTGCACAAGCAGACGATGTCCCATGACATTTCACACATTTTCAGTGCCTGTGTTTTCATCTTCTCTTGAGTTCTTTCTCTTACTTCACTACCGTCAGGCTAAATGTATATTCTATTGCCTCACTCTAAACCCCGCGCATGGTTTTATTTTGATGACAAATGCAGTGATATAAAAATAAAGGAATCTGTCGCTTGTAAACAAAATAAGACGCCATTGTATATTCAGCTGCACACACCGCGGTATGTTCGGCGTTCCAAGAGGGAAAAAAATGTCGTCCTAAGTATCATTCCGGGGGGTTTTCAATTTGAAAGTCTGGTTTCTTTGATTGTTAATTAACCCCTATCCTGTGTATTTACAAGCAAAAGATTTTAGTTTTCAGAATCGGGTCATATCCCCTTTTGAATGGTTTGACATGCCATTACATTTATATACACTAAACTCATTATAATTTGACAAATAATAGCTTTGCAATTATGTTCATTCTTTATGGGATGTCGTCTGCTTGGGCAGTAGTGGTCCATATAGTTCCGTCATTAAAACATCGATATTTTTCCGGCGAATATCTCGTATATCCCAGCTGCTATGAAGGTGGTTGTATTTGTATTTTTATAAATCACCCGATATGTAGTTGACCTAAAACTTGTACGATGGCCATCTGTTAGCTTACCAGTTTCTAGTGATACATTAGTTGACACATTTGTGATTTTCTTTGAATTTCACCTTTAAGGCACTGGGCCGTGCCCGGTAGTGCCTTAAAAGGACGTCACATTACCTTAAAAGGATGTCACACGTGGCGGTCCACGTTCTCGTCGTGTAAATCTAAAAGTCCCTATTATCTAATGTCCTAGCATACCTGTCATCCAGCCACCTGTTATTTCACCGAGCCCGGAACAAATCATGGCGAAAGGAAGAACCGTTGACGACAAAGATGGCGGAACTACGTCTACCACCGTGGTATTCTTGACGATCGTCTTCGCTCCTAAGGCTAGACCATTGAGCGTAGCAAATACGCATAATGTTGAGAAACGAGACGCTATCCCATTCAAACAAAGCGGTAACGCACCAATGATACCGAAAAGTATGAATGAATTCCTTGAAGGAAACATATCTTTATTTAGATAGTTCAAGAGTCCTGGCATCAGGCGTCCTATGATGTTTCCTATTCCAGCAACAAGAGAGAGAAACACAGCAATTGATTCATCAAATCCTTTCGCTTCTGCATTCGAAATAACGAAGACGGTCCAACCAATATACGATACCCCATGAAGATACGCAGCTAGTAATGCATACATGATTATAGGATATTCACTGAAAACCCCCATACCCGCTCCTTGACGAGCAGCCCTAAACAGTTCCACAGTCCTGCGGGAACACCGAAATAGCCATGAATCGCTTTGTGAAGCGTGGTGTTGCACTCTGTCGCCATTTCCAACACGATGTAGATCGCTCGTTGAAGAATCTTGCTCGTACGAGGCATCACGAGTCTGAGGTGTTTCTTGAAGATCACTTTGATAAGGTGGTGATTCTTTTTGCAATATGGCTTTTTCAAACAATGCCCCAGATACAACCACATGTAGGTTTATTGCTCCGAGAATAAGGAGAGCACCTTGCCAAGTGTAGGCCTCCAGGAGTTTCTGGGTGAGAAGAGGTAATATCATCATTCCCATCCCGCCACCCATTAAGCCGACTGAGAAAGGCAACATGTATTTGTCCCCAAAGGCATACATCACTGACACCATGGACGGGAGGACGGCCATTGAAAATCCGAGTCCTGCATAAAAAAGGACGAATTGTCAATCACTCATAGCGCTTGCACACGAAGCGTCGGTTCAAGCCATAGCGTATATTAAGAGAGATAGTTGTGACACGCGCATACGTATGTGAAAACAGTTCATTTCATGGAGCTCCAAATAGTTCCCTCCCATGTAGATAGTAAAATGGACCGCGTACGTGTGCGAGTGTCACAACAGTACTATCTCTTTCAGTACGCTATGGTTCAAGCGATTGATGGCATATAGTACATACACAAAAAAACAATTATTACAGGGTTATAATGTGTACAATTAAAAACAGAAATTAAGAAGTTTAGGGACATTCCATTATTATGAAAAGAAAAAGTAACGATATACCAACATTATAAAAGGTAAATAGTTAGTTCAAACCTTAAGAAATTGATACAAATATAAAAATGATTCACCAAGTTGAATCAATTCTATAATATCAAATCCCTTATTCCGTCTTTGGAAAATTATTTAATCCGCGTTTAAATTCCGCCACATGTACATCTAATATCTATCGATATATTAATCGCCGCATTCGTATGTTAAAAAAAAAAAGATTTAAAAAAAAAATTAAAAATCGTGTTTATTTTGCTTAGAAAGCATCTCTTACCTGATATAAAAAGACAGACTGCAAAGTAGATAGGTTTGGTAACTTCAGAGCATATCATAAGGCCTAGAGAGCCTATCAATCCACCAAGCATAGATAGGGAGCGAGGGGAATACCGATTAAGAAGAGCCTTTACAACAATACCTGTATTAGAGATAAACAACATTGCTTCATTCTAACACTGAAAAATGAGATAATTGTTTTCGAGAACCGAGATTTTCTTTTTACATCAGGGGGCATTTTTGGGGTAATGAAGGGTACCCTTGCTAAAATCCTTGCAGAAATACTAAGGAATAAAATAGCAATTGATGCCTCGTGCATGTTCTGATACTACAAATGCAATTTTTGGCTCATTCCCCCCCCCCCCCGATTTCTCCCAAATCACATACAATATTTGTCTAGCCTTGTTTTATATTTGACTGGTCTACTAGTAGTTGTAAAGCGCATATCACATCGAAATATAACGTCCCTAATGCGCTTCCAAAGAAGTTTCGATGTAATTACTCCGGCTTTAGCTATGTCAGCCAAAATCACCGCATAATGCATTTCAAGTAATAAATCCTGCCTGGTGACCATTTAGTACCTGGGTGGAGAGTGGCAAAGTTGTATTTATGTCTTTCCAAAAGGTGTGAGTGCCGGGCTGGAATTCAAACCCTAAACCCTTGGATTAAGAATCAAGTGAATGTTAACCGCTATATACCACCACACCTCTAGCCTTTGTCCAGCCTTTGTGAATAATATGTAGTTTCTTAGTTTTGATATTCCAACCATGGCAGAGAAATTAAAATATTAAGCCACTGCCCGATGGGAACCAGATATGTTTGGTATTAATCCTATAGAAATTAGAGACTCCAGTATCCATTGGGTAAGCTATATAGCTTAACAGCGATATAGATAGTTATGACACGTGCACACGTATACACGTACGCAATCAAAGGTTCCAAACAGCTCCCTCTAACATGCACATACAATGATAGATGCACGTGTCGCAACTATCTCTCTCAATAGACCAGTACACGGTTGGCACCTTACTGCAATGACCCCGAATATCTACAGATCTTCAAAACATGAAGAGGTCCCACTTTGTACATTTTTAAATAATCACTCCTACAGCGATGGAGGTGCTATATGAATAGCCTTTGTTCCCCCTTTTCAAAGAATACTTCCACCTGTGTACCATTGAGTGCACTAAATGTGCATCAACTTTGAATAATGTTACATAACTTTCATGAGCACGTATTCAGTATTTCGTCTCCGTGTATTTCAAAATTTATTCTGCAATGACCTTTATCTGCTCATGCTCAGACTGCAACCGTGAACTGGCTTATACGCCATCGGTTAAAGACCGTCAATACTACTGGGCCAGAAGAGATTATACCACACAGCGAGGTTACTGACAGGTGGCTATCTCATTAACATAGCTCTCTACTAGGATCATGGGGGACCAACAGGCACCGATTGGGGGAGTTTTTTTTTATATAGAGGGAGCAAGTAGCTACAAGTAGGACAGTGGGGATTTAAAGTGACTCGGTAACATTGTTGAATGTTGATGAAAAAAATTGCTTCATTTGTGTATAAAATGTTACTTACTATATTCCTTCTACTATACTAACCCTCTGACATGCAAAAAATCCTGAACAAATTCTCAAACCACAAAGATATCTATGGTTTTCTTTGAAGGCGTCGATGTGAGGCACCCTCTAACAGTGATTTAAAGTAAATTCTCCCAACCATTTTTGAATTTTCCCAACCGTTTTTCCATGACAAAAATACATAAAACAGGCTATAAACATCTGTCAACACTTAACTGTCGATCTGGAATGGAATTTAGTGCCATTTTATTGCTTTGTGACGATTTACATTCACCTAAAATGTAATTAAATTGTCCTTGTTTTGATGCTGAACAGGCTTTGACAAGTAGCAGAATAGAAGTATAATAATATAGTTGGGAGAATTAAGGAATCGATCGGATCAGTTTTTCCCAATTTGTACCATGAATAATGATCCGTTCTCACTCAAATTTTCAGATTATCTTTAATTGTACATCTAGCATTGAAGTCACTACCTTAGCACCACTATCTCTCATCTGAACAATGTTACAAAGTCCCTTTAAAGGTGAAATTCAAAGAAAATCACAAATATGTCAACTAATGTATGACTAGAAACTGGTGAGCTAACAGATGGCCATCGTACAAGTTTTAGGTCAACTACATATCGGGTGATTTATAAAAAATACAAATACAACCACCTGCATAGCAGCTGGGATATAAGAGAGATTCGCCGGAAAAATAACGATGTTTTAATGACGTCACTATATGGACTAATACTGCCCAAGCAGACGACATCCCATAAAAAATGAACATAATTGCAAAGCTTTTATTTGTCAAATTATAATGAGTTTAGTGTATATAAATGTGATGGAATGTCAAACCATTCAAAAGGGATATGACCCGATTCCGATAACTAAAATCTTTTGCTTGTAAATACACAGGATAGGGGTTAGTTAACAATCAAAGAAACACGACTTTCGAATTGAACCCCCCCCCCCCGGAATGATATTAAGGACGGCATTTGAAACGCCGAACATACCGCGGTGTGTACAGCTGAATATTCAATGGCGTCTTATTTTGTTTACAAGCGAGATTCCTTTATTTTTGTATCACTGCATTTGTCATCAAAATAAAATCATGTGCGGGGTTTGGAGTGAGGCAATAGATTATACATTTAGCCTGACGATAGTGAAATAAGAGAAAGAACTCACGAATAGATGAAAACACAGGCACTGAAAATGTGTGAGATGTCATGGGACATCGTCTGCTTGTGCAAATCGTGTCCATACTGTGATCTCACACATCTCAGAAGCGTTCGGATAGCTCTTCATGTGCTATATGCCGGGCTGTATGTATTTAAGCGTTTTATAATTTATAATAATAATTACTTCGAATGTTTCCAAGCATTGAATTTTGATAACCTTGTCGAATCAAAGTTTCAACTTTGCAATAATGAAATTAAGTTAGTTTTTAAAATCAATGAATATCTACTTTAAGATATTTAAGACAATAAGCCTTTTTCGTAAATACTATCTGCGCAAGGGCAGATAAAGGTCATTTCTGATTAAATTGTAAACCCACAGACAGGAATACGTGCTCATGTTATGTAATGATTATTCATGTGGGAACCTACGGTACATTCTCATGATACAAGAGGGCAAACAAAAGCTTTTCATGAAGCACATACATGACTTTGACATTGATTATTCTAAAATACACAAACATATGCAAAGTGAGACTTCTCCATGAGTAAAAGATATGTGGATATTTGGGGTCATTGTCAAATGAGCTAACTACGAAATGGACTACGAATATTGAATCAATCAAATTCCGTCTCTTACCTGACATTATTGTGACTGCATGGTACAGTCCAATATACATCCCTAGTCTTCCTGTGGTGGATTCGAGGTCTCTTACAATATGACCAAGAAGGACAGCAAAAGACTTAATCGTCCCTACCTCGAGAAATTGTATCAACCAACAACCAAGAACAACAAGGAATTTGTTTGCCATCTTTCTCTTCAATTCGTGTTATTGCCTCCTTGATCGTACTCTCCTCCTCCTCCTGAATTTTAATCTTGCTATAGCCTACTCTCAGGTTTTCATTTCAAAATGGCGGAATGGGACAGACGCCGGAATGCACTTGGACCACATTCGCCTCGTTATTCCAACAAATCTCCTCTAACAAAATGCAGACTTTTACACGTTTTGGTACACACGAGACCCTTACATATGGAAGTTTAACCAAGCGGGGAATCAAATATTATACCCGTCTATTGTATCCCACAGATGCATGTGTATATAGAAATGGAGGGTTGAGCAACAACAATAGACATGGACAAAGCAGATTGGTACATTGATCTACAAATATATTATACAGATATTGACTGGTAGGGCGTGTAATATAACAGGTTTTGGACCGCCGAAGGGCTTTATTATTTTCCAAAGAGAGCAGCGCTGAGGGCTGTCCAAAAATGTTATATTACACACCCTACCATTCAGTATCTGTTTTATTAGGTAGCCGTGATTACACTTTGTTATATGAATTTAAGGGTAGGCCTAACTGTAATCAATACAAAAATAATTGCCGTTGCCATGAAAGCGAAAGTCCAATGTACATCCCTAGTCTTCCTGTGGTGGATTCGACGTCTCTGACAATATGACTAAGAATGACAGCGAAAGACTTAATTGAATTGAATTGAATTTCTTTATTGTCATGCACAAAATAAAATGAAGGCATAAAAATCGTTTTACAGCTCACATTTGTATAAATATAACAATACATTAACATATCATAGACAGTAAGTACAAATAACATAAATAACATAACAATGTAATATAATTTAACCTCTCTGTTGAGAGCCAGGGGAATTATTTGATTATTTTTACTCCCCTGACTCCCAACAGACAATACTAACTTAAATAAATAGCAGAAAATGTACATGACAACAATCAATGTCATATAACATATAAATATAACAAGTCACAGCAAAGATCTAAAAATCAATTATGCATCAATTGTTAAAAAATTCAGATAAAAACTGTTTATTTTGAGTAGCAGACATAAACTAAAAGTACATCATACTGGATGGCAAAGAGGAAAGACAAGAGAAAGAACGAGAGAGAGAGAGAAAGGGAGGGAGAAATGGAGAAAGGGAAAGGGAAAGAGAGAGATAGAGAGAGAGAGAGAGAGAGAGTAGAAGAGAGGAACAGTTCAGTGTGAGATGATGCATATACAGTTTCATTCAAAACATTGCTTTGTAATAGACATTATTTATATTGCACCTGTGCTTAGTACTGTTACATTTATGAAACACTGCTATGCATGCCAAGAAATACAAATACAACTGTATGCTAGTACATGTACAGTACATATAGATGGTGGATACACTGTACAGTTGAAAGAAGAAAATTGATGCCAGATAGAAGAGGCTAGTGGAGAGACAAGAAGGAAAGAAGAAGAAGAAATGGAGAAAAGGGAAGAGAGGGAAGAAAGGAAAAGGAGGAAAAGTGAAGTGTGAGATATTGAAAATATTGTTGAAATAAATTGAACTGAATTGATGAGTCCACATGTCACTTACACACTACCAACCACCCAACCATAACAGCAGGGAAGACCCCCTCCCCCTTCAATGCCCTTGACCTTATACAAGCTGACCCATCTTCACCCCCTGTACTTCCAGGATATGAAGAGAGAGAGAGAGAGAGAGAGAGACAGACAGAAAGAGAGAGAGAGAGGGAGAGATATATGTAGGATAGAGAGAGAGAGAGAGAGAGCAGAAGAAGACAGAGGAGAGAGAGAGAGAGAGAGAGATAGAATGAGAGGGTAGGGGATCGTACTCGGGGGTGTACAGGGTCATTCATCTACAGAAATTGTTAAACACTTTCATTGCACTTGGGAGAAAGGACCTGCCGAACCTATCAGTTCTTATTCTTGGTAACCTAATTCTTCCTGATCTATTGAAAACCACTTCATTATGCAGAGGGTGATTAGAATCCTTCACAATCACTTGCAGCTTAGCCAATAATGCCCTTTCTGCAACATCTTCCAGCTCTTTCACAGAGACCCCAATTACTCTACTGCCATGTTTCACTATCCTATTCAACTTTGCTCTGTTTTTCCCACTAAGGCTGTTAAACCAGGCTAGACAGCAGAAACAGATGACTGACTGTATGACACATTGGTAGAACAGGAACATTGTATCACTTTTCACATGTAATGCTTTCATCTTTCTTAGAAAATACATACGCTGGTTGCCCTTGCTTAGTATTACCTTGGTATTACTATCCCACTTCAGTTTGTTATCAATTACAACTCCTAAGTATTTGCATTCAGCCACCTGTTGTATGGCTTTCCCATCAATGTACAGGGGCACGTTATTTGTGCCACCATTTTTCCTGTAGTCAAAGATCATTTCATGAGTTTTTGTGGCATTTAGAACAAGTGAATTCTCTTCGCTCCAAGAAACAAACTTATCAACTGTATCCCTATATGCAACTTCATCGTTGTTGGTGATCAAGCCAATGATACAAGTATCATCTGCATACTTTACTACGTGACAAGATGAAGCAGTCGAACAAGAGAAATCACTAGTAAGCAAGGTATAATGGATGGGCGAGAGCACACTTCCTTGTGGAGTGCCTGTGCTAAGTCGTCTAACTTGGGACATAACATTTCCAAAACGTACTTGTTGCACCCTGTTTGTCATGAAATCCCTTAACCATTGACATAATTTGGGATTCACAACACTGCTTAGTTTTTTCACCAAGGTTCCAGGAACTATATCGTATTAAATGCAGAAGAGAAGTCTACAAAGAGCACCCTAGCATATGCACCAGTTCTTTCCAAATGTTTACAAACTGTATGTAGAAGCTAGTAACCAATAGCATCCTCAACACTCCTGTTTGGTTGGTAAGCAAACTGGAGGGGATCTAAAATATCTTTTTTTTGTTCAACCAAGATGTTTCTCACAATTTTCTCAAAACATTTCATGACAATAGGAGTGAGGGCTACTGGTCTATAATCGTTGAGTACTTTGGGTTTTGGAATTTTGGGCACTGGGATGATTGTAGCCCATTTCCAGAAACTAGGAATACTAGAAGTATCTAGCGACCATTGAAATAGTACCTGAAACACATCAACAAGCTGTTGGGAACATGTTTTCAGAGTTTTTCCTGATACACCGTCTGGTCCTGTAGCCTTATCAGTTCTAATTGACGCAAAGACTTGTTTGACCTTTTCACGTACCTTTTACAATTATCCTTTCATTCACTGGGGTACTCTCTTGTGTACCTTCTTGCGTACATTCCTGACATTGCAAGTTATCAGTAACATTATTAAGGCAATCAAAACGACAGTAAAAATCATTTAAATCCTTTACAAAGACAGATACATCATCGTTGAGGCTTACACCTTTACCCCTCCTTCTACTTTCAAAACCAGTTATCAGTTTCAGGCCTTGCCAAGCTGCTTTGGAATTACCTTCCTTAAATTTATTTTCTACCTTACTACAGTACTGGCGCTTCATATTTACAATGTATTTCCTGAAACTCTTATTTATTGCTTTTACTGAATCTGGGTCATTATTCTATCTGCTTTGTTATTTAGAAAGACTTTACACTGCTTGTCTACCCATGGTTTGTTATTTGGATAGATTTTGATTGCTTTCTCTGGCACTATCATGTTCTCACAAAATTTGATATAATCAGTCACTACCTCTACAGCTGCTTCAAGAGATGTAATCGTCACTACCTCCAGTAATAGTACCAACCAAGCACCAAGAACGATAAGGAGTTTGTTTGCCATCTTTTCCTTCAAATCCCCCTGGCTCGCAAGGGGGGGGGGGGGGTGCGATTAAAGATGGTTTGTATTTTATTTTTTTATTTTTTACTATAGAGGTGAGAAGACATGAGCCCCTGCACACTGGCGTACTAATGGGCGGGGGGGGGGGGGGTGCTATTATAATTCGATACCAGTGATTTACAAATGTTGCTGAAATGACATGACCTACTAATATCACAAATGAGATATCAAAATATGCTCATCTGACCGTAATTAAATGCCCAAAACCCTGAGCTTACGGGGGCTCCACCCCCTTGATGCTCATCTGACCTTAATTAAATACCTAAAACCTTTGAGCTTCCAGGGGATCTGCATGTAACATGTAAGAGTGGTGGTGATGTAGATTTTTCTTCTGCCCCCCCCCCCGAAACGAAACGTTTTTGCTCATTACGCCACTGCCCCTGGAAACGTGAGCCCCCTGGAAAGTTTGCCCCCCCCCCAATCCGAAACTGCTTCCGGCGCGCCTGGTCGCTCCTACCCCCCCCCCTCCCCTAGCCCCTGACCAACCAGGCTACCTTTTCATCACCCTAAAACAATCCTACCCATGCAGGGCCACTAACAACACACAAAAAACCTCATGCATGCATGTTTTAACTTTAGAAATACCACCAATCATCATGATCATGACTACACAACAACAAACACGCCAAGCCCAAGGCCAGACCATTGAGCCGAGTACACGTTAATTTTACTTTTTTGGGGGAGATGCCCCCCCCCCCTGGCGATCAAGGAGGGGGGGGGGTGCGATTTTTCGAGGCCCCCTCCCCTCCCCAAAAAAGTCCTCTACTACTACCCCCCCCCCCCCCCCCCCCCCCCCCCCCCCCCCCTCAGTGAGCGAAATAATTGGCCGGCACGATTTTAAAATTTCATAATACTAAATTTCAAATTGATTTCAAATTTGGCCCCCCCCCCCTCCTAAGAAATCCTGGATACGTGCCTGACTACTACTGCTACTACTACTTCTGCAGCTGCTGGTACTACTACTACAACTACTCCTACTACAACCACTTTCATTACTGATTACCATCACGCGTATCTCTAAGTTCCTATATGACTGTTATGCTACTCGTTTGGGATCAAGTCATTCGTCCTTAGATTAATGGTCAGATCTTTGGTCAATTCATCCCAGAAATAATCTTGTCCTCTCACGTCCTCAGTCCAGTGAATATAGGGTCTGCCATCACTGAGATACAACCTCGCCAAGAATGGCATTTCACCATCTGGGATGTCTTCGAGGAAGACCACGACTACGAATTCAGTCAAAGTGTCACTCACGTGGTCCATGGCCGTCCGGAACTTGAGTATGAACCAGTGGTCGTGCACAGCAGCTCTGCTAAGCACTATGATGGTCTTGTAACTATGGCTCACCACGTAATCGACGGAATCTAAGTAATGCATACCGAGCACAAGGTCTTGGTCACCAAAGACGTTCCTCTGAAACTGTGGAAGCCGTTCTTCGAGAGCCGGTCGGAGCTGTTCGCGAATCCATTCTTCGTCATCGTCGTAGAAAATGATGTTCACATCAAACTCGTAGTCATTGTGGTCTCGAGCGTCTCGCATCTCTTTATATCCTAGTACGGCCAGTTTCAAGAGATAGAGTTTGTACCTCAACTGCCATCGGTAGTGACACAACAGCACGCTGAGTACAACCAAGCTAATGAAGGCAAGAGGAATCAGAGAGTAAAGACCATACTTTATTAAACAGAGTTTATTTGGATCAAAATCAAGCAGGGGGTTTTCACGAAGAGGCTCCAGTGATGCTGACGAACAGATAGTTTCGTCCTTGTTTTCCAGGTGTATAGGTTCATTTAGCCAATCAATAAGCCACTTTAGATCACAGTTACAATCGATTGGGTTCATTGATAGATCAAGTGATGAAATGGAGGAAAAGATCGGCTTCAGAGTGCTTTGATTAAGGCTTGTTAATCTGTTGTCGGCCAATGAAAGATTTGTGAGTTTCCAATTATCTGAGAACATTAGCTCCTCCAAGTACGCGATACGGTTTCCTTCAAAGTTGATACTTTTTAATTGAACCAACCCCGACAATACATCATCATGAATATGCTGGATGTTGTTGCCTTTCAAACTCAAGTTCTGAAGCGATTCCAATCCCGAGAAGACAAGAGGATGTAGATTTCTAATTTCGCAATAGTCTAGATTTAGCTCTTGTAAAACAGAGAGTTGCCCGAATATTCCTGGCGGTAGATCACTCAGGAAACGGTTACTACTCAAGTCCAAATGAATAAGATCTAATAATCCATCGAAGAGAGACGCGTTTGCATTTTTGTTCCATAGGTCCGAAATTTGAAGAAAAGAGTCTCTCATATCTAAATTAACAAGGGATTGTAAATGTTGAAACGATTCTCCTGGCCGCCAAGGACGGAAGAATGAATGAAGAGAGTTAAGGGAAAGTGATCTTAATAAACGAGTGTTTAATTCCAGAACAATTATACAACTTCCGGTCAAATCAATGGTTTGAATATTGTCAAGTCCCGAAAAGGCCGTCAGCGTAAAAGCCCGTAGGTCTTTGTTCGAGCTCATGTCTAAGAAAGTTAAATTTCTTAAACCGCGAAATACAGATTCAGATATTTCTCTAAACAGATTACCGGATAAGTCAAACTCCGATAAGTCCACTGTCCAAGTCTGATTGTGAGAATTTATTTGTCTTACTCGGTTGTGGCTGATTGTCAGGACCTTTAATGCATTCATGCCGTCGAAAAAATCTGGTTGGATTTTTTCAATAGGGCGAGTATTATAACTGAAACTAAATTGTTTGAGTTTTGTCAAATTTGAGAAGACTAAAGGATGGAGGCTATGCAGGTCGTTGCAGTAGAAGTCCAGAAAAGACAGAGAAGAATCGCGAAGAGGATCAAAGAAACCTTTTGGAAACGCACCAACAGAACCATCATTGATTTTAAGCTGTTCGATGGCTGATTTTGAGATTCCGAGGATGATGTTCGTCAACACTTCGTAGCTTAGAGGGTGGAGACCTAGCACCAAAGATCGAACATGTAGTGATGCGATCACATCAGCGTCTACTGATTGGATAGGGTTTTTTCTAAGATCTAGAGTATCAGTGTGGCATACAAAGGTGAAATATCTCGCAGTAAGGTGTTTTAGTTGATTACCACCCATGCGTACATTGTCGGCCATGCCACGAGAACTTACATTGATGTAGGAGAGCTGGTTGTATAATAGATAAACACTATCTAGATTTGGACTCCATTTTAGAGTGTCATTGGGGAGCGACTTCAAGTTTGAAGACCTTAAATCGAGAATGGAAAGCTGTGAAGACATCATAAAGGCGCCTGTTGCTGGAAGCACAAGACGCCGGTTGTAGGATAGATCCAAGTGCATTAAACCCCTAAGGGGGTAAAAAGCGGCGACTTCTATCACTCTTATATCGTTGTAAGAAATGTCCAAGGAGTTGATTAGAGGGTATGTTTCAAACGAGGAGTTTAAGAGTTTGGTGATATTGTTGTGAGACAAGTCAAGCACCTCGGTATCCCCAGAGAGATTCTGGGGAATCGTCTCCAGGCCTTTATTGCTGCAAGAAGCTTTTTTCAGTTCAACGTTCTGATCGCATCCATGGAAAGATTTGTCCATGTCCAGTGTTAAAGATGACATCGCCGAATCTCCATCGTGTCGATGTAAAGACTGAAAGGACGAGCTGACGAAGAGACAAGCGACGAGCAATGGGTACAAGATTGAGCCGTTTGCCATGACGTCAATAAATCACCTCTAAAAAAGGAAAGGTAGGCTTACACCTTTACCTGATGACAATATCTCGCTCTTTAAGTATAAACAAATTTGTATCCTTTGCTGCAGACGGTCAGCCTCATTTAGAGCTGTGAAAAGGCGCTCGGAATCAGAGATGAACAATGTATATTAATCAATGACTACAAAATATAGCTTTATAGGTCAACAGGAAGAGCACATCATCCATTGTACATTTCCTTTAGTAATCAAAATCGAAAGTACAGGTTCGGGAAACAAATATCAATGTTTTCAGACGAAACCGGAAGCACGGTCATATTTCATTTAGGATATACACTTTAATCAGTAATAAAATCACGCGCGAAACCATATGAGATATTCTAACGGTTATGTATTAGAGAACACAAGGGGAAATATTTGATATCAAATGGAAGTTCAATTTAAACTACTTTGAATTTCCGTGAACTAGTATAATAGGCCTACGAAGTCTACTTATACAAGTCGCTCATTCCTTTTTAATTTCGACAATAAAAACCTGAAACTCTTCATACAGAAATCATACAGAAATATCAATATCATTACACTCTTTCTGTTTCCAGTTATGTTGAAGTTGGATATTAAAATACCACATACCGAAAAATCGCATATAAGAACTAAAAGAATTAACACGATTAATGTGATAGAATGGATACAACTTCTAAAGTAGGCTTTCTGATCTTACGCTCGTATGATCTACCTGAGCATACTGATGAAGGTGAAGAAACGAGAAAATTTTGAGTAAGTTGTGATATGATGAGGAATTATCAAAAAATATTCTTGAATAAATATCTTTATCCACCACCCCCCCCCCCCAAAAAAAAAGCTCTGGCTTTATTTATGGCAATTAGTTAAAGCAGCAATTAAATCATTATAAGGATGTACTGCTATAATTGTATAATATTGATTTGTATTGTATTGTATTGTTATAATGATGATAATAATAATGCTTTCCAAAGAGATTCATAAAGCACCAATTGTTTGTATTGTACTGTATTGCACTGTATTTTATTGTGCCGGATTGGATTAGTTAATTGATAGAAAAATCACTAATAAATGCTGTTAAAAGTATCATGATACCATGGTTACCGTCATCATCATCTTAGCAGTCATAACCATCACTACATTAATCATCATCATCTTCTTTAAAAGAACTATCATTACTTTTATCTTATTATCATCATCACCATCATCATTATCACCATCATCATCATTATCACCATCACCATCAACATCATCATCATCATCCTCACATGCAGTTCTTCAAAGAGTTTCCAGGGTTTGCACAAAATAAGACTAAAGACAACAATGATTTCAATTTTCCATGGCTTTTTTCATTATTATTTGCATAAATATGTGAATAAAATACTGGCATAACTTGTGGCATTTTAATTCTGTACAAATACTTACGAAAATTGTGGAGCCACCATGTGGCATCCATGTACAAGGCTTATAGAACTTCTACAACAACTGCCCTATACATTCAATCTTAAAACGGTTAGAAAGGATAAAAGCTGTACACTTATACATAATATGTACAATAGAAAACCTATACATATCTTGCATTATATTCTCCCTCATATCATCTTATCAAAGAAGCATACATTTTGTTGTCATGTTTGATATAAAAGTCTAGTTGTTTTTCGTCAAAATGAGACAAACAACTTACAAAAAACGATTTGTCATGAAATGTGTATAAACAACATGCCAAAGGAGTAACAGATAGTTAAGAATATTGCATACATATTCATAGTTATATCTGTACGAAGTATCTGTGTATGATCATGGCAACTCTAAAAACATACATAAAATATTTGATTTCACATGATCACAAGAAAAATGACAATTGAGGGATAAAAATCACAAATTTCTCTGTTCATTCAAAGCATGAACTGACATGGATAATAATGATAAAAAGAAAACAATTTGTCTTGAAAGTTGAAACTAAATTTTCCCCTCTGCATTTTTTGCAATAAAATTGTATGAAGGAAGGAAAAAGAATTAACAGATTTTTTTTTTTAAATCTTGAAATTCATATCTGAATATATATTTTTTAAATCCAACACAGCTGGTTGTATCATTGAGCAATGAACAAATTTGCAAGTCATTCTCACGTCAACTTGTCAAGTTTATATTGAACATTAGAAGATTTGGAAATACAATGTATTACATACATTGAATTTACCATCCTCTTATGTATTCCACACAACAGTCCTTAAAAAAAAAGATTTTTCTGAATATTTGATCTTTGCCCTTCCAAGGTGTCCAACAAACTTTAAAAAAAGTTGTAGAACTAGTTGGAAGGTTTTTTTTCCAGGCCAACTTTGCATATTGCTTTCCACACGTGGAAGAGTTGTATATTATTCAATGACTACAAATGGTTGTATAGGTCAACAGGAAGAGCACATCATCCTGTCTTAAATTTCCTCAAAAAACAAAAACATCTCCTTTCATAAGTTGCTTCTCAAATATTTAAACTTCTAGTATCTTTGTGTAAAAAGGATTTGATATATTATTTCATCTTTACAAGGAGTATGATATATACCGTCATTACATGTATTTCAATTCATAGAGGACTGACTTAAAAACGTAAGTTTCTATCACAAATGAATTTGTATTTGACAATAATGAATTACATGTAAGAACTGTATCATCATGAAGTATATATTTCTTTACTGCTATTCTATGCTTAAAACCTATCTGATATATCAAAACAGTAGCAATTTCCTATTGACATGTACACATCTAAAGAAATCAGAATATTGTCATGGTTTACGACCAAAAAGAGATCTTTGAGCAATTAGGAACGTTGTTCATACATACATCATGGTCACTGGTATAAAAAGATCATACGAGCTTAAGGAGAATGAGGTAGTTGGTATTTATTATTCTTTACATCTTATGTAGTTTCTATCTATTAACTTCTAACTGCCCAAAGAATTCTCTTGTATTTCTTCTATGTGAAAGAAATATACCACCCCTTCTATAAATGACTGGGTTTGCAGCATAAATGGTAATAAATAGAAAATCAATGCTCATACATAACGAAAACCCATCTTTGTCCACAGAGCTAGTTTCTGTATTTTTCCTATGCTGTTTACATTTGAAGTGCTGTGGGGCTTCTTTGTATATGGCCTTCACATGAGGCTTGAAACAATTATTACAAAGAATTTATCAAAATTAGATTGTTGTATGTGCATATCTCTCTTTCTTTGATTCTGCAAGTTATTTTAACCATCAGTTGTGCTTTATTACACACACTGAATGGTATACCACTGTTGGCTTGTGGAATTGTTGTACAAAGAGTATCAAGAAGGGTAAAACATTGAAATATAGGAAAGTAGAATTTTGGAAATGGCCAAACATTTCTCCATCTCATCTTTACAAAAAAGAATGATGACTGAATGCTGTATTGACTTGTCATATTATCAATGGAGAATGTTAGCTATATAAATGCAACATCGCCTAGACGATCCAATAATAATTCAACATGCAATTAATGACATGTAGTATATGAACTTACAACAAGGTGAGATCACTAAGCATAAATTGTTCTCTATGATATTATCAGACGATCCTGTTGATCGTCTGATGATGGAGGGAGCTAACTCTGTGTTTTAGATGAGTTCACGCCCTTCGGGCTCTGAACAGACGTTATAACATATTATATATTAAAACTAAATTAGTTTTAAATCCTTGATTCTGGATTGTTTATCCTGATCCTGATAGATAGTTTGTTTGAACCAATGAATGCAGAAAAACTTACTGGGCATCATCTTCCATGAAAAAAACAACACAACTCCCATTTGCACATAGTGACATACTGACATGTGTTAAGCAAATGGTTTCGGGCTTACTTACCCGGATTTCCTTTTTTTTTTATGCTCATTACTCAACCTCTATACATTTTCTACCAACATTGTTTTGCACAAGTCATTTATTTGTAATCTTGAACATTCAGTGTAAGTATCGTTGAGAATATATTTACTATATTCACCAGAACTTAAGTTTATCTTTAAGAATGAGCTCCTTATCAGCCAAGCTTACACTCATCCACGTGTAACAATCATGACCAATATTTAAACAAGCGTGAAGATTTGGTTTGATTTTGGTATGTTGTATTTGTGTTTAGAAGCTAGGTACTAGTCACAAGTAGGGAGCCGCGTAGACTAACGGCGCCAGAGCATGGGCGCACTAGTGAACTAGCTCCATTTTGAATTCTTTCAACAATATTCCTCTACAAACGCATTTATTTGGAACATACTTGCGGAAGTGTGTGTTATATGACAACCTCCTTCACACCATTCGACGATTTCAGTGAAAGTTTGCCATAAATTATTGTTTGGCAAAGTTTGGGCTCCGAACATTTTAGATAGGCTTTAAGTCTGTGAAAGCCAATTAACTAACTGATTTTCTAACATATTAATATTTCAATGTATACCTTTAACAGAAACAAGAACAACAACATCAACTACAACAATTATAATGGTGATGGTGATGATGATTATATTAATGATAATCATGATACTAATGATAGTGAAAGAGAATATTGAGAAGACAATAATGATGACAGAATAATAGTAACAATATTAGTAGCGCGATTAAACTACTACAACTACTGCTACTACTACTTCTGCAGCTGCTGGTACTACTACTACAACTACTCCTACTACAACCACTTTCATTACTGATAAACATCACACGTATCTTTAGGTTCCAATATGACTGTTAGGCTACTCGTTTGGGATCAAGTCATTCGTCCTTAGATTAATGGTCAGAGTTGTGGTCAATTTATCCCAGAAATATTCTTGTCCTCTCACGTCCTCAGTCCAGTGGATATAGGGTCTGCCATCACTGAGGTACAACCTCACCAAGAATGGCATTTCACCATCTGGGATGTCTTCGAGGAAAACCACGACTACGAATTCAGTCAGAGTGTCACTCACGTGGTCCATGGCCGTCCGGAACTTGAGTATGAACCAGCGGTCTTGCACAGCAGCTCTGCTAAGCACTATGATGGTTTTGAAACTATGGCTCACCACGTAATCGACGGAATCTAAGTAATGCATACCCAGCACAAGGTCATCGTCACCAAAGACGTTCCTCTGAAACTGTGGAAGCCGTTCTTCGAGAGTCGGTCGGAGCTGTTCGCGAATCCATTCTTCGTCATCTTCGTCATCGTCGTAGAAAATGATGTTCACGTCAAATTCGTAGTCATTGTGGTCTCGAGCGTCTCGCATCTCGTAATACCCAACTGCGGCCAGTTTGAAGAGAAAGAGTTTGTACCTCAACTGCCATCGGTAGTGATACAACAGCACGCTGATTACAACCAAGATAATGGAGGCGAGGGGAATAAGAACAAATAGACAATTATTCATTAAACAGAGTTCATTTGGATCAAACTTAAGCAGGGGTTTCTCACGAAGAGGCTCCAGAGATGCTGACGAACAGATAGTTTTGTCCTTGTGTATCAGGCGTATAGGTCCATTTAACCAATCAAAAAGCCACTTTAGATCACAGTTACAACTAATTGGGTTCATTGATAGATCAAGTGATGAAATGGAGGAAAAGATCGGCTTGAAAGTGCTTTGATTAAGGCTTGTTAATCTGTTGTCGGCCAAGGAAAGATTTGTGAGCTTCCAGTTATTTGAAAACATTAACTCCTCCATGTACGCGATACGATTTCCATCGAAGTTGATACTTTTTATTTGACCCAACCCCGACAATACATCATCATGAATATGATGGATGTTGTTTCCTTCCAAACTCAACTTCTGAAGCGAATCCAACCCCGAAAAAACAAGAGGATGTAGACTTGTAATATCGCAGTAGTCTAGATTTAGCCATTGTAAAGCAGAGAGTTGCTGGAATATCCCTGGCGGTAAATATCTCAGGAAAGGGTTATAACTCAATTCAAAATGATTAAGATCCAATAATCCATCGAAAATAGACACGTTGGCAATGTCATTCCATAGGTTAAATATGTAGAGATTGGAGTCTGCCACGTCTAAATTAACAAGAGATTGTAAATGTTGAAACATTTTTCCTGGTCGCAAAGGAAGCCTGGCTGAATCAAGAGAGTTTAGGGAAAGTGATGTTAATAATGGGGCGTTAAATTCCAGAACAGTTAATTGACTTCCGGTCAAATCAATGGTCTGAACATTTTCAAGTCCCGAAAAGGCCGTCAGCTCAAAGACAAAGAGTTGAACGTTCCAGCTCATGTCTAAGAAAGTTAAATTTCCTAAACCACGAAATACAGATGCAGATATTTTTGTAAACAGATTACTGGATAAGTAAAACTCCGATAAGTCCACTGTCCAAATCTGATTGTGAGAATTTATTTGTCTTACTCGGTTGTTGTTGATTGTCAGGACCTTTAATGCATTCATGCCGTCGAAAAAGTCTGGTTGAATTTTGTCTATGGGGCGTTTGTTCCAACTGAAACTAAATTCTCTGAGTGTTGTCAAATTTGAGAAGACTAAAGGATGGAGGCTAGTCAGGTTGTTGTATTTTAAGCCCAGAACAGAGAGAGAACAATCGCGCAGTGGATCAAAGAAACCTTTAGGAAACGTACCAACAGAACCATCATTGATTGTAAGCTGTTCGATGGCTGATTTTGAGATTCCGAGGATGGTGTTCGCCAACACCTCGTCACTCAAAGGGTAGCCACCTAGCACCAAAGAGCGAACATGTAGTGATGCGATCACATCAGGGTCTACTGATTGGATAGGGTTTTCAAAAAGATTTAGAGTATCAGTGTAGCACACAAAGGTGAAATCTCTCTCCGTAAGGTGTTTTAGACGATTATTACCCATGTGTACAGCGTCGGCCATGCCACAAGAACTTACATTGATGAAGGAGAGGTGGTTGTCGCACAGATATGCAGTATTTAGATGTGGACTCCATTTTAGAGTGTCATCGGGTAGCGACTTCAAGTTTGATGACGATAAATCGAGAATGGAAAGCTGTGAAGACATCATAAAGACGCTTGTGGCTGGAAGCACAAGACGCGAGTTAAAGGATAGATCCAGGCACATTAAGCCCTTGAGGGGGTGAAAAACGGCGGATTCTATCGCTCTTATATCGTTAAAAGAAATATCCAAGTCGTTGATTAGAGGGTATACTTCAAACGAGGAGTTCAGGAGTTTGGTGATATTGTTATGAGACAATTGAAGAACCTCGGTATCCCCAGAGAGATTCTGAGGAACCGTATCCAGGCCTTTATTGCTGCAAGAAGCTAGTTTCAGTTCAAGGTTCTGGTCGCATCCATGGAAAGATTTGTCGATGTCCAGTGTTAAAGATGACATCGCCGAATCTCCATCGTGTCGATTTAAAGACTGAAAGGACGAGCTGACAAGGAGACACGCGACAAGCAATGGGTACAAGATTGAGCCGTTTGCCATGACGTCAATAAATCACCTCTGAAAAAGGAAAGGTAAACCTTTGTCTGATGATAATATATCGCTCTTGAATATTATGATAACACACGCTCATGGAAGCATAAATAAATTGTTATCCTTTGCTGCAGACGGTCAGCCTTATTTTGAGCTTTGCAAAGGCGATCAGATTTGTTTTCCTTAAACATTGTAGTTATGATATTCTAAATTTGTAATCAAAACTAAAATATATGTTCGGGAAATATTTATGAATGTTTTCAGACGAAACCGAAGGTCATATTGCATTGTCTGTTAAAACATTTTCAAGTAATAAAATCCCACGCAAAACCTAATGAGATATTATAACGGTTATGTGTCAAAGAATACAAAGGGAAGTATTTGCTATCAAAGTGTAGTTAACACCATAATTGACCTACTAGTCGGCTATGAAAACATAAAACTGTTAATACAGAAATCATAACGAAATATCTATATCATTACACACTCTTTCTGTTTCCAGTTATGTTGAAGTTGGATATTAAAATACCACATACAGAAACATCGCATATAAGAACTAACAGAATTAACACGATTAATGTGATAGAATGGATACAATTTCTAAAGTTGGCTTTCTGATCTTACGCTCGTATGATCTACCTGAGCATACTGATGAAGGTGAAGAAACGAGAAAATTTTGAGCAAGTTGTGATATGATGAGGAATTATCAAAAAAAATTCTTGAATAAATATCTTTATCCACCACCCCCCCCCCAAAAAAAGCTCTGGCTTTATTTATGGCAATTAGTTAAAGCAGCAATTAAATCATGATAAGGATGTACTGCTATAATTGTATAATATTGATTTGTATTGTATTGTATTGTTATAATGATGATAATAATAATGCTTTCCAAAGAGATTCATAAAGCACCAATTGTTTGTATTGTACTGTATTGCACTGTATTTTATTGTGCCGGATTGGATTAGTTAATTGATAGAAAAATCACTAATAAATGCTGTTAAAAGTATCATGATGCCATGGTTACCGTCATCATCATCTTAGCAGTCATAACCATCACTACATTAATCATCATCATCTTCTTTAAAAGTATTATCATTACTTTTATCTTATTATCATCATCACCATCATCATTATCACCATCATCATCATTATCACCATCACCATCAACATCATCATCATCATCCTCACATGCAGTTCTTCAAGGAGTTTCCAGGGTTTGCACAAAATAAGACCAAAGACAACAATGATTTCAATTTTCCATGGCTTTTTTCATTATTATTTGCATAAATATGTGAATAAAATACTGGCATAACTTGTGGCATTTTAATTCTGTACAAATACTTACGAAAATTGTGGAGCCACCATGTGGCATCCATGTACAAGGCTTATAGAACTTCTACAACAACTGCCCTATACATTCAATCTTAAAACGGTTAGAAAGGATAAAAGCTGTACACTTATACATAATATGTACAATAGAAAACCTATACATATCTTGCATTGTATTCTCCCTCATATCATCTTATCAAAGAAGCATACATTTTGTTGTCATGTTTGATATAAAAGTCTAGTTGTTTTTCGTCAAAATGAGACAAACAACTTACAAAAAACGATTTGTCATGAAATGTGTATAAACAACATGCCAAAGGAGTAACAGATAGTGAAGAATATTGCATACATATTCATAGTTATATCTGTTCGAATCATCTGTGTATGTCTATGATCATGGCAACTCTAAAAACATACATAAAATATTTGATTTCACATGATCACAAGAAAAATGACAATTGAGGGATAAAAATCACAAATTTCTCTGTTCATTCAAAGCATGAACTGACATGGATAATAACGATAAAAAGAAAACAATTTGTCTTGAAAGTTGAAACTATATTTTCCCCTCTGCATTTTTTGCAATAAAATTGTATGAAGGAAGGAAAAAGAATTAACAGATTTTTTTTTTTTAAATCTTGAAATTCATATCTGAATATATTTTTTTTATCCAACACAGCTGGTTGTATCATTGAGCAATGAACAAACTTGCAAGTCATTCTTACGTCAACTTGTCAAGTTTGTGTTGAACATGAGAAGATTTGGAAATACAATGTATTACCAGAGATGCCAACTTTTGGAAATCAGAAATAGGGAGGATTTGTAATCGACACCAATTAATGTGCGCGTAGCGCACATCTCGAGCGCGTAGCGCCCGACACATGCGGCCGGGGTCCAGGGCCCGCCTTAGGGCCCTGGAAGCTCTGGGGTTCTAGATGCTCTCTGGTGCAATCTGAGCCTTATTTTGGAGCATTTTACATGTGTATTTAGTTAAATAATTCCCCCTTTTTTTTTAAATAACATAAAAATTGTACAAAATGCATGATGAATTACTTTCAGACTTCCGATTACACAGGTACTTGATACTGTATTCGGTCTTATACTTCCGAGACCATTTCCTGGTCTTATTTTGCTGATTTTCCGCCATTTGGATTCTGTGGCAATATCCACGCATTGGTTACGGCGATCCATATGCTGAAACAATCTTTCGCTACTCTTAATTTGTCTTTTAACATAGTGGAATTATTACATGCCTAAGTTAGCAGATGATATTTCTCTTTCAATTCACAGATATATATACTGATAAGCGCCCTCCAAAAAAAAATCATAAAAAAAAAAAAAAAAAAAAAAAAAAAAAAAAAAAATCATTTTTTTTTTTTTTTTTTTTTTTAATAAATCGGGAGGATAAGGATGGTGATCGTAAGGTCGGGAGTTGGGGTGAATTATCGGGAGCCTCCCGATAAAATCGGGAGGGTTGGCATCTCTGTATTACATACATTGAATTTACCATCTTTTCACATACTCCACACAACAGTCCTTATAAAAAATATGATTTTTCTGAATATTTGATCTTTGCCTTTCCAAGGTGTCCAACAAACTTTTAGAACAGTTATTGAAACCATGCATCCAACCTTTAAAGTTGAAGAACTAGTTGGAAGGTTTTTTTTCCAGGCCAACTTTGCATATTGCTTTCCACACGTGGAAGAGTTGTATATTATTCAATGACTACAAATGGTTGTATAGGTCAACAGGAAGAGCACATCATCCTGTCTTAAATTTCCTCAAAAAACAAAAACATCTCCTTTCATAAGTTGCTTCTCAAATATTTAAACTTCTAGTATCTTCGTGTAAAAAGGATTTGATATATTATTTCATCTTTACAAGGAGTATGATATTTACCGTCATTATTTCAATTCATAGAGGACTGACGATATCTTTAAAAACGTAAGCTATCTATCACAAATGAATTTGTATTTGACAATAATGAATTACATGTAAGAACTGTATCATCATGAAGTATATATTTCTTTACTGCTATTCTATGCTTAAAAACTATCTGATATATCAAAACAGTAGCAATTTCCTATTGACATGTACACATCTAAAGAAATCAGAATATTGTCATGGTTTATGACCAAAAAGAGATCTTTGAGCAATTAGGAACGTTGTTCATACATACATCATGGTCACTGGTATAAAAAGACCACACGAGCTTAAGGAGAATGAGGTAGTTGGTATTTATTATTCTTTACATCTTATGTAGTTTCTATCTATTAAATTTTAACTGCCTAAAGAATTCTCTTTATTTCTCCATGGGAAAGAAATATCCCACCCCTTCTATAAATGACTGGGTTTGCAGCATAAATGGTAATAAATAGAAAATCAATCCTCATACAAAACGAAAACCCATCTTTGTCCACAGAGCTAGTTTCTGTATTTTTCCTATGCTGTTTACATTTGAATTTATCAAAATAAGATTGTTGTATATATTATGCATATCTCTCTTTTTTGGATTCTGCCAGTTCTTTTTGTTACCATCATTGGTGCTTCATTACACACACTAAATGTTACAGAATGTTAGCTATATAAATGCAGCATCGCCTAGACGATCCAATAATAATTCAACTTGCAATTAATGACATGTAGTCTATGAACTTACAACAAGGTGAGATCACTAAGCATAAATTGTTCTCTATCACATTAGCCTCCTGTTGATCGTCTGATGATGGAGGGAGCTAACTCTCTGTTGAAGATGAGTTCACGCCCTTCCGGCTCTGAACAGACGTTATAACATATTATAGAAATGAGCTCCTTATCAGCCAAGCTTAGCACACATTAAAAACTTGAGTGAGATAGTTATGTTACCGGGCGACCCTCTGCAATGGTTCATCCATGCTATGCACTCATCCACGTGTTACAACAATATAACAGAAAGTAGACTGCAAAATTTAGCTCATTTTATGAAGACAGAGACTGGAAGATTTACCACAGAAGGTCAATATCTATTCTACAATCTATAGAAGTCAAACACATGGGTTATGGTTAATAATTCTAGTGTTTTTCTAGGAAGTAAAATTGACAAGATTTACTCCAAATTTAGAAAACACAAACAGCTCCATTGATCCTACATGTAAGTCACAATATGCATATGGACCACATGGAAATATATAAAATCATATAAACGTACCATACACTTTAGTTACAAACATTGATAAGGAATGGCAACGGTAAATTACCTGGTTACCTGAATACATTCTGTGTTTCATTCTGACCAAAAGCTATTCAGTTTGACAGAACAAGTACAGCAGATAATTACATTGAAATCCAAAGGTTAAAAATAGGTCAAAGTTCACAGACATTTGAAAGGAACAGATCATACGTAGGATTCATCTGTATAATCAATGCTTTCAAGATTCTTTACAGTCATTTTCAAGTCTTTGCCAACCACTGTCTTTATTCTTTGCCAATCACTGCGTGCTTGACTCACTGTCTGCGCATTGTCGGATACCTTCTTAAGTCCATTCTTTGCATCCACGATTGATTTGGAGCGAGGAGAGGCGAGGGGTGAAGAGGGGGGTTCTGCATGAGGGTCGGGAAAGGGGAAGTGTAGGGCAGTGCTGCGTCCAGGGGCGGGGTCAGCAGAGTTGGATGAGTTGGTAGGTTCTTGTTGTCTTCTGCCGGGATGGTTACCAGCAGAGGTTCTACGAGGTACTTCTCCATTATGATGCCGTCTCCTAGGGGGTACCGGCTGGCTTGACCTGCGTGTGTTCTCAGCATTGCGTTGCTGGTGTTTGGTCCGTACCTCATTTCCTGCAGGCTTGGCTGTATCGCTACTGCTGCGCTGGACAGACGTGGAAGTAGACCCTTTGCGATTTGTGGCGACGCTATCACTAGATGTTCGCCTCACTCCGCGACTTTTGCTAGATCCATAACCATTCCTATACTCATCATCATCATCACTAGAATCGGTATCAGAGTCCAGGAAGATGATACCTCCAGCAGTGAGATGACGTTTAGGTTTGCCTGAACGATCTTCATGTCGATGTTTTGCCACGTTGACATCACCTGATCTCCTCCTTGGACTCTGGTCAGTGGCCAGAGTCAATGATTCACTGTCCAAACTCTTTGTGCTTTTCTGGAGCAATGCTCGTCTGTTCATGGCTTCCTGGTAAGTGGGTGGAGTTGTTCTGCATTGAGAGGAATCTGATTGGGTCTTACTGACACGCTGTTTGGTGTGCTGACCAATCGCGATGGAAGGACTGTTATTACGCTTGATGGGAGAAGGTGCCCTTTTCTCCGTCTGCTCTTGATGAGTGGGAAGACTACGTGGACTCTGGGACAAGGTGGTGGATCGAGTTGTAGCATCTTTTGGGAAGAACTCCCTAGGAGGAGTTGCTTCTTTGACTTGCGATGGTCTTAAATTGTGGTGCCTAGGTCGCACAGGTAAAGCAGTTGGACGAGAAGGCAAGCCTCGCGTGTCAGAGTTCATAAACTGTTTCTTGTAGGTTGGCTGGAAGCCATGCTGTCCTACGTTGGGCCCACTGCGAGGCGACAAGCGTCCAGCATTAGAGCTGGCAGCCTGCAATGTTTTAGTCATGTCTATCTCAGTCCTCTGGGGTTTCATACCCAGTTTAGATGAATGCAGTCTCTCAGAGGAACTAGAAGACTGTGCATCGCTCATTCTCTCTGATGATGAAGATGACATTGAGGAAGCACTGCGCCGACTGGACGTCAGTCGACGGGGGAATGTAGGTGACCCTGATCCAATGGAAGGAACAGATTGTCTACGTCCATATGACATGATGGGAGGCACTTCTTCTGTAGGAGTTGTAGGCATAGAATTCCCCCCTTGGGTATTACTTGGAATGAGTCCTTTCTCATTTATTAGCAAGCCAGAGCCATTTGCACTGGATTTCCTCGAGTTGGATCGCATGTCCTCCGGTAACATCGCACTCAACAAATTAGATGAACAGTCCTTGCTTAAATCTTTAATCAACTTTAAAGTGTCCTCACTGAGATTGTATTCCTGATCGGAGATGTCTGGGCTATTGTCTGCTGTATTGTTGGCTGAGCTTGCAAGCAGGGCCATGCGATGCCTTGCTGCTTCCTTCGAGATAGGGGCAGGCTCGGAACCTCTCCTCTGCCTCCAAAACAATTCATCACTGAACTGCGAGGATGTCTTAGCCGGTCTCCCACCAGCATTCGACACCACACTCGGTTTCTCCTTGGAATCCATGCCAGAGTCTGTTGTATCAGTGTTATCAGAATCAGGGTACAACTGATTATCACTGGACGTAATGCCAGAGTCCCTGCTCAAGGTCGATGGTGATAAGACCGGCGTGTTCCCGTAATGCCACTTATGGATGGCACCGATAGGCTCCTGTTCACTGTCATTTGCAAAGAACTCTTTCTCAATACTGTCCATAGAGGAGTCATCGCGCTTGATGTATGGCGAGATCTCGTTCAAACTATCAGAGTCGCCGCTGGAGTCGTGTCTCCTGCGCTCTGTCACCTGGACAGGAGGATCTCCAAAGAGAGTCAAGACATCATCACCAAACACTTCCTTCACGTTGTCAATCATGAACTCGACCACTGCAGGAATCTTCTTAGTGGCCATAGCCTGCAAACATAAAAAGGATGAACCATTTAATAAATATTGTTACATAAAAGGTGTTACTATTTAGTAATATAGCCACATAAAATCACTACAAATTTCAGAACAATCTGATAAAAAGCATCACATATTAGCTAAAACAAGCGTGTGTACATTGACCTTAGTACAGTGAAACCTGTATATAAAGACTGCTCTAAGAAAACATGAAAAGTGGTCTTTATAAGCAGGTAGTATCATGTATAGGTTCCTTTAGTACTGTAGGTCTCAATGAGAAACCATATTCAAGGGAAACAAAACGTGTGGTCTTTATAGACAGGTGGTGTTTATGTACAGGTTCCTTTAGTACAGGTTTCAATGAGAAACCATATTCAAGAGAAACAAAAAGTGTGGTATTTGTAGAAAGATGGTCGCTAAAGTAGGTTTGACTGTACTGCTTTATGTTGGACCCCCAAAAAAGGGTTGGAGCAATCGCTGTCAGAAGAGCAAAAGATTTGTGACTAGCTAGGGAGGATTGTTTAGTACAGGTTTCAATGAGAAACCATAATCAAGAGAAACAACAATTGTGGTCTTTCTGTACAGGTTTGAATGAACTGCTATATGTCAAACATAAATACAATGCTGTCAGGAGAGCAACCGATTCGTGACTAGCTACGGAGGGAGGATTGTTACACACCTGAGTGACAGGCCCAGCGTTGGCTAGAGACCAGAGCATGCTTGGTGCCACACAGATAGACAGGTTGTAGCTGTTCATGTTGTTCTCATCCATATGAAGAGAGACATAGTGGAGCACGTTGAACAGGTGCCGTAGCAAGACCTGGTTGATGTCCAGCAGTTGATCAAGCAAGCTACAATGAAGATAATTATAGAAATATAGTAAATATCATATATTATTATAACAATGCTTAAAATACATAACAACAACAGCAACAACAACACAAATAATAGTAATTATAACAAAAATAATGACAGAAAACAAGTATACTAATAAAGTCAATTAATGAATAACCCATAAGATAAGCTTTGCATTGCAACATGTTTCGAGCTCTGCAACAATAAAATGGCAGTTTTATTGAAACATATGTTAACCATTTCTGGAAATACTCTATGACACTATATGGATCAACTAACACATGGTTATGGGTACAAATAGTACATGTAGACTGCACATGTTTGTTTCATCAGTCAACCAAACCCCGGGGAGGTGGAATCACTCCCTCATATCTCTATGGATTCCAAACCCCTGCTTTTCTCAATGGTACAACCCTCTCTTGTTGCAGTAACATGTACCAGGATGAATCCATTGTGATTTCTAGGGGGTTTCAACTCACCTTTTGATGGCCTGTAGTCTCTCCTCCTTGTCTGCAATATCTATCGTGTTGATCCATTCCTCACACTGACTGCACACCAGTAAACTGTCTGGCAGACTCCGAAGAAAGTCCTGGGGAAAAAAAAGAGACAAATGTCATCAAAATATGAGTAAATTTTGGTTAGGTCAATATGGGGCGGGGTGGGGGGGGGGGGGGGTGAGCAATCTTTGGCACTTTTTCAAAGAAAACATGTATTCAACAACATTCAAATACACTGAACCCAATACCGCTAAGGAATATATAACAGAAAGAAAAAAGAGTGTTTTCACATCAAAATACTTTATTATAGCCCTATGCCATGTGACTTCTCATGAGCTCTTATTAAAATTTGTCCTTTTCCCCTCCTTCCTCAATCATATCTCAAAGATAACCCTTGGCCTGGTCACTTAATGACTCCCTATCCAACCTACACAGGCAGCTGACATTTCTAACAACTCGGGGGCGATAATTCTGGCGACTCCAGGAAATGGTCGCAGGAAATCAGCGACTCTGACCAGCGAATCGTTGCCTCTGACCGGCAAGGCATCAGCATGTTAACCAATCAGCTGTTGTGTCTTTTGCAAACGGTCAACTTGATTTTTGCTTGTATGTATATGTAGTGCATGTAGTATGTATTTGCTATGGTGGCAGAGAGTCATTTTTTAACAGTTTTTAAACCTTTGAAATCAAGAACCACTGCTGAAATGTAACATAAATTTCATATCTATGTTGTAAATAGGTTGAAGTCTGAATTGATAAAGATGGTTTGTTTGCTTTGCTCAAGTTGGAGGTTTTTAACAATTCTTTTCCAAAAGCTGTGGTTGTATAAATATATCGATGATCCTTTACTCATTTCAATGAAATTATGCCCCAATTATCTGCAATAAGATCACAAAGTGGTGAGTCATTGAAATGAGTTAGTGATCATCAATATATTTATACATGAACAACCATATCTTTTGGAAAAGAATTGCCTCAATTATCTGCGATAAGATATCACCAAGCGGTGAGTCGGTGCATACCTTTAGAACCGATGCAGCAACATGGATGGACACATCGTCCAGACTGCACTGCTCCCCAGCATCGAGGGCCTCCCGTAGCTCACGACACACCCTGGCGTTGGCAGACTTTCTGAAGATGCCCGTCACAAACGGGGCCTGGTGGTAGAGGGTGGTGAGGAGGTCCATTACGGGCTTGGGCAGGGTGTTATCAGGGCACACCATGCTCAGCGGGAGACCAAATAACCTGCAGGAGATGGAGAGAGAGATTGGAAGAGACCTAGTTATTTATAGTGCTGTTTGTGGTATGAAATTTAGAGAGAGAGAGGGATAAGGGAGGGAGAGAGAAATAAGGGAGAGAGGGAGAAGGGGGAGGGGGGGGGGGGGGGGGGGGAGGAAAGACGGAAAAGAGATGGAGCAAAGATCGAAAGACAAACAGAAGTATAGAGACAGACATACTGAGAGTGACAAATATAAAGCATGATACAATAGAAGAGACTACAAGAGAGAAAGATAGAGAGAGATAGAGAGACAGAGAAACAGAGAGAAAGAGATACAGAGATTAGGGCAGGGGAAAAAGGAGAGAGAGAGAGAGAGAGAGAGAGAGACAGACAGAAAGAGAAAGACATACAGTGAGTTTGCTAAAAATATTACCTTGCATGAGGCGAGATCGGTGATGATCCCGGTGATGACCCATCTTTATTTGAGATACTCCTCTTGAAGGAGAGCTTGAACGGAGACTTACGCCCTTTTTTCAGTCTTCTCTGGATAGCTGAGGAGTCTATACATGGAAAAGAAAGGGTCGAGCTGGTAAATCATCTTGCCATCACATCATCACAACTAACTACAAATAATTGCATCTGCTCTTTTTTCAGAAAAATTCCATACCTCCAATTTGCTCTCAGCCAATTAAATTTGATGATTTCAGTAGCTTTTAAAGCCCCACTGTACTACTTATAGCTACTTGTGCCCCTTATAAAACAAACAATACCTAATCTGTGCCTGTTGGTCCCCCAGGATCCCCTTTTCTTTATGTTAATTGAGAGCTGATTTGATGAGATAACCACCTGTCAGTGACCTTGCAGGGAGGTCTAATCCCCCTGGCCAAACTAGTACAGACAGGCTTTAACAGTTACCGCAGCTTATCATTGTTAACAAGTTTTATGAAACAGGGCCTTGGTATTTACCAATTCCTCCTGAACCCGTCTTTCCCTTCCTCCTGATAATGAACTGACACTGATGTTCTCTCAGTTCGTTCTCAGCGGAGGAGAGGTGCTCCATCTCAGAACTAAACACCACATCACTTGGTTTGTCTTGTGCATCACGTATGTGGCTCATCTTGATTGCATATGGATACTCGTGACCTGCAAAAGAAGAGGCAATTCCACATTTATCTATACAACAGTTTCACATTAATCTTTTATCTATCAACAACAACAACAACAGGTTATTTCATCGTTGTTTGAATTAAGCATCTGTTAAACCAAATCAATTTTACTTGTTAATATTTATCCACAACTGCAATATACTATTCCTCTTTTCTTACACTAGAGTTTTACATAAATTTCATATAGTTTTTTTAAAAAAGAGTTCATTTGTTGTAGATCAGAGGAGAAGGAGATTGTTTCATCAAACTATTTTTTTCACACATTTGGTTCCTAACTTCCTATTATGACTAAAGGTGAATATACAAGCTTGAGTGTCAGGAGTGGCTTGACATTATACATACATACATACATGCATACGTACGTACATGTAATGCGCTGTACAAGCATGCATCTGTTTAATGCTTTACATTAACCCACTCCCCTTCAACTCATGGATACAAATTAATCATCGACATGACTTACCTATGAGAGGATAGAGCGAGTCTTCCCTGCCTGACTGAACCCAGAGCTGGTAATCATTTCTCGCTTCTTCTGGCATACCAAACTCCTGCATGGCCATATCAAGCAGGTTGCTTGAATGCTGATGGTTACCAATCTGCAAGGTTTTGGACTGGGGAACAAAGAACAAAAAAACAGAAACATTACATTACGTGTTAATCATGCACATCTGTATTTTAGAATATAGAGTATGCCATTTTGGTAACAAAGATACTGGTATATAACAAAAATAATGCAGATTTGTGTTATTCAACAATATATAAATATACCGGTAGAAGATATCTGACAGCATGTCAGCAAATACTTGCCCATTTTGTTTGGCATGACAAAAAGATCACATCAGAAAGAGTATAATTTCCTTAAACAAAGTCCTTCTAGAGTTACACTGCTACTGCCAGAGCAACTTCTCTGCGATCGAGTGCCAGCACACACAGCGACAAGTTGCAAGTCTGTGTTGACCAAATAGGGCAAGGATAAGACTGACAGCCAATTAGCTTCTATCCCACACAACTTACAGCTTTCCCTTAGCGCCAAAGCGGAAGCAAAGATAATCATCAGAAATGACATCATCAGAGGCTAAAACTCATAATTTGGTTTGTGAGATCCCTCTGTAACAGCCAAGACATGCGAGACATCTAGTCTCTACTAAGAAGGCTAGAATTTGAATGTCTCTATGATCATTATACAATAACAATCTTGAACATCTTAGAAAGGATCTCTCACAATGATGCTAAATTACTTTGATGCCAAAAACATATTCAATAAATGACTAGTTCCCCACTGCTTGATATATTCATTTAGACATGTAAATAAATGAAAGTAAATAAAAACAGCTCCATGTAACTATGAGGTAAGAGAAGCATAAACTTTGATGATACAATATGTAGAGCTTGTGCTACAACTAGACAAAACTGAGCTACATGTAAGCCAGGGGGAAGTTTGTATGACAACAAATCTTGGATTTTTAGTCACCGTCTGAGAAGGAGACATGAAGACTGCAGATTCACAAATCAGTGGGGAGTTTTCTGACGTGATCTAATAGGGAAGTGGTCGGGACAGGTGAAAAGTTCATCTTTGTGATGCAGATGAGATTCTTCGAATAGTTTGGGGAGGGGTTTCAGAGAAGGTTGACTGAAAACTTCCTCTCTGTCTCTCATGCATGGTATATACTTGATATAAATCATTGTTCCTTCTATTTTACATGATGGGAATCTATGCATCAAGACATGGGTAATTTTTGCAATTTCATTTTATAAAACTCAAACCATCAATAATCTGGAAAGTAAGAGAGAAACTGAGAGAAGAGGAGGGGGTTGGTTTAGGGAAGAGTATACTATTTCATTTCTCCTACGAGCCCTTGCTAGATTTGGTCAATAAGCCCGTCGGATTTGTTAATAATCCATGTTAATTCTTACCGGAAATGCGGAGTACTCTTGGTCTCTATTGAGAACCCTGACTTGTACAGTCTTGCCTTCGTCTTCTTTCCTCTTCACCTCAATGTGCCTAGAAACAAAATGAAAAACATGAAATCAATGAAAATATAACAGATTCATCATTTACTATCTGGTGAATCTATTCGACATGTATACTATTAAAAAAAAGAAAAGAAACAGGGTGGATATATGAGTCTGAGATATTTAACACTATTGTGGTCAGGTCTGAACATGTTTATTTGAGACTTTTATGATTCATTTTGTGATTAAAACAAAACTGACACAAAGTGCTTGGTGATCTCCAAGAAACAATAAAATATAAATTGACCAACACTTAGTGGTCTGAAAGATTCAATGTTCATTAGAGTTTGGACAATGTTACTTCCATGTATGATAGAGTTTACCCTGTTCAAATTATATGTCTTTGCTGTTACCACAACCTTTGTTACAGTGTAGGTAGAAGTACCCTTTTAAGATCAGTATTCAGGGAAAAAAGCATACACCCTTTTCAACTTCCGGATAATGTGTTAAGGGATGCTAAAAGGTAACAGCTTAACTTAATAAAACATTCAATAGAGAAGGCAAATATTCACCCAGCTGTATACATTATTTTTCATCTAGTCTAGAAAAGGGTCAAATCTGGTACCCATTATAAATCTGGGGCTCTCAGTATCCATTTGAAATCACAAGTACAAATTGGTTGCTAATTCACCCTAGCCAGAGGGAGAGAGTGTGTTTGATGCGAGGGGTGAAGGTTGGTTCATATCTTTCAAGTTTCAGGTCTCACGAGATGAAAATTTGAGGGAAGTCTAACAAGGAGTAAGCCAAAAACAAATCTCAAAACTTCCTCTCTATTTTTTTCTTCTTCAAGTTGGTATGTTTCTGTTAAACTTGTAAGGCATTCCTACCAAGAGTATACATGTAGTTTGTGAACTGTCCCATTAAATGGCCTAGGAGTTGGTTCTTATCATCATACATCTAAACTACCCTGGTATTTCTACATGACAAGCTTTTATACGGCAAGCTAAATGGACACTGAAAAGGATATTTTACAAAATGTAAATGCATCACTGAAGCTTCCCAATATCATTTCACAAAAGACACTCGGTGTTATTTTATGAAAAAAAATGTACAGATGGAATCCTATTTGAATGAGCCCCTCACACGCCTACAAGTAAAATATTTCTGATTGACAGGGTAAAACATCCCTTTAAACAAGACTACGGTGCGATCAGAAAATCATCCAATTGAAACCTTGGAGACGATTCAAGTAACGTTTAATATGAACATGGCCTACCATGCTGATGTGATTTGTTGTGTGTGTGTGGGGTGGTTTGTAACATGATCCTGTGTGAACAGATCCAATAGAGGAATACCACGTTTTTCTTATTTCATTCTATGAAGAACGTCAATGCCGCCGCCGTGTACACGAGAGAGGTGGATCGGAAGTCACATAATGACATTTGGTTTGGAATCCCATTGTGAGTCTCTCTCTCTCTCTCTCAGTCACTATCTCTCTGTGTGTTCAACTCAAACAGACCTCACGCTAACCCATCTTAAACAAATTCCCCCTCGCTTTTTAATCAAATAAACATAAGTCAAAAAGTATTGATAAGCCTTCCATATGGCAGATGTAGCTGAATTGGCGGTGAATTGATTTTGATTTAAATGGTATCCTAGAAGAATACTGAAAGACATCAATTACAGGCAGACAGGGAATGTACTGAGAAACTCCAAACAAGAAGAAATGTTTTGAAGAGGAGCCGGCATGTCCTTGATGCTGTGTATTCTACACTATTCAATATTGACTGTTACACTCCAAACTATCGAGTACCTCTCCCTAATGGCACCAGACACTTCTTTGAAAAAAAAATGTTGTTTGTAAGAAAGGAACTCTAATTTCTCCTTGCGATTGAAAACACTAGTACACTGAAAGGTATGGTACAGCACGCTACGCTGTTCTGAGAGGTTGCGTAACAGGAGCTGCGGAAAATATGGGCCAACAGTCACTATCCTACACATAATGAATTATGAACTTCAACCCTGGACCAAACACTATATCTAACCCAAACCCTAACTTAACCTAAAACCCAACTGATAACAACCCTAACCCTAACCTTATATCTTCGACAAAATAAAGCTCAGAGCAATTTTCACCAGAGCATACATGTACATGCTTGTCAGAGAACTATCCTAGACACGGAGAGACATGGTGAAAAATAAGAAATATTTTCTTACGTGCTAAGTTTCTGCCACCACAGCTCCCTCTCTTGATTGGATGCAAACGTGAGCACCACGTTGTTGGTCGGCCAACCGAGGACGAAAGAACAGTCATGTGACTTGATGACCTCACTGACCTCGTCGATACAGGTGTTAAGCCAGAGCTCCCCGACCCTTAACCTGTGTTTCAGTCTGAGGGATGTGGCTGACCTGATCACAAAGAAAGAGGCAAGAAGATGGTTGATGAATAAAAAGTATTGAACAAGAACTTTGTGGTACAGCCTGCAGAATAGAAATGAGTAAGGAAATTAATCACTAGTCCAACTTCATAGGCTCACAAGAGACCCACAGGTGCGATACATCTGGAACAGACTCTGATGTAAGCCAAACTGCCTTGACCTGAGAGGACTGTGAAAGAATCACAATTTTATTTCTATGCTTTGTTTCTTTACTTCTTTGCCTGTTTGCATTTGTTTATTTTCACCAAAGAGTCCCAAAACTTTGAAGAATGCGCAAAAAAAAAAAAATCCTTACTTTGGTTAATGCTTCTATGCTTTGTTTCTTCATCTCTTTGCTTGATTGCTTATGTTTATTTTCACCAAAGAGTCCCAAAACTTTGAAGAATGTGCAAGCAAAATATCCTTACTTTGGTTTACCAAAGTGTCCCACAAATTTCAAGAATGTGCAAAAAACAGAAGATCCTTACTTTGGTTTGGCGATGAGCAGAGTATCATTCATGAGGACCAGGTATCTGTTCTGGATCTGTGGTCCAATGGAGATCTGTACAGGTCCCTCCATGATGTAGAGCCTCTTGCAGGGGGGTGCTTCAGCCGTAGGAGAGGGGAGATCCCTGGACCCAACGCCGGGGATGTTCAGGCTGGTTGATAGCGATAGTGCGCCCAGTTCCAGGGCCATCATGCTGCCTGGAGGACTGTTATTGTTGTTGCTGTTGAAGAGAAGAGACAAAAGTAGAAATAAATTATGATTGAATTGAATGAAGAAGTAGATCATCATGTTATCATGATTGCTTATTTATGGTACAGACATTTAAATAAAAATACAAGTGAATTGCCAGAATTGCCACTGCTTTCTGATGGTTGCGGACATATATACAATGCCTTCCAGATCATACATTTAAAAAAGGATTTTACAGGGCTAAAAGATTTAGTTGAATACTATGTCTTGATACAGTTTCATCAACATGCTACATGGGAATGATAAGGCTGATATTGATGATCATTAAAGCAAATAATATTCTTTCACAACATGTACTGTAGAGCAAAATGGGTTAGGAGAAGAAGGTTGTACATTGTATGGGTCCTGGACAGAGGTGTAGAGGAAAGGTTGAAGGGGCGAAGTAACCCCAGGCAGGACCACCATACAGGTGGCTCGAGGGGTGTGAGATGGAGGGCTTGGTGGCTGCCGAGGGGTGCAAGTGTTTAACCCTATCTGGGCTAGCTCCGGAGTATGGATATGGGTTGAGTGACACGGGTAAACATGTCAAGTGGTAGCCGGAGGAGGGCTGGCGTTGAGGGAGGGAGGGAGACAAGGTTGCTGTCTTGGGTTATTTATATTGGAAGACAAGAACAGAGGGAAGAGGAGAGCACAGATGGGATGACAAGCAGTAAAAGGCTCCAGAAATAACACATACCAAACACAAAATAGCTAGAGTATACTGGAGCAGTTATTATCAGGAGTTATTATCAGGTGAACGAGGTACAGGGAGGAGAAACAGATATTCAAGAACGAGAAAGAAAAATAAACATGACGAGTCACAAGTTATGATAAAGTGCTCAACTGGGTGAGAGGAAAGAGAGAGAGAGAGAGAGAGAGAGAAAGAGAGAGAGAGAGAGAGAGATGAGTATAATTATGATGATGAGATATGATCGACATATTCAGAGTGACAAAAGAGAAAACAAAGAAAAAGAAGAAAAAAATTGAAACAAGTAATCAAGAAAGAATGGAGATATCGATATGGCATGGTCTATAGGCAACCATTGCAACATATGATGAATCATTTAGGAAATGAATGACTCCAAGAGCCTGATGCATATCTCCTTCGAGTATGAGTAATGTCACAAACTATTTGAATGCTTTTCAGTAATTTGTCAGTCAAGATGCCCATTGCTTGAATGTAAGGAAATACTCCACACTTCACTCCCATTTTCCGAGAAGAGGAATGTGAAATCGAAAATTTGATTAGTGGTAACGAGAACTAGAACGATATTTGGAAGGAGAAATTGGGCGAGGGCGAGGTCTGTGAGGTGATCGTGGTTTCTGAAACGTATCAAATGGAGGATGAAGACAAATATCGTCTGTGCCATTTCACAGTATGACATGTCCAAAAGAATGGAAGAAGTTCTGTTTTAAGGATTGGAGCAGGTATTTCAGGCTGACCCCTGTTAACCCTTTTCATCCGAGAAGAATGACTGGGGGCCATGAACTGTCAAGTATGACCACATCATCATTCATGAATGTTATGAATAATACTTCTGACACCACTAAATGATTTCATGTCTAATGTTTCACTCTCCTTCTGTCTATCTTTCTCTGTCATTCATTACCCATCTTTCTCATCTTCTTCCTTCTTGAGTTCGACCCCTTAGTTGTTCATGAATGTTATGCATAATGCTTCTGATAACACAACACATTTTGTAATATTCCCTGTCTCTATCTCTCTCTCTCTCTCTCTTTGAATTGAATAGGAAGGAAGTCCCTTCATTTATTGACCATTTAAAACAACAAAATATACAAAACAACAATACAATAGAAGAATGATATCAAATAACAACAACATACAAAAGTAATAATGGTCAGGGTCCCTGAGAAGCAAGACTGCTTGTAGTCGGGACTCTCTGTTTCCTTCTTTCTCTCTTGTACTCATTCTTCTTCATCTTATATGTATTATGTACACTATTTTCTCTCTTTCCTTTCCTTTTATTTAGTTTCAGAAGAACCAACATAACTTTACTTAACGAAACTTAAAACAAAACTATTTTCAAATGAAAAGCTAGTACTCTCCCAACTTCGACAAATCTTCCCATTTTGAATAAATAAACCAAATCGCATACACAATATGGCCACCAGCTCCACCAGTGAAAAGCTTTGAGGATGAATCGCTCCAATGAGGAGCACTATCTGTGTGACTGTACAAGGTCAAAAGGTCGTTGATTGGTATGCAGGCGAGCTGCGTTGATTTCTCACACACTGCCCGATTCGATGAGAGAGAGAGATAGAACCAGAACTCGGCCAAAGTACAACAAATGTGGCAGTATTAAAAAAAAATTGGGGGATAGTTCATGCTCTTTTTACTTCTAAGAAGCAATTTAATATGCACATCTCCTTCAAGAGTTCCAGGATGAAAAGTATGTATGATTAAATAAATTGTAAATACTATGACAGTTTTAATCATTTATACAGGGATCGATGGCTAAACTATTATTATGGCCAAACAAGGAAGATCCATAGACTGAAATACTCATGTAATTATGTAGCAGACATAGGTCTATGCCTTAAAACTGATATCATGGAGATTTTTTGATAAAGAGAGGTTGTCCTACAATCGTCAAATATTCACAACATTTTTTCAGAGCCACTTCCCCTTCTGAAATACAATCCTTTTTTCTCATAACAAATGTCACACCAGACCTAGAGTGGTATCCCATCATGCACAGCATCACATTCGACGGGCTCCACATTGATATCCCAGCATGCATAGCATATTTGATAGACTCCCTATCAATCCAAGCAACCTTTTTGACACCTTCAACCCAAAATATTTTACGATTTGAAAAGAAGGATGGTATTGAATTCAGATAGACAGACATAGCTTTATGATTTCAACTCATCAAAACAGGAAGTATCCAACTGTCACGTATTACTGATAAACGTGAACAAAGTTGTCATAATATATCTGGTGTACAGAAAAAACATAGAATGTACCTGAACGCAAGCAGAGAACCATCTGCTGGATTCCAAGAAGATGTTTATTTAATATACTCCAACTTTATAGAAGTAGTATCCTTTTGCCTCTATAGCAGGAAATAAATGTATCATAATTTGTTTACATTTTATACATATTTTGTTTTCAAGAGGATGTGAAATTGAGAAGGAAATTATTGAAAAAAGGAAACAATATCCAATGGAGAATCTTCAAATATGGTTATTTACAACAACAACAAAATCTGCAAAGTAATACTATTCACCTTCGATGTTTGTTGATGTATTCCCTAGACATGGTGAAATATTAATCCATCCAATTGCCTAATAAGTGTTGAGGATAACTCATCTCATTTGAAGTCTAAAGAAAGCCCTCTAGGGTAGGTTATGACATGATACCGATCAAACACGGTATACATGTATATGTTCATACAGACATTAGCTTGCAGCATATGCATCTGCCACTCAAATATCCATATCAGAATTACAATTCACACAATATCCTATTAAAGAAACATCCCAAGATGGGGACCATGGTAGAAACATTCAGATCAGACCACGGTCCCTGTCAGGTTCTTCAGTAGGTCCATGGTTCTTCCAAGATGCTGCGAATCCTGTGTCCACATCACATGCACATTGGAAGTGTGATGAATCCAAGTGACAACGCAAGATCTCCTGTAGTACCTTACAAGTCCCCCTCTTCAATAACGACTTCCAACTCTCCATATAAATCTGTACCCATATGGAGGTGGAGGCTTCCCAAAGACATATCACATAACCATGTTGACAACACGCTCTACTCTGTATTCTGGGTGATATGTTCCAAACTTGCCAATAACAGACACCATAATAGGGCCCAGACTTCTAGTAATGGTTTCATCAGAAAAACAAGCAGAAGGTAAAAGAAGTCCTTTACTTGAGCCTTCAGAAGTCCTATAGTTCTGCTTAGACAAAATTAAAGAAATTTTCCACATGGAATACACTGTACGTCTAACATGCATGAATCCTTTAAGCTGCAATAACAGATCTTCCGTATACACAGAAATGGCATGATACTAAAATCACATTTGTGGGTTGTTCTCAATAATCCCCCAAATAATACATTCTTCTCAGCTCATTACCTTCATTTCTCTTTCTCTCTTTCGCTCTCTCTTTCTCTCTCTCTCTATTCATTTCTTTATATCTCTTCCTGTTTTGTGTTTGTTCTCTCTCTCTCTCTCTCTCTCTCTCTCTCCCTCTCTATATCTCTCTCTTGCCAGTTTTGTTGGGGTTCCTCTATAGTAGTTTTCATGACATCACTATTCCGCTCCATCAATCATGGGATCTATTCTGCCCATACAAAGTCAGACCGATTTCAAAAGCTACAGGTAGGGAGGCAGAGAGAAGCTCTATTGTGCCCTTGCTGTGTTGACAGTCCTCGCATCTTTCTGCACTGTCACGACGATAGGGAAAGGTGACAAGGGTGACACGCATCGGGCGACATTCCTTACAAATCACCGAAAATCACTTTGTATAGTACCCAACAGAACTGGTTGCCTTGCCAATTGACGATTTTACCATTATAATTGATATTTGAAGCAGGCAGTAAAGTATGTATGGTTGATTTCAGAAGCAACAGTGCTAATAAATAAATTGAAAGAACTACATGAAGAAGAAATCATTATTATCTCCCATACAATAGCCAAGGTGGAAATGAATTGGGTAAACTGGTGTTAAAAAAGTAAATTGTCTAAGAATGTTATCAATAGCATCACAGGATAAAGCTACATGTAAGCCTATATTACTCATTATTTCTCTTAATATTGTATTATAGAAATCATATGTTGAAAAGCCCATCTGATAAATTGAAAGGCCTCAATCAATAGTTCAATGAATTAACGGTAAATAAAGTAAACCTACTTCAATGATACAAAATAGTCCCATGACAATATGCTGAATTATAACAATAGTGACAGTTTAAATAGATGTCATATCATATGAAAGATATATACAGGTCATCGTTTAGCCTTCTGCCATACAAAGTAGCTTCAATCATAAAGACACGATTAACTAGATAAATGAAATTCAGTGTAAAAATGACGATAGTTCAGGCTAAGGTTAATGCTTGAGGGTGGAGGGTGTGTGGTGGTGAGCTGAGAAATGTACAAAGATCAACCATGGTGACCCATAATTAGGAAGAAAAAAAAGTTGGAAACCCGATACCTTGAATATTCATTTTTCGTATTTCAGCTCATCCAAAAAAATGCTTGTTTATTACTTTCATATCTCCCCTTGATTCAGGGGTGTCGCTAGAAGGGGTGGGGGAAAGGTGACACCCGTCGTTAACAAATTTCTGTCAGCAAATTTCAAATATTTTTATAGGCTGTGGGCTTAACTCAAAAAGTGACAACTGCTATTTTTAAATGCTGGTTGGAATAATTTCTGCTTTCTTAATTTAAAAAAAAATGGTAAGATGTTGTCTCCTTCAAAATAGTTCAGCAATGCATCTGTTCCTACATGTATTTTCAGTAATTTGATAGTTATAGTTCTCCAAGCACAACATTTCCAACACAAAGACATGGACTAAGACAATACTATAATAAAATATTAACTTTAACGCAGGTAACTCTCTTACAGTTTGTAAATAAAGGAAACATCACATATTAACCCTGCACCAGATATTTTGAGTTCAGTGTAACCAAACAGTGCGCCCAAGAACAATGCATAAAAGTGCAAGACACCTTTCTGTTTACAAACCCAAACAGAAACATTCTTAAATATCAGATGAACTCATATTTAATTCTTAACTAAAGTAACCAGTCTGAAAAAAGTACCCTCAGGCCATAACGCTGGATGATTTTCAACAATTTCATATCATTTATAAATACATTTTTTTGGATCCCTTTAGAGTCTGTACAAATATCTCATGGCTGTTTTTCCAAAAATTTTGTTTTTCCCATATATTATTCAAACACTGCCTGATTGTGTGAAGATGAAGTGGATTATTGTGTGACTTTGCTCAGCTTTCCATGGCTATGACGCTGCACTACAAACTCGCTACATTCTTGTGGTTGAATGAAAAATATGAGCGAAAAAGAGGGGTTCATTGGAGGGGGTATAATGAGGATCCTGTTGTGTTATATCTAGGGGGCTTTGGACACACATACTTGTACACCTTTCAGCTAGGCTCAATGGAAATACAAAAACATGCTTTTAAAAACAAGCTTTTAAAAACAAGTACTTGTGAAAAGCAGGAAGGGGAAAGATAATTTTTGAAGGGAATTAGTTGTTGTTGAAATAGCATTTCTGTGCATGGAAAACATTAAAAGGGAGTGATAGAAATGAATATCACAAAAAAAGAGAAAAGCAGATATTGAGGACAATAGTGATTAGCAGCTTCATCAACAAGTTCTCCCAGGTACCAAAAATGGAATGTTTTCATTTATTTGCAAAGTATTATGTTTTTCACCCTTGTGAAAGAGCTAGAGAGTTGAAAGAGAGGGTAAATACTTTCGATGGCTTCATGAATCCTAAATTTCAAACAGAAAGGGATAACTCTTGCATCTTCCAGTATCGGTCGATGAGATCTAGGCCTAAAGTGCCTGGTTTAACTTCTCATCAAGCTGTGCATGACTGCAAAAATATATCTTTTTCAGAATATATGAAATATATGCATCAGTCCGCAGGCATTTAGGCCTATCTTTATAATGCTTGTTTAATAAAAACCTTATATATCCATAACTGCAGACTATTTTTAAATGTTTCCCAAGCCTTGCCTCTTATTTTCCATCAAAGTGCAGTTGGTACATCAATGCAAGTCAAAACTTAATGTTCAAAATTCAGAACAAGATACAAATAAAAAGTGGCTTTGTTGTGACATTTTCATCTTCCGCAAATATAATTATGCAGGTATGAATTTCCATCACAACATCGTCAAAAGTAGATCAAATATAAAAAATACAGAGCTGAGCTGTGGAATGGCTGAAAGAGACAATATATTCATAGCTTGCTCGAGGGTCCCTGGGTATATATAGCAATATAATATCAATAACTCTGAAATGAAGACCGGGAATGATTAATAGCAAGGAGTCTTGTTGATCTACATTGATCTTTAACCCCACAGGCACGCACTCATCAATAATAATTCTACTTATCTCTATTTGAATAGCCGATTTTTTGGCACTAACAAGTAAGAAGCCGCCTTGGAATGTAAATAGAGCTATCAAAGAGTCTTGCTTATCAGTAGAGCCGACATGACAATCTGCACGATTTAAATAAACATGTTGCGGTTACATCTTCTTGTATGAAATTCTTTTCTTCCATGACATTGACAAGGAACCTTATTATTTCCTAATATGAATTCAGTAAACAAGCTACCATCATGTTTTTGGCAATATGCAAGGGTGGTATTATTAGTACATGAAACTGTGATAAAGGTTATGGTCATTGACTTGGAAAATGAGGAAGTACAGAGTCATTTTGAGACTGAAGCCTAAACAATAGATTTAAAAACTTGATGTGAAAATATTAGCATGCAATTAAAGAGCAGCAGGAGAAGGGAGACAGAGGAACAGAGGGAGGGAGGGAGAGAGGGAGGGAGAGGGAGAGGGAGAGGGAGAGAGAGAGCAGTTGAGCAGCATATGGGGAAGAGACAGGAACAACAGACAGACATGATGAGGATTAGAAAGTCAGCTCGAGAGATGAACATACATTAATTTATATAAACAAATGATGAATATAAATGGATTCACAAAATGCACTCTATACAGGAGGCACAGATTTTATATGTATTAATAATCTAATAACATGTTAATTACCTCTTATCCTGGATTGTCTTGAGTTTAGAGCCAGAGGTGGCTAACGCACTCCTGATGACCATCACGGGGGCTGACCGCCGCCTCGTCGACAGGGCTTTGAATTTCTATAAAGAAAAAATGAAAGGGAAACATAATTAAATATGAAGGATGTCTTACATACTGGAAAGTGTAATAACAACTTATACTAAATTCTTGAAAATATGATTTTGTATTCATCATTGATACAAGTTTACATAAGTAAAAGGCAAAGGCAATACATTATAAAGTCAATCATTCTGGAGATAGTATGATTTAATCCTCCCTTTAACTCTCTTTAAATCATAACTAACATTCTGCATTATCAAATACGGAAGTAAAAAAGATTCTACTCATTCCTAAATAAATAAAAATTGTCCTTAAGTGTTATGTTGTAATGTGTACATGATCAATCAAATACCACAATTCTTTTAATTTTAAGTCAACATGCCACCCACATAACCTCTCAAGCTACAAATTTATTTTTGTGTTGGTTCTCTTTACATCAAATTCCTGTTTAACAAGAGTTCTTCCTCAAAAATATCATACATTCATTTTATTCTCAAATATAGAATGAAAAAAAAAACATTGAACAAGTTGACACACTATATTTGCTCTTGCCAACTTTTTTAAAATCAATATTTATTGTGGTGGTTGCATTTTAGTTCCATTAATGCACTTTGAAGTTTGAACCAATTGAACCATAAATGCAAATATCTGTCATCATTCCACACCACATACTGTGCAATCAAACAAAAATCCTCCATAAAGGAAAACAACCTTGGTGCCTCTGTGTCAACCTCACACTTCGTATTCATACAAAGGAAAATAGTAAAAGGGTCATTATATTAAATCTTGTCTAATCAAACCAAAGCCTCTTTGTATGCATCTTCCTTTTCAGGTTAAAAACACAAAAAATATAGGATTGTAGACCTTTGTACATGCTACTCTAGATGAGAGAGAAAGGTAAACAGTGTTCATAAATGTGTTACTTCAGTGCAGTATGACGGTTATGAATTATTCAAGAAAATATATGTAGCTTACCCATATATTTACAAATTGCACGAACATTCTCAATATATAGGTGTCGATATCTGCTGAGTGGTTTGCTGAGACTCTTAATCAGATTCAACCGATAAGTTTGAAGGTCTAGAGTTTTTGACTGAAGAAATGCTGCCACAGGTTCGATTCATAGATATATACCACACTATTTGAGAGTTGTAATAAGAACTTAGGCATGTGAGAGATTGCCATACTGTCGTAATATCCTCCAATGACTATCAAATAATGAAATGCGATTTCAAAATATGGGAATTTTGCTTGGATCTAAACCAGAAAATATATACCAGCATATCAGAGAGTGAAAATACCACCATGCATGACAAACGGGTTCAAAATGATTTTTGCATCATTTCAAACTTGTCTTGCTATCCAATGAGTTTTACTGGTGCTTCCGAGAGTATTGAATATCAGGTATTGGTCTAACTCGTGAGGTAACTGCACACCAAGTCATGAGTATCTCTTCAAAATATCAAATTCATCATCTGGGCCTCATTTCACAAAATTTGTCATCAGTGGTAAATGATAGTTTTAGTTATAAGCTAGTAAAATCCTTGCTTCTGATTGGTTATAGGCAGATTTGTCATTGATTTTTGTCATTAAAAAAAGGCTTTGTGAAACGGGTCCCTGATGTGTCTCTGTATACCAATATAGCCCAAAAAGCGAAAGCTATGAAGAGAATAACTTCAGAAAAGTATCATTTTGATCCCCTCCCCCTGGATCTCAGGTCATTTAGTTTATTTGATTGACATACTAGTGATTAAATTTCCATGAAGTGAACCCTAATATCACTGCTAAAGGAAGGGAAATTGATTCTTTAAAAAGTGGATACGGAATGTATTTATTTGACATTACCAATCAGATCCCTGGAAATCAGCTAGTGTTCAGAGGATTTTTTGGACAATCTATACCCTTTTCAAACTCATAAAGAACCAAGTACAGAGTCCAAAGACAAGTTTGCAATATAAGCCTTCTTTTTGCGATAATAAAATCGATGTTTTCTTGACAGCGAAGCAACAATCTGCCGGGGATTTTGATTTTCTTTCAGAATTGAACTTGAAGCATGTCTGAACAAGTAAACACATATAAAGCTTCTTACATGTAGATTAATATCTGATCACCGGTACAACATAATCCGAAAGCTCTTTGTGACATTTTGCAATATTAAGAAACTTACAAAAAAAGCAAAGAGATCTGAAAATCATCAAAATGTTTTGAAGTAAAAAGCCAAAACCACTCTGAATTTAGTACAATTTGTAAAAAGGTCCCATGACATTGTACTACACCAAGAAAAATAAGATAGGGGGAAGAAAAAAAACCTATTCAAAAAGTTACATCATGCTTTACGCGTCCATTTCACCAAGGAACTTTCTACAATGTTCTAAACTTCTGGTTGGTTTGATATAATTGGTATATATGTTGGCGGGATTTTTGGACTCAGCCTTGCCTAATACTGGCGCCAGACTGGTATAGATAACATGCAAGGCACTATGAAGTACCTCGATAGTAGGATCAAATATCTTCAGACCATGGTGTATGATTTTGCTTTGGTAATACCCATATATTTAAATGCAGGTAGGGATATACTGTTCAAATGATACTAATAAGCTTGTCATTGTCATAGGCAATAGCCAAGAATAACCCAATTTATCAAACATGTAGGTCTGTAGTATGTACACATATCATTATGCAAGAGAAATACAGATATCATTGTGTTAGGAATTTGTGAGCTCAAATGGTTTGCTAATTAAAAAAAAAAACTATTTGAGAAATATTTAGAATGAATAATGGCTATAGATTCTCACACTAACAATAAGCCTGGTTTATGAATGTTAGTGATAATCATTTTGTATATTTTAAAGCATCCATATATTATGCAATATGCTTTTGTAATATAAGTATATTTCAAAGCTTTTGATAAAGATTTCCTGAAAATAGTTGTAAGCAACCATGACAAAAATGAATATTGAGGGACAGAAAGATTGACCAATTTGTCTGTTTGGATCCAGAAGGGCGTTAACTTGTATACTTTGACCATGGACCTAGTGCAATAGTTAGGTCCATGGTTAACGCCCTCCTGGCTCTATACAGATGGAATATAACAAAAACTCACATGAAGATGTCTTCTCCTATTGAGATCCCAATCCGTGCTAAAAGCATTATCCATATTTGATCCCTTTTTTTAAATCCAAGTAAAATGAATCAAATCAGAGACAAAAAGTATGTATCCACTTCGACAACCAGAGGACACCTTTGAACGCGACACTTGAATGTAAAAGACACTTATTGTGTCATAATAATAATACTACAAGACATGCAAGTCACCTCCTACTTTTGAATCAAATGGTAAATTTCAAAGTCCATCGATATGCGAACAAATTTGTAATCTCCTTGCTGATAATTTACCAGCTGATTAATGAAGTAGATTGTGAGTCTTTGATTATGACCACGATGATCTTTCCACTTGATATAGAAATACCATCATCATGCATGCGCTCCAATCTTGTCTTGTAACCATTCATAACGTGCATCATAACTGGTAAACAATGAGTAATACTTGGAATTCCATTCTGATTTCAAAGAAGGTAGAAGAGGGCATGAGGTGACTGACTGCATCTTCACTGATATTGCTTATACCAAGAACGAAGGACTTCATCATTCATGCAAAACTTGATAAGGAGTAGTATCATGTCGTAACTACATGCAGAGCAAAGAAGAATTCAAAACTAGATTTCAGAGTTTAGCAAAGAAGAATTCAAAACTAGATCTCAGAGTTTCATTTACTATTCTACTATTAACCTATATCATTCATAGCCTCACAAGACACATCCTAGTTGCTTTTAATAATGAATAAAAAATTTATGTCATCTCTCTACCGATAAATCAAACAGGATTGTGAAGACTCTCAAGAAATCAAAGTTAAGCCAATTTCAATACCAATCGTATCGCCCATAGAAATAATGTTCTGATAAATACATGTGCACCATTGTCATGTATGCAGATTTCAATAGGTCATGAACAAGGCTTTCGAACTTGCCTACGGTTGATGTTTTAAAACTCTTTGCGACTCGCGCTGTCATAACTATCTTGCTGATAATTGCTTTTAGAATGGACTGGGTCAATGGTTTTGCGGTCGAAATAATGGGTGGGCTTGGTACATCCTTTGCATAATAACTGTTTACATTTAATGGGATTTCATCGATAAACAAACCAAACTTGTTACTTCAAGACAAAGATAACTTACAAACCATTTATCTTAATCTCCACTCTGGGATGGGTGATTATTGCTTCTACTACAGAATGATAAGGATATTGGTCCCTTTAATCTGGTTCTACATATCTATTGCACTTCAAAAAAGATAACGTCATGAAGTGCACTGTCACATGCTCCTGAGGCAACTGTTCCAGGCTTTATTTCGTCAAGGATATAAAGTTAGGGTTGACTTTACGATTGGCTTTCAGGGGAGGTTTAGGGTTAGGATTAGGTAGAGTTTCATCCAGGGTTGAAGTTAGGAATTCATTTATAGCATAGGGTATATTGACCATGGAGCATTTGTTGAATGATAACAAGTTGTGTAACCCAATATTGGTCCCTAAGTTAAAAATGGTTATCAATGCCTGTTACATCATGAAATAATGAGGCCATAAATGATGTGTAAATGGAGATGTGAATATATGGGTATTGCTCCCCAAAGTCACATACAATACCTAAAGATATGTCTATCATTATTAACAATAACAAACTAATAAAATATAGGCCTGGCATTGTACACAAATATCTTGATAATCCTGGTACACTGCAGCTAGTAAAAGCTCAGTAATCTAAGCCTTATTATGAAATCTAGATTTAAATAGAACGTTTTAACCTTGCATTGAATTGCTAAATGTGTTTTATAATACTGATTTAGGATGAGAGCATTTTATTCTGTTTGTGTCAGTTATTCGTCTAATCATTATAACTCTCTCTTTAGAACGCTTTAGATCCAGTACAATGACCACACGTAGATTGCGCACACATACATCACACGAG